TAGACCCCATTTGATGAGTGATTTTTCCCCAGCTATAAATATCGAAAGTGTATGTTAAAGTGTTACAATCCAGATTACTTTGTACAATGGGTCCCAGGGCTATAGAGATACAACTGGATCTCTTTGATAATTTCCGGTTCAGCTAAGAAATTATGGGGAATTATAGTCTGTTTGGAGTGAAAATGTACCGATGAATTTCACTTTATACAAGAAAGTAAATCAAATAAAGTGAAATTAAGATTGCGAATCCTCATAATTTTACCTTGCCAACTGAACATTTAAATATCAGAATTTTATGCACATCAAATGAAACACCGAGAACAGGTAGGGTTGGTCTAAGTTAACGCTCATCACGTACCACACGTGCATTTGTTTCAGTGTTCCAACTACTGCGCTTACCCCCTTGTAATACAAACCAATAATTGTGATTTGAATCTATGATCGTTTGTTAAACAACTTTTATCCTAAGATGAATAAAATTCTGAGATTCAAATGTTCAATTGGCAAGGTAAAATTATGAGGATTCGCAATCTTAATTTCACTTTATTTGATTTACTTTTTGTTCAAAGTGAAATTCATCGGTACGTTTTCACTGCAAACAGACTATAGTAATCAAACAGTCAGTTGGGAGAAATCTAATCTGAGGCATGAGAGATTAACGATAGTAATATGAAAGAAAGGGGTCATCTTTAGCTTCGTACACCTAGTAACATCCAAGCATTCATGGTGTTATTCGTGTTATCTTCTGAATGTCGTTCTGACATATATCATCACTTTAAAGCTCCTATCAGAAAGGGGGCGGTGGGGTAGCCTAGTGGTTAAAGCGTTGGCTCGTCACGCCGAGGACCCGGGTTCGAATCCCCACATGGGTACAATGTGTGAAGCCTATTTCTGGTGTCCCCCACCGTGATGTTGCTGGAATATTGCTAAAAGCGGCGTAAAACCAAAACTCAGTCAGTCAGTCCTATCAGAAAGCACATATTACATAATCAATGTAAGTCACTCATTTCATTAATGTTGCTGATCGTTCATCAGTATTATGTTTATCCAAAGCCATCTTAATGTACCACAGGAGACATGATGAATTTGAATGTCTGGGTCAAATGGTTATTTATCTTGAACATTTTTGTGTGCCTAAATTTGTCATGAGTTCCATTATTGTCTAAGTTTGAACAATATTGACCTGACCTTGTCAACAAGAACTTCCTACATTGAACTACATTTTGAACATGTTATCTCAACTTAAAAAAGTCAAAGCAAACAGCTTTCTGTGTAATGCATATACAGGTTCCTTTATCTATATACCACTCAAAATAAGTTAAAGAACATTAATTCAATATTTATATAGTTTATCTGTCATTGAATGACAGATTAGCTGAAGCATTGGGAGATAAAAAATGTTCTTTTATTTATTCGAGTAGGATACTGTTTGCATATATTTTGTATTACTTTCAAAAGGAAATATCACATCATGGGCACGAGTATTTGACTGCAGTAATACAACCATAAATTGTAAAACCCCTATTTGAAGATCACAGTGAGGCAAAGGCACATCTCCCAGAGAAACAAACTGGATTAAGTTGTTTTCATTTCGGATAAGCCATGGTTACAAGGGCAAATGTATTGAATCTTTGTTCAGTTACATATTTACTATGCAAATATTGTCATTGAATATTTGGCATGTAAATTAGTTCATCACTTCACGTATCACACATGACCTTGAGAAATCCTCTTTCACTAAATTCGACATTTTGTCTCATGCATGTGGTTGTATATAGTTGGATTTCAAAATCCATCTTAACGGGAAAAAGTATTTTCTTAAGTTGACATTCATGTGTATATTTTGTTTTATAATGGCTTATATGATGAGTTTTGTGCCCAGGTATGTTTGTCATTATTGTCTAAGAGTGTTCTTATTGTGTGTGACTGCTATTTACGTGAGTTTACGAATGTGTTTAAAAGTCAAACCATTGTTCGGCTGACTGATCTCAGATTTTATCACCATCTGTCATTTCTTGCTTAGCCTTGCTTCCCAACCAGCTGGAAGAACAGCAGGTTAGCTCAGTGGTAACTGTGTTTGCTTCACTCAACAACGACCCTTGTTCAATCCTCCATGTAGCCACTTACAATTCAAGCTCGTTCATGTCACCAATTGCAATACTACAAACAGTGATGTAAAAAAAACACTCAACAAATAATTCATTTCTGAATCTTTGAACACTGAACATAGGTTACTTATTTTGTTTATAGAAACTGCAAGTTATGACCATGTATGACTCTTTCATGATCCAACATGGTGATATATTTTCAACAAAATTACAAAGTTATTGAACACAAGTTGACAATCAAAAATGCTTGCCTGCCTCTTTTTTCAATAAGCAAATCCACGCTTGAAAGTAATTGACAGTTGCATATTTGCTCTTATCATTACCTTCTGAAAGTGCTTCATTAATACCAAATGGTACATGTGAACAAAATTTGAAGTGTCATTTATCATAAATACACACCTAATTTAAATAAAATTTTATACTTTCATGAACCTTTATTCAGTCACACAGATTAGAAATGCCTACGTTTCATATATGGAGACCATACTTCTTCAGTTATCTACTGTGAACTATTTTTTGGAGCAATACGAGCTGTAATACTGATGGTATCTGAGTGATACGTACAACACTGGTTCAAAGTACATATCACCTGCATGAAGTCATGATTGGGAAAGAGAATACCAGTCAGCTGATAATGACTGGCATCCATTTCATACCCTGATGGTATATCTGATAGACCCGGATCAGTCACATCATCCAGCGTCATACAAACTTGCGATAGATAACGCAGTTGTGTAGTCGTCAGTGAGGTCAATCTAGCTGAATAACTTTGTTATCCGATTATCATTTTGTAATTGCAACAGTTTGACACTTAATGAAAGCTGAGTTAATTTGGCAGTAAGATTATATGGAGCAACATTTTACAGAAAACGTGCCATCATTTACACTTTTATTGTGAACTTTGATTGTACTTTATATCTTTGAAGATAATTTTGACTTTAGTCTGAGGGATTTTGATAGAATTCTTTACAATCTGATTGTTTTTGCAAGGATCTTTCACAGTTCAAATTTTTATATATTCGTATCTTTATAGACCTAGGATGTGACATCACAACAATTTTAATATTTCTTCTATCTATAGAGTTTAAGTCTTGAGAATGCTGGAGTAGTGTCTCTATCTTCATATTGCAAACCCAGCTGGATAATGCTTCTTAACCAATCCTGTATTCTCTTACAAGAGAATCACTCACCTTTATGGAAACCTTTCTGCTCTAAAGTAAGAATTCCTACCAAGTCCATAGAGAATTGATTGGTATTGTGATACCTTTCCTGGTCATCTTCATGGAACTATTAATATATCACTACTTTATGTTGTATAAGTGCATAATGAAAGTATATCTAGATTTTATACTTTTGACTGAGTGTATATAGCATGTCCCTATGTGGCTGTACACACATGTAAATAATGATTGTAAGGTGTACAGAGTCTTGTATGTATAAGAGCCACTGGATGGGTGGTTCACGCAAATAAAATGTCAAAACTATGACTTGTTGGTTAAATGTCTGTGCAGTGTTTGTGATGTCTACTCTGCGTCTTGGACAGGTAAGGCAGATAAGAGATAGAGTATCACATATACAACAACCATGAGCAACTGAGTTGAACCTTGATACCCACACTGACTGTTACTTGTCAAGCAATGCAAGGGCTAAACCACTGGCTGCGTTCGGACATGTTTGGGTAACTTTTCCTTGACATGCAGTCTGTCCAGTTTTATTTTCAATCATGTCAATGGTCCTCCATTTTTCCAATCTATTAAAAGCTTCCAATCAGTGTGCATACACGTGTTCATCTGTTTATCACATTGTTAACCTGTTAATGCTTGTTGAAATGTGTTCATGTTTGAAACCACTCATACCTGGGTGATACAGCATGTATATTACTACACATAAGCTGAAACCCTTGGTGAATTCAAGTATTGCAACCCTACAAAATAAAACGGCAGCTGTACTCAGCACTATTATGCACACAAACCATGGCACATTTTGAACCTCATCTACTAGGACCTTTCTGGTATTTGTAGATAGAGCTTGCTGGAGGAATTTAATGAAAATGCTAGATTATGTTCTGGTGGCAAGGGAATGAAGTTTGTGTAATGTAATGTGACAAAATTCCTTGATCAGCCAGGTAACATCCTACTTTACAAACCTATAATACAGGTATGGTCAGTCATTGGCAGCACTTCTTCCACACACTGCAGTTGTGACATAATCTTGTCAGATCAGTGCTCGTAAATAGTCTTAATTATGAATGGCTGTTGGCAAAATTAATCCATATTTGAGTGAAAGCAAATTAAGAGCCATTGTGGTTAACCATGTGAAGTGAAAAATTAGAGCCAGATGAGTGCTGGGTGTTGAGAAAGAGGTTATAAGAGCTTTTCAAATGCAACAATTACAAAATATATATAACTTTAGATCATATTTCTCAAAAAGAGGAAACATTTTTATTTCCATTTTTGTTCCTGCAATTGTACTTCAAACAAATGCTAAACAGCTCACATTATAACTGAAAACATATTTCATCTGGATCAGACATGAGAACCTACTTAAATTATGTACTGGTAAATTTCCATTTTGCGAAAAAAATATGTACATTTTTCAATTTTATCATGTCATGTCAACTTAAGTAGTGAAAAGGTATGCAGTTTGACTTTTGGAGAAGAAGATAAAGTGGAGAGTAGATTTAATTGTTTGATCTGGCGGTGAACTGTACCAAACGTAAAATAAACACTTGCTGCTTAAAATTCACCATATCTTGTGAGACAATTGTACTTATATCTATGTGCCATGTCCCCATCTATACACCAACAACAACTTGAAGTTGTACAAAAAAGAAACAGTCTAAGTAGTGATTTATTATGCCACTCCATCCATACACAACACAATACAATCATATTCAAACAAAATTGTTATCTTTATTGGCCAAATGTTTCAATGTACAATGCAATATCTTGTCACAAGTAAATTGCATTGATGGGTCTTAAGCGAGGAGAAATATACAGCTATTTATTGTCAGTGACATTAACTTTCTCCACAGCTCTCTATGTCTAACAGTCTGACAAACACAGAAAATAATTAGTTTTCAAATCACTGATTCTAGTATTTCTCCAGAAACATATCATATATATCTTGATTTTTACAATATAATACAAATTCACACGACATGGCATCATAATACAATATACATTCTTGAGAAACAGCTGCTGCCATGTTTAATCACCCTCAATACATTTGAAACACTTCTCATTTACCCAAAATGTGATAACAGAGAACTGTCACCCACTCATAAACATGGCTGTGACGTCACATATGCTAAAAATATCTGCATGTAGGTAAGCTGTTTACATGAAATCCGTCTTGACAAAAATAAAGTAATTAACATCAGTCCTGAGGAATCCAGTTGAAATCACTACAAACCTGTGCATATTGTGAGCCATTGGCGGAAAAATGACAAATGAGGTCTATTAATGTGCAAAAGTTTATGTGTTGACCATTTCTCCACCTGGTTATGTTGAACAAACTTTGAAAGCAATTGATAAATGGTTAGAATATTGACTTGTGTTGCAATAGAATACAATGATCATGTGACGAGTGTCCTCCGCCTTTCAGGGTCGTTATTGGATATGTATTGTGATCACCTTCAAGTATGGATGACTCAGGAAGCTGTAAGCGAAAGGATATTGCTAATGTCAGGATAAGCAAAAGGTACATGTTTAGAATTACACTAAACAGAAATCCCGGAATATGTGCTTGTATAAATATCAGCTCTTGGTTGCCTAAAAAAGGATGTGTTCCAAATCTAATGGACTAAACATGATTAATAAATTCAGTTTCTATGAATTCTACATCTATGTTACATTCCTCCAACTCAAGCCACAAGACACAGTAAACACTTTCAGTCCCTTACCAAATTCTTTGAGTCCCTTGTCTGCTTTCTGTTTCTGTAAGTATAATTAACTGCACGTATATAACTTCTGATCTCAACATAAAGTTAACAAAAGCAGGGAGAACACTTCACCTGTTTGAACAGTAGAAGGTCATACAAAGACAACCTTGCACCTTAAGCCTTCTGAAACCAAACACAGAATATCTACATCATTGGGCCTGTAGGACATTACAAAGAAGGCAGATATCATACAATGCAGGAAAATGAAACATTTGTCAACCACAGATGATACATGAATGACAGAATGCTGCAAGACAGTGTAAAGTGTGTACAATGCTTGGCTAATATATTACTGTGGTTATGGGATATGAGTGGTGAACTTCATCATGACTTCAGCTATAAATTAAATGATCCATCTGCCTTGTCTGTACTGACTTGCATCGTAGTAATATTAACAGGACAAACACAATCATGAGGAAGCAAAGTAATTGACAAAACCAACACAAACAGCAAAAATATTTCTCTCATTATTGCATCACTGGTATATTGTTAATGTAGCTCACAAGAGAAACACTGTCAATCATTATATTACATCACAATCAAAAGGTAAACAGCAACTTGGACAATGATTACCTATTTATGCTGAAGTTAAATCGACAAACTAATACCTCAGATCAGAGGGCCTCTCGTTAAAATTAAATGCCCCCCACCCCAAATAATTAGTGAACAAGGAGTTTCCAGGGTGTCAATGTAGCCATAAGTGCCAAATGTGCAGGTTTAGGAAATTCAGTTAGCTGATGTCTGCAAAGAAAACCCAAAATGACAACATGAAAGACTTCTTTTCCCAGGTCACACTTAAAGATTGGATAGCAACAACCGAGTTCACTGCATGTCCCTGTACATGTGCATAATCATGATCATCGTAGTAATGCTGCTCTTCACTACAGCTACACCAACACTTGGAAGAATTTAGATCCAAACATGAGGTACAAGGTCACACTGTCAATTCATCATTCGGACTATGCCATCGATCTTACAAATATCCTGTTGTAATATCATTTCATCTGAATGTTTAGCACTTGCGGTATTTCTTCTGAACCTGACCTGAGGAAATAGTTTCCTTCCATGTAGCACTTTCTGATTTGGAATTAGCATGTAGAAATAACACATTCATGTAAAAAATTAGAAAGGAACATGTTTCTAAAACAATATGAAAAAGAGCTTAAAATGTTGATTTTGCGATTAGCACATATTCTTCAAAGTAGGAAAGATCTACAATGGATGTTTCATGAGTACAATTGGTGGTGAGAGTATCACATGTCACATTTGAATTTACCTGATTTACGGCATTCAAAAGCACTCTGGAATAGTTTGTGTCCTGTGTATGAAAATGCATACAAAGGATAAATTAACCTTCCTCCTTTTAGCTGCCCCAACTGAGGCCATTTACTCATTTTGATTCTAGCAGTATTGATGGCTCAGCAGTGCCAGATGGGAGCCACATGCCAGCCTACAAGTGTGACGTGCACCCAGGCCGGATGGCACAGAACTTCCGCTTAGTAAGACGGCAGACAGCAACAATGGTGGCTGGTACTAGCTGGGTGGTGAGGACAGCTCTCTTCTCTCATGTACTCATATATGTGAGGCTAAGGACCTTCGTCCTGAAAGAACAGGGCACACTGTTAGCTAGCAATTGTCTCTGAAAATTCTGAATTGGACGATGCCCAAAATAAGTTATATTTTGTTAATATATACATTGATGAATGTTGTATTTTGTTCCACATGCAGGATGAAAGTAAAAAAAACAAAAAAAACAATAATAGAGTCTGCAATAGAAATATTGTGGACAAATGAAAAAACCCAACATATTCTCATAGCAGAGGAAATGTATAGCGTTCAGTGGACTACTAACTTCAAAACCCATCAATGAATGTAAGTAGAGAGAGGTAGCAAGGATGAAAGCAGGGTGTGGTTATCACAATGTCTTCAAGAGTCATGCAGCAACTTGTCTCACTGCCTTTGTGATATATTTTACCAATACTTTCACATCAGTTCATGATTAATATTTGACTATTAGCAGCACATGACATTGCATACATTAGTACAACAGATTTTAGCATGTCTAGTTCAGGAAACATCAAGAAATCAGTCATGGGAAATAAGGTTCATTGTAGACTGGAAACATGAGAAACACAATAATAGCCCTTCATTCAGCTGATGAGTTAATATCTATCTGACATATACAGTTATGATTTGGATATAAGTGGGAAATTGAAATCAATGTACCTGTTCAAAGTTAACTAGGGTTATACGTAAAAACACAGCCTTAGCCCTTCATGTCCATCTTGTTCAGGACCACATTAGTTCTTTTGTTGACTATGATCAAAAGTGAATAAGTACAGACACACTTCATAATTAGTGAGCCTCCAACATTGAATCAAGGAGCATCACAAAACCCCAAATGTGTATGGAATAAAACAGCTAACCATTAGATCTGAATCATGACAAATCACCAAGTACTAGCAGATACAAACAGAAATGACAATTTTAAATGCTTCATATCTTTCTCACAATAAATAGTGTTCAATTTCCTTTAAGCAATTACTCAACATCAGAAAAGATGTAATACCCTTGTAATCCTCACATGATTCAAATGCATCCAACATCTTTCTGGTAAGAAAAAAATATTTTATCAAGGTTGAAAAGGTACCTATCAGACCTATGTCATTTGATGGTCATAATCTAGAAAAACAAGTCATGTCAAGATCACACTTGAACCTCTGTTGAAGAGTCTTAAGAAACATACAGAACTTATCACACAACCAGCTGCCTACTATATCACATATCATAACACCAAGCTAATTACCTAAATTATCATTTCGGATCTGTAAACAGCTCAATGACACTTATGACAAATGTGAAACAAGAACTTTCTTACATGTGCTTCACTGAACAGAATTCTCAGCATTTTCATGCTAAATACAATAACTTCACATCACCAAAAATATTAATAAGTACATGGACGATATATGTTCCTTTGTAAGTACAGAGCCATATCCTCTCAAACACAAAGTGTGAATACTCCCTCATTCACATGCGACAATCATGAAATTCTCAGTTCAAGCATATGCAGAGCCTTATAGATCAAATAAAGCAGGGTAATAAGTGAGCAAGTTTGTAACAGACAGATGATATTTTATACAGAGAAGAATACACTCCTAGGTGTACAAAGTTGGTGAAGTAATATTAGTTGTGAAAAGAACACCTTGGTACAGCCACATTATATAGTCACTGATGACAGAACACAATCAGTGGATATACAAGACCCAAGAAGGGGTGCGAACATGCCAGATTATATGGAGTTGCGAAAGACAAGAGTTGGCATGTAGAGAGGCATTTGTCTACTGTTAGTTTCTCTAGACACGGCTGATTTTACATGCTGTGGCAGTCTTACTCACATCCTGTTCATCATTCGGTCTCAATTTGTAGTAAGTACTCTCAATGAATCCTTTCCTGCAAACAAACAATGAAATAAGTGCAATGTTACACAGGTGACTGAACAAGGTAAACAATGATAGGATGGTTTCCATAATGATATAGCAGACCAGTACAAGGAAATACCAAAGGGCCAATACAGTTATCAGACTACACCACACGAGACAATAGCAATAGGAGTGATGATTAACGATTGAAAGTCTAAACAACCAGCAGTTCCAAGAGATGCCTTTCTTTCCCCATTGGTGGCAACAGGTAGGATCAAAACAAATATATGTCACAGACATTTCATCACAGTATAGCCCTATTACTAGATCTTTCACTTGATATGTTTATCTCTCATAAATCTTCAATCACAGAAAAGGATTGTAAGCAATGGGTTGATATGTTGAATTCAGATCTGTTTTCTGTTTGCAATTCTTTTGCAAAACAATATTTGAATCTTTACACCACTAACATGTTGAAGGTTAAAATTAATTGCAACTAAATCATGACCTAGTTTTTACAACAGCCCATGCAAGTGGTCCATGTAACCATAGTAACAATGGCAACAACCACGAGCACCACACTGGATAGCTGTGTACAATATCAACTTACTTTGCTGCCAAACCACCCCCAGGGGGAAAGCTGTCATCTAACTCGGTCGAAAGCATGTGCATGATGTATGGGAGGTCTTGATTTTCAGGGGATTCTTTTAAAAGTAACTCTGAAAGCCACAACAAGATCAAATTGTAAGTAAAACAAAAACAAAAGAAATTGACAGGTCTGTCCATGCAAGGAACACAGCACAAAAACCAAAAAGTGGCATGAAATTACATAAACATTGCAACTTAACAATAACATAAAAACATCTACAACACACTGGTGTGATAATGTGTAGCATGCACATCATGACACAATAGTTTAGTAGTACCAATAATTAAAGATAAAATATTTGATTATTAATTTCTTCATACACAAACTGATCTTCAAAGTTTGTTATGGAACATTAAAAGAAAGTATTCTAAACAGATGAGTTAGTATCATCAAAACACAAGCAACATATACTACAGGTTAAGACAGACAAATCCACAATACTGAGCACAAATACATCTATTACCTCTTATTTTAGTTTCTATTTTTGCATCCAGTTCTTGTTCCTTTTTCACAGCGACATCAGACACTTTGGGTGCACCTTCAAAGGACACTACAACAATGCTCATATTGTCTCGGCTTCCCTGTAAATAAACAAGCAAAAACAGTTGTCATGTTTGGGTTGTCAACACTTGGTAGAACAAATTTAATTGGCAAAAATTACACCCAGCAAATATTTTGCAGGAACGCTAAGTAGATTTCTTCCAGAGGTTTAATAGTTTAACCATGGAATGAACTATGACATGCATGACTAATGCAACTTTGTAGATTCACAATTGAAATATACAACTTGTAGCCACAGTTACTAAATATTTTCTTTCAACAAACATAATCCTCATTGTTGATAGTTTTTCACGCACCTTATATAGACATGTATCAACAACTGAATTGCTAATTTGTTCCAGACTGTCTGTAATCTTCATTCTACTTTCAACAAAAGCACAAAGTTCTTCGTTGGTCATAACATCCCATATGCCATCACAGGCAAGAACAAGAAACTGATCTTCTGGGCTTCTGTCCTCAATGAAAATTTCTGGCTCTGGAGATACTAACTGTTCACAAGGACCCTTTCCTTCAACATTTTTATATTCAAAGTCCCCCAAAGCCCTGGAAACTGCCAAAGAGCCATTGACCCTCTGAATCATTACACTACCACCTGCATTCTGTATTCGCTCCTTTTCCTCCGGGTTGACAGGTTTGTGGTCTCGAGTTGCAAATGAGCACTTGCCATTACGGCATAACACTGCCCTCGAATCTCCACAGTTAGCAAAGAAGATATGCTGTGGGGAGACAATACAGCACACTGCTGTGGATCCACTCTTGTCCTCCCCACTGACCATCTCAGGCATTGTTCTCATCATTTCATCCAACTTCAGAAAGCCTGTCTTGATACCCTTCTTGACATCCTCCAGAGATGGTTGAACCTCAGTTCCATCTGTTACATCAAGTTTGCCTCTAAAGTCTTCATTAGCTATGATATGTTCTAGGAGCTGCTCAGCACAGAAGGCTGAAACTTTGGCACCTGCATGCCCGTCAAATACAGCAAAGAAAGACCAATCTTTTAACCCATAGGGTAGACCAATGACAGCAGTGTGAGCATCTTCCATCTCCACTCGCCATCCTTGCATGCTGCACAATCCATATCGAAGACCATTTCCCATACCACCTTTGTTCTGTTTGTCAGTCTTTGGTTTATCTAAGAAAGCCCCCATGTTTGGTCTGAAACATAAGAAATTCATGGTATGATTCTTGCCACCTGGTTTTATTTTAAAAAAACCAACAGGAAATACTGGCTATGAAATGAGGTACAACTAAAGTAGCTATAAAACAAATGAAATAAAGTTACAAAGAATAATAACCATTTAATACATCATCATCTGATATTTAACTGTGCTTAAAAGGCATTGACTGAAGGTTACTACTTACGGGAATTGGTTAATATTTACAAACAGATTTTTACAACAAAAAAAACATTGCTAAGAATATTCTTAGGGAATATCTGGTCATTACACTCAGTTTCAGATCTACTTGCTAACATATCCATAAACATGGGTCCGGAAATCCAATGTTGGACTTGCCTGAGACAGTATGTTGAGCTGTCTGACAAGCAGAATTTTGCTCCTTAGTTGTCTGCGGACAAGTAAATTCATAAGAAAATAAGATTAACCATTCATCATAAATTCCCTGATTCATTTCATAGAAGTTTCAAGAACCTAGGTATTGTGGTGTTTGTGATGTCATAGTTAGCAATTTGTGGATTACAAACACAACAGATTTTCAGCAGATGACATTATAGTGTTGTACACAGTTATAACCATGCCTCACAAGAGCAAAACAGATGTGTAGTGCACTGCATTGGAGCCCCTAATTCTCACGTGTAAATGTTAGGTGCTACGGAGAAATGGATCATACTTTATATATATTATCTACTAAACCTGTGTACTGAGTCAATACAAGCTTTGGAATGATATTTAATCAATATCAATCAGACCACACATTATACAAACAGGACCCATGGTATTTCCACTACCCAGCATGATATGTTATAAATTAAACTTCTAACAGGATTAAAAGAATATCTACTTTTTAAATAATGGAATACATAATATTAGATCACATTGATGAGATTTTCACATGAAAAACTGTGCTGTACCTTACATGACACGATTGATAATTCAATAAGGTGTTCTATGGAGCATAGCTTCAGTGCTGACCTGCACATCAAGAGTCGTCATAGTGCAATGTCATGCTGTGTCGTAACAAACCCCCCCCCCTCCCCTGTTACATACAGTCTAAAGCCTCAGTAATTTTTGACAATGTACCCATCCAATTCTTACCACTGACCACTGCTTTTGCTCACGTGATAATAGAATACCTGTGATCTGTCCAAAAAGGAAGCAAAACCGAACTGAATTCATATCCGACAAAACAAGCCAAGCGATCGCGTCGCTCATGACCTCGAAGTCGAACATGTAGAGGCGTGTGTCCATGGTGTTTGGTATTTTGTTCGTGGACAACAGGGCCAACATCGAACAAACATCATTTGCTAATGTTTCAAATGGCTTACCTTGTAAGATTACTGTCTGTTACCTATGTTCTCTGAACAGACAGCCGCCTGACTCTAAACCATTAACAATATTGACGTAATGATAGGACTCGCTGATCAAAGTATCAACTGCAACTCACGGCCGCCATGCCTCATAACTTGTCGCGATACTTAGAGATCTAAATACATAACTTCAGAGAGATCAGTCCAAAATTCAGTTGTGATAAATAATGATATGTGACTACTGATGAGGCATGGATAAATGAGTAAACACAATAAACTTTCCGCACAGAAACATGCGAAATGTTTGAACTTCAACAAACATAAAATGGCGGATGTCCTACATTGAGCATGCGCAAAGCCGAAAACCCGGATGAATTTTCTAAACATAGCACAATATGACATGACGTCATTCCCACACGATAAGCCTTTGGTTGTGTGGCTAGCCGATTATTTATCCACATGCGTCACATGATTGATAGAGTGGTATTATTTCAGCGAAAAAAAACACACCAACAATACTCTTGCCTTTTACATAAATACATTATTAACAATACAATTTCTCAAAACCTGACGCGGAAAACGTTTATAGTTCGATTTTTTGTAACCACTGGAGCACAATCAATTACTCATCAACCGCAGTGAGACGAACTTGTGTTTCAAATATAATGACACGTAATAAAAGTGTGACTATTAAATACTTAAACTCACAACTCCAAACTGAATCATTATGCTTTTAAAACCCGTATTGATCAATGTATGTAGGCGTTTTGAAATTCTGTCAAGTTCACAAAAATATATAATATCACTAATTCAAAGTCCATTTTGTTTAATTAAGTCTAACGTCAGTCCAAATCGACCCGGACAGTCTTGATCTATAACAACCGCATATGTGAGGGGCACTTTTTCTTTACGACGTGAAATGTTCAGAAATCAAAGGATTTTCTGTGAAACCGAAACATTGCAATGCAGACGACAAATCCGTTTCCCAATATGCGTACACCTTGAGCGTTTGGGTTATAACTTTCTGTACTTTCTCAATGAATAGGGAAATCACGAAGAGCAGTAACAATATTACGTTTATCGCCATGATAACACAGATCTAAGATAGATAAACACAATCCAAGTGATGCACGCGGACTTTGTCCGCTCATATATTTGTTTTGTTGTGCCAGGGCTAATCTACAACGTCTTCTATTCTCCCTGGTCCTCTGTACAAAAGGATCGAACCCATTTCTATACGGACTTGATTTTTACGAAAAGAAATGTATTTTCACAAAGTTACCATAAAAAAACATTGGGTGGGTGAAATACTAACTTCACTGCTATATAAGTATACTATCACTCACTGTACAGCGTGTATTTACACGGCAAGACGGAAGTGAAAGAACAGGTTTGAACCAGGATTTCGCATGAAAAATAACATTACTTGTTTTTTCCCTGACACTCCTCACATTAAGTATATGCATGTATGCCCAAACCATGGATTTTCATACACCTCCCACCAATGACTGCTGCATGCTTATATAGTAGATAGCACAACGTGTCCTCAAGTTTATTGTGAAATGATAATTGGTCATAACGTATACCTGGTATATATGTAGAGTACAAGGATGTCCTTCTCAAATAGAATGTGGATAGCTGACACTGCATCTATGCTCAGGCTTGTCATGTACATCGCCCTGTTATCAGCCGTTATCCCTTCAAGGACAGCTTATATACCCAAATTAGATACAGCCGTATGGTATCGACCCTACCCTACTGTTCAAGGCCTACTTAAACTATTTAAACAGATGCAGTTGTTTGTTATCAACCGTTACCCTAAAGAGATACAGCTGCATGTTGTTAACCCTACTGTTCAAGGCCTACTTAAACTATTTAAACAGATCCAGTTGTTTGTTATCAACCGTTACCCTAAAGAGATACAGCTGCATGTTGTCAACCCTACTGTTCAAGGCCTACTTAAACTATTTAAACAGATCCAGTTGTATGTTATCAACCGTTACCCTAAAGAGATACAGCTGCATGTTGTCAACCCTACTGTTCAAGGCCTACTTAAACTATTTAAACAGATGCAGTTGTATGTTATCAACCGTTACCCTAAAGACATACAGCTGCATGTTGTCAACCCTACTGTTCAAGGCCTACTTAAACTATTTAAACAGATGCAGTTGTATGTTATCAACCGTTACCCTAAAGAGATACAGCTGCATGTTGTCAACCCTACTTTTCAAGGCCTACTTAAACTATTTAAACAGATGCAGTTGTTTGTTATCAACCGTTACCCTAAAGAGATACAGCTGCATGTTGTCAACCCTACTGTTCAAGGCCTACTTAAACTATTTAAACAGATCCAGTTGTATGTTATCAACCGTTACCCTAAAGAGATACAGCTGCATGTTGTCAACCCTACTGTTCAAGGCCTACTTAAACTATTTAAACAGATGCAGTTGTTTGTTATCAACCGTTACCCTAAAGAGATACAGCTGCATGTTGTCAACCCTACTGTTCAAGGCCTACTTAAACAGATGCAGTTGTATGTTATCAACCGTTACCCTAAAGAGATACAGCTGCATATTGTCAACCCTACTGTTCAAGGCCTACTTAAACTATTTAAACAGATCCAGTTGTTTGTTCTCAACCGTTACCCTAAAGAGATACAGCTGCATGTTGTCAACCCTACTGTTCAAGGCCTACTTAAACTATTTAAACAGATCCAGTTGTTTGTTCTCAACCGTTACCCTAAAGAGATACAGCTGCATGTTGTCAACCCTACTGTTCAATGCCTACTTAAACTATTTAAACAGATCCAGTTGTTTGTTCTCAACCGTTACCCTAAAGAGATACAGCTGCATGTTGTCAACCCTACTGTTCAAGGCCTACTTAAACTATTTAAACAGATGCAGTTGTATGTTATCAACCGTTACCCTAAAGAGATACAGCTGCATATTGTCAACCCTACTGTTCAAGGCTTACTTAAACTATTTAAACAGATGCAGTTGTATGTTATCAACCGTTACCCTAAAGAGATACAGCTGCATATTGTCAACCCTACTGTTCAAGGCCTACTTAAACTATTTAAACAGATCCAGTTGTATGTTATCAACCGTTACCCTAAAGAGATACAGCTGCATGTTGTCAACCCTACTGTTCAAGGCTTACTTAAACTATTTAAACAGATGCAGTTGTATGTTATCAACCGTTACCCTAAAGAGATACAGCTGCATGTTGTCAACCCTACTGTTCAAGGCCTACTTAAACTATTTAAACAGATCCAGTTGTATGTTATCAACCGTTACCCTAAAGAGATACAGCTGCATATTGTCAACCCTACTGTTCAAGGCCTACTTAAACTATTTAAACAGATGCAGTTGTATGTTATCAACCGTTACCCTAAAGAGATACAGCTGCATGTTGCCAACCCTACTGTTCAAGGCCTACTTAAACTATTTAAACAGATCCAATTGTATGTTATCAACCGTTACCCTAAAGAGATACAGCTGCATATTGTCAACCCTACTGTTCAAGGCCTACTTAAACTATTTAAACAGATCCAGTTGTTTGTTCTCAACCGTTACCCTAAAAAGATACAGCTGCATGTTGTCAACCCTACTGTTCAAGGCCTACTTAAACTATTTAAACAGATCCAGTTGTTTGTTCTCAACCGTTACCCTAAAGAGATACAGCTGCATATTGTCAACCCCACTGTTCAAGGCCTACTTAAACTATTTAAACAGATGCAGTTGTTTGTTATCAACCTGTAACCCTAAAGAGATACAGATGTATGTTGTCAACCCTACTGTTCAAGGCCTACTTAAACTATTTAAACAGATGCAGTTGTATGTTGTCAACCATTACCCAAAAGAGATACAGCTGTATGTTGTCAACCCTACTGCTCAAGGAATACTTAAACTATTTAAACAGATGCAGTTGTATGTTGTCAACCCTACTGTTCAAGGTCTACTAAGACTATCTAAACAGATACAGCTGTATGTTGTCAACCCTACGGTTCAAGGTCTACTAAGACTATCTAAACAGATGCAGCTGTATGTTGTCAAACCTACGGTTCAAGGTCTACTTAGACTATCTAAACAGATACAGCTGTATGTTGTCAACCCTACGGTTCAAGGTCTACTAAGACTATCTTAACAGATACAGCTGTATGTTGTCAACCCTACGGTTCAAGGTCTACTAAGACTATCTAAACAGATACAGCTGTATGTTGTCAACCCTACTGTTCAAGGTCTACTTAGACTATCTAAACAGATACAGCTGTATGTTGTCAACCCTACGGTTCAAGGTCTACTAAGACTATCTAAACAGATACAGCTGTATGTTGTCAACCCTACGGTTCAAGGTCTACTAAGACTATCTAAACAGATACAGCTGTATGTTGTCAACCCTACTGTTCAAGGTCTACTAAGACTATCTAAACAGATACAGCTGTATGTTGTCAACCCTACGGTTCAAGGTCTACTAAGACTATCTAAACAGATACAGCTGTATGTTGTCAACCCTACTGTTCAAGGTCTACTAAGACTATCTAAACAGATGCAGCTGTATGTTGTCAACCCTACGGTTCAAGGTCTACTAAGACTATCTAAACAGATACAGCTGCATGTTGTCAACCCTACGGTTCAAGGTCTACTAAGACTATCTAAACAGATACAGCTGTATGTTGTCAACCCTACGGTTCAAGGTCTACTAAGACTATCTTAACAGATACAGCTGTATGTTGTCAAACCTACGGTTCAAGGTCTACTTAGACTATCTAAACAGATACAGCTGTATGTTGTCAACCCTACTGTTCAAGGTCTACTTAGACTATCTAAACAGATACAGCTGCATGTTGTCAACCCTACGGTTCAAGGTCTACTAAGATTATCTAAACAGATACAGCTGTATGTTGTCAAACCTACGGTTCAAGGTCTACTTAGACTATCTAAACAGATACAGCTGTATGTTGTCAACCCTACTGTTCAAGGTCTACTAAGACTATCTAAACAGATACAGCTGTATGTTGTCAACCCTACGGTTCAAGGTCTACTAAGACTATCTAAACAGATACAGCTGTATGTTGTCAACCCTACGGTTCAAGGTCTACTAAGACTATCTAAACAGATGCAGCTGTATGTTGTCAACCCTACGGTTCAAGGTCTACTAAGACTATCTAAACAGATACAGCTGTATGTTGTCAACCCTACGGTTCAAGGTCTACTAAGACTATCTAAACAGATACAGCTGTATGTTGTCAACCCTACGGTTCAAGGTCTACTTAGACTATCTAAACAGATACAGCTGTATGTTGTCAACCCTACGGTTCAAGGTCTACTTAGACTATCTAAACAGATGCAGCTGTATGTTGTCAACCCTACGGTTCAAGGTCTACTAAGACTATCTAAACAGATGCAGCTGTATGTTGTCAAACCTACGGTTCAAGAACTACTTATAACCAAAATAGATACACTTATACCTTAGATACGTACAGCTGTTTACATAAACCCTAAACACATATAGCTGGAGAGAGAGAGAGAGAGAGAGAGAGAGAGAGAGAGAGAGAGAGAGAGAGAGAGAGAGAGAGAGGGAGGGGGATTGGTACCTTCCTTTGCGGTGTTTTAACTGTTTTAAATTTTCCTTTCCATCAAATTCCCCTTCACACTCTAACTGCCAAATAATCACCTATCTTCGTTGTTATTGCTTGAATCAAAGAGTCAATAGAAACGCGTCCTGTAGATTCCTCGCGCTGATGACGACGGCATGGCCGTTACTGCAGCACACATGAACTCATCATGAAATAACCATGCAATACTCGATCTATTCTAACAAGGCGGAACGTGACTCAGCGAGGTGACACCGGGGACAATTACTTCTGACGTGTCCACTGTATAGCTGCTACTTATATACAGCTCTACTATATCGGAAACCTGTTTCCCCATACACGTTGCTGCTTTACTGAAAGCATTTACAACATAAATAGCCATGTTAATTACAGGCACAAATAAATCATATTTATAAATGTATCAAATATACTATATAGTCGGATCTCATGGGATCGGCTAAATTGTATTCTGTGTAACAAAGAATGAATCTACGTTTGACAAACTGATTTTGAAATAGGAATACATAGAAACAAAAAAACATGTCTGGATGTGGTACCGAATCTGATATACACTTAATGCTTGTCGTCGGTAGTGTAAAACCTTACTGTTCAGCACTGCTACGCCGTAAAGAGTCCTTGGAAAGTTGAAACGTATTCAGTAGTTAGGGATATTTGTATGTAACCTCTGGTCTTAATGGTGACCGATCAGTTTGACGTTCAACGTATGTACATTGGCATAATATCTGAACATTGAATAAAGTAACTCTTCATTTAAATGTGTCGAGATTCTTTGAAATGAATATATTTGAGTTTTGTCTTTTATTTCAGAGAGTTACACTGTTTGAAATGAGTTTAGCAGGGTGTGGAAATACAGAAAAGGCTAACTGAAAATAATCGACCAACATGTTGCCAACTAAACACATGCAACACATTGCCCCAGCAGAAAATGGGTACCCGGTGGGATAGTGAGTGAGTGCGTTTAGTTTTACGCCCCACGCATCAATATTCCAGCTATATGGCGGCGGTTTGTAAATAATCAAGTCTGGACCAGACAATCCAGTGATCAACAGCATGAGCATCGATCTAAACAATTGAAATACGATGACATGGGTCAACCAAGTCAGCGAGCCTGACCATCCGATCCCGTTAGTCGCCTCTTACGACAATCATGTATTGCTGAAGATCAATTCTAATCCGGATCTTCACGGGTTCCCGGTGGGATAACCTTCTAGCGTCTCACTGGCACCTTTGGTTATCCGGGGTAATAATGATTGTTGGCGCTATGACCATTCACCTAGTGAATGGACTTTAGAAATGCACTTATTATTTAAGAGGACAATTCGTACCTATAGGGAGATTCTTACTCACGCGTTTTGGCGGACCCGCAAACTCACTTGTCCCCAAACGCATGGATGAATCGTATACCCATACTGAATGAAAATATACACGACTGGTGACTATATATCTTGTAAAGTGCATCACTGGCGGTCTACATCGGTTAATGCAATCTCGTTTCGGCAGTGAAGTACACGGGTATGGTTTATCTAATATTGGCAAGATTGAAGAATCATCCAAAATTTTGTTACAGATTGTCCAAATATTTTAACGGGTCGGCGAAACAAAACCAAAAAAACCCAAAACACACACACACACACACACAAAAATACGTATGAGTTGTCCAAATTGGCTACGAATCTGACGAAAATTTAGGTACGGGTTACCCATTTCCGATTGGCACGAATCGTCTAGTATCAATATAAATATATCATTTTGTTTTTGGACATATGTTTTCGGACGACAACGGATGTTCTTAACTCTTAAATATATGTAACATATATTCCACTGGGTTCGGACCCGTGAAGATCCCGGGTAGAATAGGTCTTCAGCAACCCGTGCTTGCCTCAAAAGGCGACTATGCTTAAGAGGTGACTAACGGGATCGGGTGGTCAGGCTCGCTGACTTGGTTGACACATGTCATCGGTTCCTAGTTGCGCAGATCGATGCTCATGCTGTTGTTCACTGGATTGTCTGGTCCAGACTCGATTATTTACAGACCGCCGCCATATAGCTGGAATATTGCTGAGTGCGGCGTAAAACTAAACTCACTCCACTGGGTTCGCAACTCAACATGACGATATCACGGTCAGAGTACTTAACGAATAACATATCACAGATGGAGATCAAAGTAGTATCTAAGTAGCTGAGATTTCGTTTGACACTTTGGCAATAAAACTATTCCAGGATTTTTGAACGAAAGCTTTAAATTGCAATATAAACCAGAGGAAAACTTAACTGTTATGGAGTATTGAAATAGGTATTTTCATAACCGAGGGTAATATTAGCCAGGGAGACCGATAACTTTATGTCACTAAGATTCAATAACAACAAACTCACTGACGGCGATTGCTTCAACTTTGTTGTCGATACCTGTGTATTTGGCGGAAAACGCCGAAATATGCCGATTGTCCAAAGGGAAGTAACTCTTCAGAGCCTCCCAAAACCTCCAACATCGAAAGGCTGGGGGACATTTACGTAATGCATCCATTCGGATATCCTGAACATGGCTCGTTTTTTCAGAAGTCTTATTCTTCTTTTAGCAACACCGGCTGTTGGTTACATACTTATGGTAGGAGTATCACCTTCTGAAGACGAAACACGAAGAGTAAGGCACTTTATATGGATCGGACGTTTCGCGCACCTGTTCGTTTATAAGTCAAATATAGAATATTATTACTAGAGATCAATGAGTCAATATTTTAATATTTAAACATAGAAATATAAACCTGCGTATTCATTGGATGTAGAAAATTGTATGATTGTAGATTTACGTGGTTCATGGGAACTGTAAATCGTAATAATATCAGTACAACATTAGGGCTGTCATAGGCATATGCTATGATTTATGGTATTGTCAGTGAATCAGTGTGATCTTGTGAAAACGTACATGCGCACAAATCAAAAGGTGTTGGTATTGGTATAGTTGTGTGGAACTTATATTAGGTAATACAAATTCTCCCTCATGTCTTGCAAAACATTTGCAAACAGTTAGAAATATGATTTTGAAACAACTTTTCAAAATTGAAATGTCTTTGAAAGCAATATATATTTGTCGACATCACCAACCACTCTGCTGTATGATCAGCTAAAGTAGTTTATATTCTTTCTTGTTTTGGCACTGGTCACATGCAACAACTAACAGAAAAATGTTGATAATGAAGTCAGCCTGTGAGAGAGAGATGTTTATTTCTGTAAGGGGGCCACCGGCCCATTATACAAGTACATACAGACTTATTATACTGACGTGGAGCGCCAAGGTTGTTACATGTTAAGTTTTTAGAAATCGAACATACCAAGAAATACAAATCGTGCAAGACTGTTAATGGCATCGACGTTTGTAGAGGATAATAAGTGAATAAACTTATCAAATGATGGATAGGTAGTGTAATATACTGGTAAAATGGAGTTTCTCAGAATATCATAAAATGGACAAACCATACAAAAGTGGTATTCGGATTCTACATAAGGAATGATACATAATAGACATATTCGTTCGTGACGAGGAATGTTAAACTTTCGTCCTTCTTCAAGTAGTAAACTAGCTGTGGTTAGAACAGCGAAATCTACATAGTGCTATACGATATGTGGGCACCTTAATAACGGATAAGTAATCTTCAAATTTAAAACATAATTTGATGCTGGAATATAATTCAAGTTTAGGATACAGTCCAATCTGTTCCATCCATGTTTGTCGATCAATGGCTAGGCATCTTTCTTTGAACTAAGATATAAATTCCTGGCTGCATGTAACATTCTGATTAATCCACACGTAACCAAAACCATAACTGAATAAAAGTCTCTTTACTTGGAGTGCCCATCAGTTACGTCCCTTCTCAGCAAGTGAATACTGATAGTCATACGCTTTCTTTAGCACTACATTATGCACCTGGTTCAACACACGAACCCAAAACTTTATAATCTTAACAAACTGGTTAACTTTTAGTGAGTGACGACCTAACTCACCTCTTGCGACAAGATTCGGAGTGGATCTTCCAAGATGTAAGACTTCTTTACAAAAAAATTCATGAACACGTGATATGCATGGTGATGGATGAAACCCCCAGATCTCCGCACTGTACAATAGGATTGGCAATATCTTAACATCAAAAATGTAAAAGAGAACATTGTATGGCAGATTAGCAAAGTTATGAACACTAGACTTGACGATACAAAGGGCTTTAACGGCTTGCTGAGACAGTGTCTGCTGAGCAATGAAGTCAGCCATGAAGCGTGCAACTTTATGGTTGTTATCCATAAAGTCGTCAACTCCCTTTATTGACACACCAGGGCGGTGGGGTAGCCTAGTGGTTAAAGCGTTGGCTCGTCACGCCGAAGACATAGGTTCGAATCCCCACATGGGTACAATGTGTGAAGCCCATTTCTGGTGTCCCCCGCCGTGATGTTGCTGGAATATTGCTAAAAGCGGCGTAAAACCAAACTCAGTCAGTCAGTTATTGACTCACCATCATCTGTTGATGACAAAACAGTTAGAAAGATGTGTAACAAGTCCCTACTGCAGAGGCCCAGATAAGCTGCATATCCAGGTAAAATATGCATAGAAAATTTCAAATTACGCATTGAACAAAAATTGTTGCATACCAATTAACGCATTTAAAATGTCAGATACGTAAAAAGTTTGAAACAAATGCGTACAGAATATATTTATAAAATCGCTTGCGTAATGAAAAAGACATCGATTGCTATCAAGTTGTACTGTTAGTTTAGGACAAGTGTTGTACTGTCAGTATAGGATGAGTGATTTTTTAATGAAATCATTTCCATTATATTTAAGTTGGTTTTGATTAGGTATGACATAAGGCAGAACATACCTGCTTAGTAAACTTACTCAATGACACAATACTTAGGTGAGTAAAATGACTGAAATACGCACATATTTGAAAGCAGTGGGTAACGGAAAATGAAAAACCAACTCAACATTCAAAATACCAACTCCAAGAAAATACAGTGGGTACAGTACCCACATGAGCTAAATCTTATCTGGAGATCTGCTACTGAGCAGTATCCTTTGTTATTGTTATGTTACCCAATAAACATAAATAGTTCTGTATTATAATCTTAATTAGATAGTGAATATTTCTGGTCAGTAAGTTTAATCAAGAATAAAGATGGTGATATAACTTGTAGCCCAATTGTATGTGTACCAAGAAAGGACACCAGCAAACAAATTACTAGTAGGTTGTTTTGTGTGGTTTTCATGAACCTCGAAAGAAGCTTAGAGAAAGTTGTCAAATGTTATTCTGTCTGTATAATTATATTTCTGTCTTTTACAGAAACTTAAGCAGATGAATGATCCAGCTTCACAAAGAATGAGAGAGCAAAACAAAGCATTGATGAAAGTATTACAGCAACAGGCAGGCATTACAGATGAACATTTGAAGAAGAAGTAATTCAGAAAAGAAGTAATTCAGTGGTTAAGGATAAACAATAGTGTTTTTTTCTAGTGTGTGCGAGTCCTGCACTTCATGCTGTACTGCGTAGAACAGTTCCTATTGTACAGTTAGTTTGTGACTCATGCTGGACATCTATACAAGACTTGCTTTACTTAAAGGCACAAGACATCCTGCAATCAACGGTGGATCCAGAGGATGTTCACTTGCCCATCATATCCTATCCTTGTGTCAATAAAGGCCTCCCTATTTATCAGATGTAAAATACCTCATCAGATCTTGACTTATTAAATCTTTTTTGTTAATTGTCACTATGTTGTAGTGTATAATATTTCTTCTTGTGAAGATGAACCTTATTTACATCTCTACCCAGTCATCTGAAGTGATGAGATTTGTTTCTGTTAGGAGTGCTTGAATCTGATGACCATAGGTTTCCCAGAGTTACTTTGTCACCACCCATCCATAAAGGCCTCATCAAGGCAATGCACGTCTACCATGTTCATAACCTTGGCTCTTTTGGGGAACTATGGAGGGAAATTTAGTGTTGTGGTGTTTTTGGAATTGAGACATTAGTACATCACTTGCTCTGACCTGCTGCACATTTTAGATAAAAACCACATTATCAAATACACCACATGTTCTAGCTCATTACCCTTGAAAGGATACACCTAAGCTCCTCAGTCAAACCTGTGAAGGTCCAGCTTAGAATGAACCTTCAGTAATCCATGCTTGTCGTAAGAGGCGACTAATGGGATTGGGTGGTCAGGCTCGTTGGCTTGGTTGACACATGTCATCGGTTCCAAGTTCCTCAGGTCAATGCTCATGCTGTTGATCACTGGATTGTCTGGTTTAGATTTGATTATTTATAGACCACCGCCATATAGTTGGAATATTGCTAAGTGCGGCGTAAAACTCAACTCATTCACTCAGTCAGAAAACAAATAAAATTCTGCAACAGATTAGGTCTCCCCCAACCCTTTGCAATACATTCATTTGACACATGATTTGCAATGGGTTTACTTTATTATTACATCCGAGAATCAAATGTCTCGAAAACATAATCTGTGACATATTTTAGCAAATGTAACTGTCTTCTAACTTTGAAGGCTATCCAGCTCACCTGGCCAGCAGTATTTAGTGACCATTTCACACACAGACTGTGTGTCTATTGATAGATTACTCACAATATTCATCTGTAAGAGTTTTTATTGGTGAAAATGCAGTCATTGTATTTCTATTTGACAATAATGCTCCCTATGTAGAACTTTTACTATTAATAATTGTGAAATGTCAATATGTAAGGTCTCATAAATCATGTATTTTGTAATGTGGACATACTGAAATCCAAGTTAGTCTGATCTTGACTGTATTGGTGTTTAGTGCAGCTCAAGTACCAGAGGTAATATATTCCAGGACAACAATCCAGCCACACTACAAAAAGTCAACTGTCAATCCTTTGGTTATCATGGCAACTATGTACATATTCCTCCAAAGCTAGTCTTGTTTCAAGCACAACGTACACCCTGTGTGTTAATGTTAGGTTTCTCATACCACCTAACACTTAATATACTTAGAAGAGCAGATGGGTCCTAAAAGTTACCCATTTCCACACATCACATTATATGAATAATTTCCTGGTAATAATTTTTTAAAGGCGGAAGAAATTGAACTTGAAAGTAAAAAGTATCCAATTGTCCGTATCTTCAGCATGGGTTACTGAAGACCAGTTCTAACCCAGATCGTCCAGGAACAGCTGAAGGTGACACACAGTGTGTGAGTGAGTGAGTGGAGTGGAGTTTTATGCCGCACTTAGCAATATTCCAGCTATATGGCGGCGGTCTGTAAATAATCATGTCTGGACCAGACGATCCAGTGATCAGATGACACACAGAAAACAAAGAGTGTTTGCAGTTGGTTATACCAGAACTTATCGTCCAGGTAACTCTTGATTTAATTATTTTCATGTACAATAAACATCTCATTACATTTCAGCTTTCAAACATCCCATTTGTACTTGATCCGACATTAAAAAAATTACAGAATGTCTTGGATCGGTGTCTTGAAAGTAATGACATTTATTCATTGATAATATTCAACACAATTTTGAGTATGAGCTACAGAAATGACACTACCGATATGATTCCAATATCTATTTTCAAAGACTACAAAAGAATATGAAATGGTACATGTAAAACATTCTATGATACTTGAGAACAGTAGACCTATTGCCATATGACACAGTTTATCTGTGGCTGACACTGAAATACTCCCTTGAGCAGACATGTTACATTCTCTGCACTATGTACAAACTTCCATGAAGTTTCATTCTGTTATTCACAAAAAAAAAATAACTTTCAGGAACCTAAAGTTTGCAGTGAAAGGAATCATATCTTATTGAATAATGGTGGTAGTTTGTTTCCTTAGCTTTGTAGTGTTGGATTTGTGCTCTCTCTCTCTCTCTGATGGGTTTAAGTCAACATTTTAGCAACATGTTAAGATAGAAACAAAGGTTTCACTGTGAACAATGAAGGAATACTGATCTATAGTACACCATATTCAGCAATTTTATTATGCAGGCCATGGACAAGTGGTAATTGTCAGGACCCACCAATGTCTTTAGATAAAAAGATTCTTTGTAATGCCTGAAGGTGGGAATTGTCTTGCATTGCCTTATTTGAGTTATTAAAGCATCCTGTTCCGATAAGCAACTACTCCTCCCACACAAAGTAAGTAATCTTGAGAATGTCTCTCCTCCTCCTCCCTCCCCCCCCCAACATTCCAGACTTTTACGGTCAATTTTCTAAGCACCAGGGGCATTTGATATAGTGTATGTAAAATGAAGTGGATGCAGTGAATTATGATGTACTTGTATACCTAATTATACTGTTAAACCTTCCATGACACACCATGGTAGGATCAAAACGTAATTTCAGTCAGACAAACACATTTTCATTCTGCAATGCTAGAAGAATATAACAGATTTTTGGAAACAGTTCTAGAAAATTCATACATCTCATTCACTGTAGGTAGGCACAATAGCACACATGCAAATGAATGAATACAAAACATACAATTTTTATCAACTCCTCAACCTTAACAGCTGGTCAACCCAAACAATATTCAACATCATATACATGTACATAACCAGGGTCTTATACGACATGGAAATGTGCATCCAATGTATAGAAAAAAATATATGTCATGTCCCTAAAAGACACACAATAATATTCATTGTAATATATTGCTGACAAGAAATATAAAGGTCCTGTCATTGTTGTTCTTACAGAACATTTCATTAGTTTACAGGACCCTCATATTTCCTGTAAGGACCCATGGATGTAATTACTAGGGGTCGTTTGGAGGTTCAGTAAGTACTGGTAAAATCCTGCATTACAACACTATTCTGGCTTGATTCCTTTGAACATGCCGAATGGACACAACTTAATACAAGTTGGGGAAAAAGTAAAATCCATGTCACAAGAAAGATTTATTAGTGATCATTTTTAATGCTTTATCTATAATCATGTAGTAAAATTGTGATGTTCCAAAGAGGTATCTATTATTTTGTTCTTGTACTTTCAGTCATCAAAGTAAAAATAATCAAATGCCACTGAGGCATTGCATAAATTCATCAAATAGTGAATTCTGTCACCATCTACCATTGTAAATGTCACTTGAAAAGTACTGCAGATTGTCAACGGCAGCATGCAATGGAAGACAAAATAGAGCTTAGTCTTTCGACAAATGATGGATCTACAAGTTTAAGTTTCTCAACAAGACAATTCTTCTCAATATCAGACCAGCCTTCAAACCACTCAGAGAAGAGACGCAGCTGACAATGAAATACATCAGGGTGTTCTTCCATGTTCAATCTTCTCATTGCGATGTCAAGTGCTTGTGGAAGCTGAGGAGAAGATTTGTCCACTAGTTCCTTTAAGAAATTCTTCTCTTTGCAACGACGTCCATTTCTTAAACCAATGGACAGTCCACTGAATCTCTCGCTGCATCCATATACTAGACATTATCAGATTTATGACCTTGCACTGCACTTACTAAATTCAGTATGATGTAAATTATGAGTAAACATACATTCCTTCTAAGAGTATGATGAAGACACTCACACATTCAGTTGGATGAATGAGGATGAAAATCTTAAATCAATGTTCAATTTCATTCAGCGCATTCCACTCATGCATGCAAATAATGTTCAGCCATTGATACACATACACATGGAACCAAATGGTTAAGATGATCCCTGTAAAGATGCAACTTCATCATTAAATCTTTTGACAAATTGTGAATCCACCTCTGCCAACTTTATGATAAAACTTTGGCGATCTTGTTGTGTCCATCCATCAAACCACTGAGTGTAAAGTTTTAGTTGACACTGGAATATACTTGGGGGTCTGTCTTGAACATTAAGGGTTTTCATAGCATCAAACAATGCATCTACTTGAGGTGGGGCTGCCTTCTCTACCAAATCCTTGTAAAAATCTCCCTTCTGCATTGGACTCCAGCACTGGAACCAGTGGACAACAGTTTGTATTTCCTTCTCCACACACGATGTTGACATTCTTTCCTAGTTTGCAAGGAATTCTTACATGACGACGTTTCACATGTCCACTATCTGTAACATATTGAAAAGCATATTTTAATTAGATCAACGCAAAATGAAATTGTTAGTCTCTACTAATGATACAAAACAACTAAACATAATGGGAACATCTAATATATTGAATTCAAACAGAATTCAGTGTTTTGGAGTGTTTTTAGCTTGGATTTCGTACAGAATAAATACGCCAGCCTGCTGCACCGAAACTGTGTCAGCACTCTGATCGCGGCCGCTGGAAAATCAAAGAAAAGCCAGAGTTGTCTCTCTTATCCGGAAGTAAAAGGGAGTAATTATTCCCTTATTAATGCAATCAAAATGACAGTCTATTTAGAAAAGGCTTGAACTTAAGAAGTTATAAAAGATGTTAATTTAATATATATTCTATACAGAATATGTGGAATGAAAATCAACTTCACTCAGTATTTATAGCATAAACATTAAATAAGAAAGAAAAAGGTGCCCGTAGAATGATCCCAAGGAAAGATAAGCCTGCATGTACACCTCGGATACAAGATGGCGGCTTCTGTTGAATTATCAGTTCTGCTTCGGGATGGAAGCAAGAAACTATTTACAAAACCAGCAGGACAAGGAGACCCACCTATTGATATCAAAACCTTACAACAATCTCTTTTATCTTTGCAAAAAGAAACCAACTCATACCTTACTGAAATTGTTGAACAGGAAAAAACCTTATTAAACAAGGCAGCAAATGGTCAAACTAAGTCAACTGGTAAGTGTTTTTGTAATCGTGGTAATGTTTACATTGCGTAACTTACCAGACGGGTAAGAGTTCCTCCCGTTCCCCCATCCCAAATAATATTTATAAATATACTAAAATTATGAACAAAACTTAACACAAAAATTCCTAGAGAACTCACAAAATGACTAAAAGTCCAAAATTTAAGTTAGGGTTAGGTTTAAGGTTGGGGGAACGGAAGGAACTCTTTCCACCAGACGCGGATGAATATTGCCGAACACTACCCGAGTAATTACTTCACCAGCCACACTTTTTTCAAATTTCACTTAACGCCGCTGTGAGAATCAGTCCCTTAGTCAGTGAGTGAGTAAGTTGAGTTTTACGCCGCACTCGGCTATATGGCGGTGGATCTGGACCAGACAATCCAGTGATCAAAAGCAAGTCCCTTAGTCAGCTTGAAGTTCAAGCTAACCAAATCTAGCAAATCAGCTAGAGTGCAGTTTATGGGGCTCAGCACCAGCCAGCGATGACTGCCCGCATGCGGAGAAATTATCGCACTATATCGTACCCTCTGTCTCGCTATATCGCTGCTCACCTAGAGTTCTCCTATGTTCTCCTGACACATCTTTAGAGGCAAACAACCCTTTACGACCCTTAGCGTTAGGGACCGCCTCCGTGGTGTAGTGGTTAGAGCGTCCGCCCGGAGAGCGGAAGGTCGCGGGTTCGATCCCCGACCGCGTCATACCAAAAGACGTTAAAATATGGTACTTGTTGGTCCCTGTCTGGCTCTCGGCATTAATGGGTACAACAAGGACTGGTCGGCTCGGAGTCAGTATAATGTGTCTGAGTGGGGTATTCATGCTTCTCTGCGGCATGGTATCTCAGTGGGCTAGCACTATAAAACCAGCTTCAGTCTGGGCTAGTACAAGCAGCCACACCTACACATACACATGCATGCACGTCGTCATATGAGCGAAATATTCTCAAGCACGACGTTAAACCCAATTTCACCTCACCTCACCTTAGCGTTAGGGTATAGCACCTGTTCTAATCGTTAGGGTTAGGGTTAGGTACCCTTTCTAATCCTTCTGTTTAGGGTGTTACATCCTTTCTGATCCTTAGGGTTAGGTACCCTTTCCGATCCTTACGGTTTGGGTTTAGGATTAGGGTTTAAGGTCCCTTTCCGATTCTTAGGGAGCTGACACATCTTCAGAGGTAAACAACCCTTTCTGATCCATATGGTTTAGGGTTAGACCTTACCTTAGGGCAGTGCAATCTGAATATGTCCAATTGAAACACATTTCACCCCTACCTGGGACTCAACAGTACAGTCCCAGAAACAATTGCATGAAAAAAAAATGAAAGGGAAGAGTGGCATAGTGAGGCGCATTAACTGTGGTGGCATCGTGTTCCTGAGGTAGAGCGTCCGCTAATTGTGGCTCTAATTACCAAATTCAGTAATCCGGCATGCCTTGTTCAAGCCCCAGCAATGCTAATTAATCTGAAAAAGTGTACCCGGTAAAGTGTACCACTCCCGTCAAGACGTCCATTTTCGTTCCTACCTCACTGTTTAGGTGGTTTCAAGTCAGACAGACAAATGTTTATTCAGTATTTCAGGCCATATGACCTATAGTACAGTTGTGTTGTCGTTATATTTTTACATTGCACAGTCACATGGAAATATAAATATACATACATATATTACCGTCTAATTTCAAAAATCTTTTTTAGGAATATTGAAACAGATAATAAAATATTGATATTTCTTGAGTTTAAGAGGTTTTTCATTTGTTGTTCATCTTTGTACACAGTTGAGATCATAGGGACATATCTGCTCCTAAGAGACTGGTAATGCTCACAAATGAAAAGAACATGAAATTCATCATCGACATAGCCTTCATTACAAAAATGACATAAACTATTATTTTTATCATGTACATTTTTCGTTCTAATATTTTTAACATTAATATTGTGGAGTGATATTCATAATTTACAGAATGCTCTTCTTAAAGTTCTATCCTGTAGTTCGGATACATATTTTTCAGGAACAAGTAATGATTTTATATTTGCATAAGGGACTGTTCATAATTTATGGCTGGGGGTGATGATGATTTTTATGGAGAAGCATGTACAATGTGAAGGACCCCCTATAAAATATATGTACAAAATAAGTGACCCCCTGCATGTCATGTACAAAATCAATCAACCCCCCCCCCCTTTCCCATAATTTCTAAGCATAATTTTAAACATACTTTTATGTACAAAATTGCTGACCCCACTAGTATATGTGTGTATAAAATTGATTACCCCCTAGCTCCCAGAACAAAATGGGTGACACCCCCACCCCCTTAAAATCATCATCATCACCCCCCTAGCCATAAATTATGAACGGTCCCTAATGACACAGAAATCTTGAGGATGATATTTGTGAGTGCCAGTTTTGTGAATATATGTCATTTAATCTCTGCTTAAGGATAAAGTTAAATAACTTGTCATTTCAAGTAGGCAATAAGAGTTGACCCCATTTTACCTAGCCTACTGTTCATGGAATCTGATAAAGTGCACATGTAAAGGGCAGTGGCCTCTCCTTATGGCCCACCTTTTAAAGTTCCCTCGAAATGGGAGGGAAGACACCAGTTTACCGATTCATTTATGCAGCTATACTGGCCCTGACTCACTGCTCACTGATTTCATTTAATACTGTAGGAGAGGCCAAATAATATCGAACAAACTTTATGGATAACAACTTCTTTATTTCATGAGTGCAATGTTTTGATACAGATTCTTGTACTGCTTGATAACGGTACAAGAATCTGTCCCAACTTCTAAGACGCCACTCAAACAAGAGAGACCAAAGGCTAAGACATCAAGGCAAGTGAAGCATGCTGCAATGCAAGATAGAGACTGCCCTCACACATCTCTAATCAGCTCACTTGTCATTTCATTGCACAGCCCAACACACAATGATCAGGTTCATTATGTTCATCCCATTAATTCTCTACTAACTACTGATGATAAAAGCAATATACAGTCGATCACAGTGACACTGTTGTGTCGAACTCTGATAACTCGATATCTCGGTTGTCACTATATAACATCTCGGTCCCGGCAAAATCCTTCCTAATTTATCATTTTTCAAGCTCTTTTAACTCAATACGGATGTCTCGATATAATTTCATGGTCCCAACCAGCAAAATTACCCTTTTAACTTGATATTTGCAAAGAAACTCCAAATTCACCTACCTTTCATGGACAAGTAGCCCTCTGAACTGAGGTTCTTTCCACATGTTTACACACGATGCGGCATGAATCAAAGGGATGCGGTAGTGTAAAGTAATAAGGGCTAATTGAGTTGAAGGTGTCACTTGTTTGTTATTGAATTAGGATTAATTAAGAAGGAATTAATTAGGAAGTGCTCACTGTTACGACTAAACTCTACTGATAACGGATTATAGTTTCAAATCAAAACATACTGAGAAGCGTTTTGTTTTCTTTCATAGTGATATGTGATGATATGGCCTGGTTGGATGTCTCGAAGTTCGGATAACTCGATATTTTTTCTTGGTCCCATGAATATCGAGACAACGGTGCTCGACTGTATGTGTCAGTTGTAATTTTTTACTTAAAGGATCTATAAAGGTCCATTAAAGTAGTTTTTATTTTATTTCAGACAATAAGGATGATGAGGAGGAAGAGGAGGAGGGATGATGATGATGATGATGATGAAGAAGATAATGATGATGGAGGAGAGCCAGCAGAGAAGAAACAGAAAAGATGATACCCCATGATTATGTGTTCGGACTGTTACAGTGTAAATATTCTTGAGAAGTACTCAGCACCAGTCTCATTTAAATCATATTTGTATCTATGATACAGTGCCCGGGTGTGTGAAAATCGTATGACACCTCCATAGGTCAAGGTAAATAAATTTTCTAATCAGCCTATCAGCTGGAACAAGCTAGATAAGCATTTTTACCCGCAGATCTGATTTGTGTTTCTTGAAAACAACCTAAACCAGCATGTTCTGAGTGTAGGTGATAAATGCTGTGCCAGTCTTTTGTTGTGGAGTTTTTGTTCACCTTGTTATATCTGGGTGTTATGGAAAGGGAACAAGAATATCTGCTTTCTGTGGGTTTTGTTTTGTTAAGATTAAACTCCTGAATCTCGATGAGAATATAACATCAGATTGTCCCATGTTTCCTTCATTTAGATTGAGCACTCTTCTGTCATGATTCCAAGATTTTCTATGGAGGTATTCTCAGATCTTGATGCAGGGAGGTAATGTGCTGAGAGTAACATCTGGTTTTAATAAGATTTTAATGAGCACATTATCTTTTGGCTTGAATGTATGGTACACCACTGAAATGGCATCAGTCAATTACAAGAGATAGGGTAGTCTTGTGATAAAATTATTTATTTACATGATGAAGATTTCTTTTTGACATTGTTTGATCGGCATTCTAAAAGTTGGTGAGTCAGAAATGATACAAATTTATGGATGACAACTTCGCGTTTATTGCTTAGAGCGACGTTTCGTTGTAGATTCTTACATTGTCATTTTGACATGTTGGTACAATGTGTGTCCAGATCCTTTCAGAATATAGAGAGAACTATTGTGTTGACTCATATGGATGGAGGACATGCCTGCTGTGGAAATTAAGTACAATAAACATGATAAAATCTGGAAACACCATTTTCTCCTCAATCATGTTAATTAAACAGACAAAGAAAACAAAGCAGTATTTCTGATTATGAAATGTTTATTTCATATACTCTCAACATACCGGTACTACAATCTGATGTGCGTGGGCAAAACATCATGTACACAAGCATCCACAAACCATTCACAATAGTGATAATTCAGTACACATCACATCAACATGTCTTATTTTAAAATGAAATAGTCATATGCTGCCAGCAAGAAACACTGCTGTCTTATAAGGCACTGGCATATTCACCAATGAAGCTGGTTTCTGGAAACATGACTTATGGGACAAAAACCACACCCAAACTGTTAATTTGGGTTTTGAATAGCAATTCCTTTTTTTTTCAATAGAATGTGGTCATGTTGCTAAAGACCTGAGTATCATAGTATTCATGTTTAAACAACTCTTGCATATACAGAATCTGAGATATATAGTATATACGATCTACAAAACTGACAATTTCAGTTATTATAAGTGTTAAAAAGTATCTGTCCCATATATGTATAAAAAAATTTATATAGCATGTATGGAAGGAAATAAAAAATAGTCTAGGCTTTGCATACAATCTAGGGTACATAATCACAATCATAATCATTAAGAAATATGTAAGATGACTGAACGACATCCCAGACTAGGTACCCTCATGCTTGTCTAAAGGAAGACAAGGACTACAGATGTAAAACTAGGTATGTACATCATAGGTAGGGCTTTGGTTGAAACAAGGCAGTGTCATGTATGTGTGTACACTGTATATACTGTTTAACAGACTTCCCAAAAATAAGATTCAAACCGAATCTGTAAAATACACTACTCACTGACGTTAAAGAACACCTACATTGGGTGTTCTTTAACATCTTTTGACCAGTATACAAACAGCAGGTTGAAAGTTTGCTTGTGGGGCTTTTGACTTGGTTCAGCGACAAATAAACTTATCATGAACCACATGTGCAACATTTCACTGTAATGTATTTTACAATCATTATTATTATGCAATATGGAAAATGATTAAATTATGCATATCCACAAGATTTTTCTGAAGTTAGTTTTGCAGTTGAGTTTTGTATGAAAATAAGAGCTAGCATGTGTAACAAGGGAAATCAGTTTTTGCTAGGTTCATCTTGGCCACAAAACTTTTGTGATGATTAATGTGTTGCTTATTTGAACTACCGGGTACTTTAAGTTTCATAGAACTGCCACTTTGTCAAGCACAGACACACCTTAACCTATATATAATATATATTCAAGTTACAAAGTACTCAATGGTGTGTGATTTTTTTATATATATAAATATATATATATATCACACCATTGAGTACTTTATAACTTGAAAAATTCATTCTGTGTAATTAACAATCCCAGTTATTATATAAAAGCATATGTAAGTTCAACAAATCATATGGAAAATGTAAAAATTATAACCTTCACCTGAAAGTTTGAACAATTCATTCATTCAGAGGTTGGAGAATTCATGGTAAACTCAACACTTTTCAAGATGCATAATATACCTGAGAAGATGGCATTGAGCATTAACACAGACAACTTTGAAAGTAATATGTTGGTATCATGCTGGTTTCAGGAAAGGAGTTCTCCATGGACAGAAGATGGTCTTAACAGAGAAACAGTTAAAAAACACATTATTGGGTTTACCCAAACCACTTTATCTGGTTCCTCATTGTCTATATTACAGTATTATGATAAACTAAAGTCCTGTGATGATGACTGACTGAGTTTAGTTTTACGCCGCTTTTAGCAATATTCCAGCAATATCACGGCGGGGGACACCAGAAATGGGCTCAACACATTGTGCCCATGTGGGGAATCGAACCCGGGTCTTCGCCGTGACGAGCCAACGCTTCAACCACTAGGCTACCCCACCGCCCTGTGATGATGAAGGGACAGTACCCTATGCTCATGTGCAGTACCTCATACTGAAGTGGTACAAAGTGACTAAGCAGTCCTTTAATTTCTAGTTTCTTGTCTTCATGATATGGCTGAAATATTGCCCATATCACGTAAATTTTTTAACTCACTCACACTCTAGTTTCCTGGGTTAAGATTAATAAAAACCTGCCAGTGCATTTCAGATTCGAAACCTGTTTACATGTATGTGTATTAGTTGTTGGTTGATTACTGTCTACCTTTCTCCAAGGTATATTGTTTAGGCTGTGATTTAAAGGGTCAAATTAGGGGTTGGACTGTCTAAAGTGGAAAACCATCCTGTAAGATATTCAAAGGTTGTTATGAATTGCTGGAATATCTAAGGCACAAAACAACAAATACAAAACACCATCATCATAATAATTGCCATGAACATCATGCATTGACTTTGGCATAAAACAACATTCTCTCACACATGAGCAATTATAATGTTTCATGGTTAGTCACATATGAGTAATTATTATGTGTCATGACAAGGGACCAGTCATTTAGGATAAGGGAGGGGAGGAGGGTCACCAACAATGTGACAGTCTTAAACTAGCTCTTGGGGCAAAACTAATACCCATATTTGGGGATGGTCATCCAAAACATATTACAAGCACTATCAGAGGGTAATTCTTTCCAGTACATTATGCATAAAAAACTCTCACCCACCAACCCTTGTAAAAAATGACTGGTCCCTTAACCCGGGTATTATGTGTCAATATACCTGCTATATTGGATAACACGAGTAAAGTCAGTAAATTGAGCAAGCAGGTATCAATACTGTAAAACATTCTTATGATACTAACTAATTCATAGCTCATACAACATTTGGATTTGTAGCATTTGTTTTCCCCTTTTTAGTTCAAAGGATGATATTAGAATTAGATTTCAATTTTAGTATTGTTAAGTTCCTCAGAAATGCAGCCATATTTTGGAGTGGCCATGCTAATGACATCCTGTTTCCGTGAGAAGTAGAACTAACCACAACAAATTTCAAAACAATTTGTTCAGATGTTTCAGATAATATGTAACATAAGAATATTTACAGTAATAGAACATCATATCAGAAAAGTTCTTGTTTAAAGGCAACATATCTTAGTACATTTTTTTACATAAACATGAATATCAGTCCATCCACCAGTGCATGTATTCAAATATATTACATATAAGTTTACTGAATATATAACATAGAAAAGTATACCCTGGAACATATTTCTTATTTCACTAGCCTGGACTTCTTTCACGAATATATCATTATGCAAGTAATACCTGACGTGCAAATCTCATGGCAAGACCCTGAACCCTTATATCAACATCGTGTACAGGTATACTAACCATCAAAAGTTTCGACTCACTTAAAGCACTCACTATATGTTATAGTATAAATATATATAGTTACATCGAAGATGAATTTCTCCACTAACTTGAAGGAACCAACTGCAAACCTTTTGTAGATGAATTGCACGAGGATCATGCATCAAATTGCTGAAAAGCATGTGCAAATATCGTACATGTGAACAGCTGTGCTTTGGTGTAAAGTTTTGTTATGAATTTGCCAATTATCACTGAGTTTCATCATATATTGAACTCGGGACAATACTCTTTTCAACGTTTCAACTATGTTTTACAATACACCAGTTCATGTATAAACAGTACCTTTTGACAGTATGGAATTTTTGGCAAAATTTAGTTCAGAACAGTTGACTGAAGTAAATGGCTACATTTACACTAGTGAGTCTAAACTTTTGATGGGTAGTATATGTAAAACTGTGAGTCTAAAGCGTCAGTCAATCAATAAGGTCTCTATCCCCATCAAGGAAAATGGAATATTGTAAACTTCACAATGATCCATTCCAAGAAGGCAACATTCTCTTCCCACAGAGGTTACTTGTCATATCTTCCTACGAACCTCTGTTCTAATACGGCCATATTTCCCGGTTCTCGTTAAATCCCCTAGCGGCAAAAGATCACAACACGAATTATCTCCCTTCTTTCTATCTAATCAGAACACGTGTTACATTGACTTAGATTCAACTTGACTAACACAAGCAAATGTGGGGCCACAAATATCCCCCATCTGCCGGGGACTTGTGTTGATGTTACACACAAGACGTTTAATGGCTAGCTTGTCAGTTGTCAACGAGGGCGATGGAGAGGCCACTGATCCGCCATAACATGACTGAGTTCTGTCTAGAAGAAACATTTGCGCATCGCGCAGGGGAAGAAGTTTAGTTTTCTCTAAGCATACGGAAATTACCGAGGCCTTAAGAATGATCACTTTTGAAACAACGGCGCTGATTGCACAACTAAATCTGATTGCCTCCAATCACGAGTCTTGAACGCTCACACCATGAAAGGGCCGTATTAGAACAGAGGTTACGTAGGAAGATATGACAGGAGTAACCTCTGTGGGAAGAGAATGAGAAGGCAATGGAATATTATTGTTATTAGTTTCCAAAAATGTATTTACTCTCATGAATATACCCTGGGAATCAGAACATTTGAATTGAATAAGAATGTTTAGGTAGCTGCCATATATTCAGTACATGTAACAATATTTACACAGACTAAAACAGGTTAAAATGTTAAAAACTGCAATAGCACATTAAGAATTCTCAAATAAAATGCAAAAATATCCTGCTCACAGACATATATACATTATCATGCACTCACAAATAACATTCCTAATCTCTCATCTGTGTAACAGTTGAGTATTGTGCGCATAACAAAGTAGGGTGAGAGGGATGCATTTCATGTGTGTATAAAAGCAAGAGCAAAATCAACATTCAAATAAAGGTACATATTGATTATGAATGACTGAATACAACTCTTTCTAATGAGGTAGAGCGGATGTGCTGCTGGTTAGTGGGTAGATTAGTTTTGCATGTACACTGAACTCTCCTTTATAACTACATGTATTTGAATTGTAAGGCTTGCTTGGACATTTCACATTTTTATAGAAGAATTGTTTAATACCGGTAGGCTTTTTAATATGCATCTAATGTAGAAATCTGATCAATTATTTTCACAATATAATTTCAAGGCAAGGAACCTGCAACCTCATGTATATATAGTGTAAACCAGTGTTTTCCCACTCGGCATGTGGTGGCATGTGACAGACTGTCATTGAATTCATTATATACCTACTCTAGTTTCACCATAAACTATTCCGTTTTTTTTTTTCTGGTATTTCTTGCATTTAGATGGTTTATAATTAGCATAAAACATTTCTGGTAAATTCTGGCTTACAAATATAAACACTCAAGGCTGGGGATATTCTCTCACTCTCCCATGTTTACATTTTGAACGTAACCCTTGGACGCGGGTTTTCTCTTTACAACATGCAACGGTGTTGATGCCATCACACTTCCCTGTAGGGAACTAACTGTTTTACAGAAACAGTTTGTCACAAAAAATATCGAGTATGCTGTATTGTTTTCCACTGTGTAGTGGTTGCCAGGGAAACATGACAACTACAACCCATCAATAAACTTCAAGAATCAGTAAAGTTAACATGGCAAACATCAAGAACTCTGTGCCCTTGATGCAGGGTATTGCCAGAAACAGTGCAGGAACACACTCTGCCATTGAAAATTTCACTTCCTGATAACATAGATATAGGCACACAGGCATATCATACAAAATGTCCAAAATTTATAAATCAGAATACATTTGTTTTTAAAAAACAACATGGATAACCTTTTCGTTAACCAAATGTTTTCAAGAAGAATTTATGACCATCTATAAGGATTAATCTAACACTGCCATAATATAACCAAAAGATTGACGTCCATTGTTTTCATGACAGTAAAAAGATTTGTGGTTTTCACAACCATCACCACGAACATTTATGCCTTGTGTGGTCTCTTTTGACCCCCATATCATTTCATCCATCCATCCAACAAGACCCCGTTCAACATTGTTCCTAAATGTCAAGTTCCTATAGCAGTAGGTATCCTGGCTCTAACTGCTATGGCTCCAATGGAAGATTCTGTCAAGTACCATCCAATAGCAACAATTCTCTGGATTAATTCTCAGAATTTGTGAGTTTGATGTGGATCTTGATGATGGTATCAACAATGTCAGGCTCAGCAAGGGTTGACACATCTCCAAGTTCATCCAGTTTATTTGCTGCGATGTTTCGTAATATGCGTCGCATTATCTTACCTGACCGAGTTCTTGGCAAGCCTGGCGTTACCTGTAATGAAACTTTGACAATCATTTCTTCCTTTCTCGTTTGAAAACCTCTGTGTTTCATTAGTATATATATATCAGCATGTAATCCTAACTGTGGTTGATATTGGCATGAAGCAGTAACTGGCCAAACTGACTTACATGAAGCATGTGGAGAATTTAGCCTTTCTAAACACAAGAAAAAAATAAAATCAACTGAAGAGACCATCTAATCTATTCATAGCCCTCCTAATAAGACAAAACAATCAACACACAGTTACTGGGGTCACGTACAGTTTCACAAAAGATATCATCCAAAATGTACTAAATTTTCTCCCTATCACTGTGTTGTCCAACAGACATAGTACCAATAGTTGACTTTGACTGTGTTGTCCAACAGATATAGTACAAATAGTTGACTAGTATTGTGTTGTCCAACAGATATAGTACAAATAGTTGACTAGTATTGTGTTGTCCAACAGACATAGTACAAATAGTTGACTATTATTGTGTTGTCCAACAGATATAGTACAAATAGTTGACTAGTATTGTGTTGTCCAACAGATATAGTACAAATAGTTGAGTAGTATTGTGTTGTCCAAGAGATATAGTACAAATAGTTTACTATGATTGTGTTGTCCAACAGATATAGTACAAATAGTTCAGCCATGCACAAAGAGTAACCCACTGACCTGTATTACCCACTGACCCTGACCTGTATTACCCACTGACCTGTATTACCCACTGACCTGTATAACCCACTGACCCTGACCTGTATTACCCACTGACCTGTATTACCCACTGACTGTATTACTCACTGACTGTATTACCCACTGACCTGTATTACCCACTGACTGTATTACCCACTGACTGTATTACCCACTGACCTGTATTACTCACTGACTGTATTACCCACTGACCTGTATTACCCACTGACTGTATTACCCACTGACCTGTATTACCCACTGACCTGTATTACCCACTGACTGTATTACCCACTGACCTGTATTACCCACTGACCTGTATTACCCACTGACTGTATTACCCACTGACCTGTATTACCCACTGACCTGTATTACCCACTGACCTGTATTACCCACTGACTGTATTACCCACTGACTGTATTACCCACTGACCTGTATTACCCACTGACCTGTATTACCCACTGACCTGCATTACCCACTGACCTGCATTACCCACTGACCTGTATTACCCACTGACCTGTATTACCCACTGACCTGACCCACTGACCTGTATTACCCACTGACCTGTATTACCCACTGACTGTATTACCCACTGACCTGTATTACCCACTGACCTGTATTACCCACTGACTGTATTACCCACTGACCTGTATTACCCACTGACCTGTATTACCCACTGACTGTATTACCCACTGACCTGTATTACCCACTGACCTGTATTACCCACTGACCTGTATTACCCACTGACTGTATTACCCACTGACCGTATTACCCACTGACCTGTATTACCCACTGACCTGTATTACCCACTGACCTGTATTACCCACTGACTGTATTACCCACTGACCTGTATTACCCACTGACCTGTATTACCCACTGACCTGTATTACCCACTGACTGTATTACCCACTGACCTGTATTACCCACTGACCTGTATTACCCACTGACCTGTACATTACCCACTGACCTGTACCCACCCACTGACCTGTATTACCCACTGACCTGTATTACCCACTGACTGTATTACCCACTGACCTGTATTACCCACTGACCTGTATTACCCACTGGCTGTGGCATTACCCACTGACCTGTATTACCCACTGACCTGTATTACCCACTGACTGTATTACCCACTGACCTGTATTACCCACCTGTATTACCCACTGTATTACCCACTGACCTGTGTATTACCCACTGGCTGTATTACCCACTGACCTGTATTACCCACTGACCTGTATTACCCATTACCCACTGGCTTACCCACTTACCCACTGACCTGTATTACCCACTGACCTGTATTACCCACTGACCTGTATTACCCACTGGTATTACCTGTATTACCCACTGTATTACTCCACTCGACTGTACCTGTATGTACCCACTGACCTGTATTACCCACTGGCTGTATTACCCACTGACCTGTATTACCCACTGACCTGTATTACCCACTGACCTGTATTACCCACTGACCTGTATTACCCACTGACCTGTATTACCCACTGACCTGTATTACCCACTGTATTACCCACTGACCTGTATTACCCACTGACCTGTATTACCCACTGACTGTATTACCCACTGACTGTATTACCCACTGACCTGTATTACCCACTGACTGTATTACCCACTGGCTGTATTACCCACTGACCTGTATTACCCACTGACCTGTATTACCCACTGACCTGTATTACCCACTGACCTGTATTACCCACTGACCTGTATTACCCACTGGCTGTATTACCCACTGGCCTGTATTACCCACTGACCTGTATTACCCACTGACCTGTATTACCCACTGGCTGTATTACCCACTGACCTGTATTACCCACTGACCTGTATTACCCACTGACCTGTATTACCCACTGACCTGTATTACCTGTATTACCCACTGACCTGTATTACCCACTGACTGTATTACCCACTGGCCTGTATTACCCACTGACCTGTATTACCCACTGACCTGTATTACCCACTGACCTGTATTACCCACTGGCCTGTATTACCCACTGGCCTGTATTACCCACTGACCTGTATTACCCACTGGCTGTATTACCCACTGACCTGTATTACCCACTGACCTGTATTACCCACTGACCTGTATTACCCACTGGCCTGTATTACCCACTGACCTGTATTACCCACTGACCTGTATTACCCACTGACCTGTATTACCCACTGACCTGTATTACCCACTGACCCACTGTGTATTACCCACTGTATTACCTGTATTACCCACTGACCTGTATTACCCACTGACCTGTATTACCCACTGACCTGTATTACCCACTGACCTGTATTACCCACTGACCTGTATTACCCACTGACCTGTATTACCCACTGGCTGTATTACCCACTGACCTGTATTACCCACTGACCTGTATTACCCACTGACCTGTATTACCCACTGGCTGTATTACCCACTGACCTGTATTACCCACTGACCTGTATTACCCACTGACCTGTATTACCCACTGACCTGTATTACCCATTGGCTGTATTACCCACTGACTGTATTACCCACTGACCTGTATTACATCTGGTACGGCATAGGCGGCAATGTTGGCCTTCACAATACCCTTCAGCTGCTCACAGATCTCTTTTTTGGACGTCTTCACCTCATCCTTGAGTGTCACATAGGCATACACACCTGCACACACAAGGTGAAGGGTAAGACATGGCCTTGAAAACCGTGTGTGTGTGTGAGAGAGAGAGGTAGTGTGTGCATTCGAGAGATTAAGTGTTTTGTGTGACATATATATATATATATAGTGTGTGTGTGTGTGCTAGTGATAGTGAGAGAGATAGTGTGTGTATGAGAGAGATAGTGTGTTGTGTGTGTGAGTGAGAGAGAGAGAGTGTGTATGAGATAGTGTGTTGTGTGTGAGTGTGTGTGTGTGTGAGAGAGAGAGTGTGTGTATGAGATAGTGTGTGTGTGTGCTAGTGATAGTGAGAGAGATAGTGTGTGTATGAGAGAGAGAGTGTTGTGTGTGAGAGAGAGAGAGAGAGTGTGTGTGTGTGTGTGTGAGAGAGAGAGAGAGAGAGAGAGTGTGTGTGTGTGTATGAGATAGTGTGTTGTGTGTGAGAGAGAGAGAAAGTGTGCGTGAGACTGCCTGTGTATGCAGGGGCAGATCCAGAGGGTGTGTGTGGGCTCAATTCCACAATGTGATCTTAGGGATATGACTGTTGTTGAGATAGATTCACCACTGTCATAAAGGTAACATGTTCATACCCTACCTTCCCCCTTGATGTCATGAGGGAAGCCCACCACTGCTGCTTCAGCAATGTCTGGATGCTCTGTCTGTAAGACAAATCACAACATCCTGTTTTCTCAAATCATGATCAAATGCAATTTGTCAGTCATTATCATAGCAAACTACAGTTATAATGAACTCAGATAGACAGAGAAGTTTGAGGTACTAATGCACAGAAAACACCCTTCCCTACAGCTTTTCATATTTTTGGATTACGTTCTCATGACCTTGTATATTTTGTATTGACCCTCGCTGAAAAGATAAAATGCAAAATCACTCTGTATTTCATTGTAAAATAGCCATTTAACCATCACCCTCCCCAAAAATGTGTTTTATGTTTCTAATAATCGTCCCTAGTCATATATCATCCCAAATATAGTACTTTTTTATATTAGTCTTCCCTAGTGAAATATCAGTGACCGTGCCATGATTCTATCTAAAACCCATCCCCTAGCCACCCTCCAAAAATATGACTGGTCCCTTAAATATTATAGAGATGCAAATTCATTAAGCAACTCTAATGTGTATTATAATAATATTCTCACAATAATATCTTCAGAACAGAACAGAACTTTGATTACGCTCAGGCCAGGATACTCGGCATAAGAGGTACAAATATACAACTGAGAATACATGGGATGGCTGGATGGTTTACAAGGAAGATTTACAGTTTTCATGATAGTACTACAAAATATACACAGTTTTTTTAAAACACTAATTCGTTTACAGTTAAACAATTCTTTAAATATTAAAACATTGGATTTTTTAACATAATGATTTGGGATATAAGTTTTTAGGATGATGTTTGAAGAAAGGGCAGAGAAAAATGTAATGAAATTCATCGCCAACATCACACGCGTCGCAGAGGTTACACATTCTTTCTTCAGGTGGAACTTTGTGCCACCTACCTACTTCTATAGGTAAACAATGGCAGGAACTTCTAAACAAGAGAAATTTAAGAGCCAAGGAGAAAGTGGTATATGTGATATTTTTCAAGGACAAGTTCAGATTGGAATACGCGGTACATGGTACCCTAAGAAGACTTAAATATGTCTGTGCGCCATGTTTGGGTTGCTATATCATGTAACCGCAAGGAGATAATAGTTTTTTAATTAACAATATTCTCACAATAATATCTTCAATCTCTGCCGTGCCAAGTCTGTGGCCTGTGACATTCAAGACATCGTCCATCCTGCCTGTTATCTGGTAGTATCCTTTATCAGTTCGGTGTGCACCATCACCCGAAAAGTATAGCCCTGGACATTCAAACATACATGTTAAAAAAGATCAAACTTACATATATTTAACGTTTTCTAACACTGCAAGCAAACAGGTGAAGGCATTCCATTACAGGCGGCTGCTTATCAAAACACAAATCAAATACAACAGATACACTTTTGAATGAATGGCTCAACTTGGAGCAATGACACTTTTATATCCTTTTCATGGCCAAACCTGAACTATACATATGTTATTAGCAGCCCGAGACTGGCTTGCACAAAACAATCACAGTGCTACAACCATTGTAAGCCAATGTTAAGTATGGGGGGTTCCATTAATCTATGTGTTTCAGAAGCTTAGTGCAAGTGGATCTAGACTTGAACATTTCTCTTCTGACATTTTACAACTTCAGTTCTACTTACCGATAAATTATCATTTCTACTTCATATAAATAGCAGTTACTTTGACTTACATATAATGCTCTTCAAACAGATCAATTATTCCTTAGCTCAAACGTATACATACATGTATATGAACTTTCATTTCAATACATGTAAAGTGCAGTGATTTCTACATCTTCCCGACTATAAAAGTCCAATTTCCACCCTTCCTGAACTGTATCTGTTATATACTGGACAAAAATAGTTAGGGATATATGTAAATTTTGAAATTATGAATAATGATCTATTTATTCATTGTCACACTGATAAAATATCAATCATAAAAATACCAATATCCCTAACTTATTTTGTCCAGTATATGTTGGCCTAACAAACCTATGCACAGTCGAATCAAACGTGTAACAAATTCAACAACTGGTTTCTAAAACACCATGGCCAGTAGTGTGCAGATGTAGGTCCATTGTAGTGTACAGCTGGGCAAGAACAAATATTGGCCAGATCTTTTCATTTTTTCAGTCAACAAGCGGTTTGATACACTTATGACTGACTGAGTTTGGTTTTACGCCGCTTTTAGCAATATTCCAGCAACATCACGGCGGGGGACACCAGAAATGGGCTTCACACATTGTACCCATGTGGGGATTCGAACCCGGGTCTTCGGCGTGACGAGCCAACGCTTTAACCATTAGGCTACCCCACCGCCCCTGATACACTTATGAGATAAGACAAGTTTTATCACACTATACCCCAATAAATCTTGATTTTTAATCTCGTCGTCTTGACTGTCATTTTGTTTGAAACAAGTGCACATGATATGAGAGATGGAATGTTATTGGCCAGTATGAGGTACACAAAAAGGACATAACTAATAGTAATCCCCTGGTGGCAATACAATTGAGCTACGGAATCCCAGTCTAGTTTGGCAAGGGTTGAAAGTGGACTTTTACAGTCAGTTAACTCCCTTGCTTCGCGAAGATGCAATTTCTACAGATATATATGATGTAGATCACTGACCAGGGTAAGGCTTGAAGTATGTGTCCTGGTATCGGTTATGGTCGCCATAGATGGTGCGGGTCATTCCAGGCCATGGCTTCTTGATGCACAGGGCCCCATTGACATCATTCCCAGTCAACTCTTGACCCTACTCAAGAAGAGTGCACACACTGTTTGATTCATGGATTCTCATACTAAATCATAATTCAAATGAGCTTTAACATTCAGCTCTTACAGATTTATAAATACTGGCATATGAATTTCTGGTGTTTTCACAAATGGCTGCTGTGGCAGCCATATTGGAAATACGATTTGATTATATTGAACAAAATCAAGAGTTTTGGAGTGGAGTCTCTTGATGCTGGCAATTGAGAATCTATTGACATGGTCAAAGTGCAAGTGTCTAAATAAGGTAAAAAGTAAGCAACACAAGAGACCACAACAGAAGCTCACCTGACTTTAAAAAAGGCTTCCCGAATATCATTACTTATTACACAACATTGTTTATCTCACAACAAAATATAACACCATCATCATGATACAGATAATGAAAAACAAAAACTTGTGTCATACCTCAGCAAAATGTATGAACCCAACAAATGCTAATAGCCTGACAGTACCTCACTATCCATGAGAACAGGCTCAATGCCGAAAAATGGTCTCATTGGCATGGCAGGTATAATTTCAGCACCAGGAGCCGACGGTCTTGGAGCCAGGCTGATGCCCCCGGTCTCTGTTTGGTTGAGAAAAACAACTTTTAAACTAAAGGGCTTTGACAGTATTTTAGTCTAAAGGTTACTTCACATAGCAAATTTGACTCATAAATGTTGACAAAGTGTGTTGGAACTTTTTCAGGTCACACAATCAAAATAAAAAATATGGTACCAAAGCAAAGAAATAAACAGCTGAAACTAGAAAAGAGTAACTTGTTACAGGTAACTGATAATATTCAAACAAGGTAAAACATGCCAGCTGAAGTTTGAGACAGTGGTCTCCCTTTATGCACTGACCTGTCTGCCACCAGGTGTCGATGATGTCACACCTGTTCTCCCCTACTACATTGTAGTACCATTGCCAAGCCTCATGGTTGAGTGGCTCACCAACTGGAAACAACATGAAGACTGTCAATGAAGCAAGTTCTGTCTATGAATTTTCTGACTAAAATTTAAGCACTTCATGAACATTTTAACAATACCGTACATATTTCCTACAAAAACACCTGTGGCTTTAAGTACTGAAATTTATGGTGTGATTTTATGTTAAGTGTAATGTTAATAATGAAAGTTTTATTTGTCTTTTTTTACAAAATTGACCAGAACACATACATTAATGTAGTTTGTATTATCGGAAAAGCACCTTGAAGTAATGGAATACAGGTATCCTAATTATACTGTGCACTCCTATCAAAGACCATTTTGCACAGTGTATTAGCCATATGATTGGCCACAGGTTTGGTGTCAGCAATCAAAAAGTCACAAACAGGAAGTATCAAACACTCAAAACCACATCAAGGGACACAACTCTGTTTTTTTGTTTGTTGTTTAACTGAGCATTCTGACAGCAGTCTGTGAATAATCGAGTCCAGACCGGAAAATACAGTGATCGACAGCATGACCTTTAATCTAGGTATGTAATTGGGATACAATGACATGTGTCAACAATCCTGAACACCTGATCATGTTAGTCGCCTGTTATGACGAGCATGGGTTGCTGAAGACAAATTCTAACATGGATCTTCACGTGTAGACACAACTCTTCGCAGCATTCCTTACAGAACTTGATCACAAAGCACCTGTAGGAGGTCTTCAGTAAGCCCACCCTATACAGTCTAACAGCCGTACAGTACACAGGGTACCCAGGGGTGGATCCAGAGAAAAGGGGGGGACATATACACACACCCTCTCCCTCGAAGAAAATGTCACTGAGGAGTATTTCCCCCTAACTTTTAGACTTCATAATATATGTGCACTCCCCCTTTCCAAAATGCTAGATCCAGCCCTGGTACCAAGGTGCTCTGATAGACTGGCAACACACACTCACCACACCCCAGTTTTCGCAGTGAAGATCGGTCATACTTGTTCACCCAGGAGTCCCCCGACTTGAGCAGCAGTCTTAGTGCAGTGGGTGCCAGATAGATGTGGTTCAGCTTTAACCTCTCCACCACCTCCCAGTACCGACCTAAGTATCAACAGACTTCAATGTACAGGTACTGATTACCAGTATATCACTAAAACACTAATGACAAATGTTCATCATTTTCACAAGGCATGGCCCTTTAGTGATTGGTTTGAAAATGAAATAAGCCATAATTTTGTCTCTACAATGTTTAAAATCTTCCTGAATTTCTTACAGGCTAAATATAATAAAGAAACTCGCACCAATCTGTAGAGGTTGCTCATTCTTTGAAGAGAGTTCTCCTTGAGGTACTTTTTATGTCCATTAAAAATTCCTACAACAGTTGTAACTATACTTTGAATATAATATCTGCAAAACAAAAACACTTTTTTGTCTTGTTTGACGGCCCTACAGCCAAGAGAAGGTAATTCTAACCTCTCTAATCACTTTCCATGCTGTCGTTCACAAGTTTATAAATCTCCTTGTTTAATGACTTAAAAAGTCTAAACACATTATTTAATATCCTAATATGCATTAAAACATTACAATTATTTGAAACATGTCTAAAACAGCTTCCCTACCTGGATTAGGGTATACAGGTGTGCTCTCAAACAACAGGGTGGTTGCCCCATTAGAAAGGGGCCCGTACACCACGTAGCTGTGTCCTGTGATCCACCCAATGTCTGCAACGCAGCCAAACACTTCGCCGTCCTGGTAGTCGAAGACATGCTGGCAAGGCACACAACAGTAACTTAGCAGATTACACCTTGATTCTAACATCAACATAGAGGTAGAGCCTTTCCTTGAGATGATCTCAGGTTCCAAACTTTATTTAGGTTTTAAAACGAATCATTATGTTGTGCAGATTTTTTAAAAGTTAAAGGTTTTTTAATACATAGTTATTAACACTGCATACATTACAATAATGTCTCTGCCTCTCTGTTGGTTTTATTTTTAGCCAAAGCCATCTCTCTAATTAAAACTGTATAAACATGACAGTTTTTCCTCCAATTTTGCAAGTTGTACTGACATTAACTGTACATCTGACACAGAATATCAGCCAAGGAGCACGGTCTAGAAGTCTCACAAAAAGGTGGACCTAATACAAGTTGAATCAACCTATGAAAATATTTGACATAACCAAACAAGGATGTATAAAGATAGAATGCACCAAACTCTCACTTCAAGACAACCATAAGTCAAACATATCAAAGTTCAACATAACGGGGAGGTTTACCTGTACCTCCATGGTATCATTAGTATAGTTTGACTGACCTTGAAGGTAACATTGGTGTAGAGGAGGTAGCCACCAGTTGAGTGAGATAAGCCCTTGGGTTTTCCTGTGCTGCCAGATGTATATAACATGAAGAGGGGATCCTCACTTCCCATCTCGGAGGGTTTGCATGACACAGACTCACCGCTTAATGCCTGGAGGGTATTAAAACATGATTACTCTCTGAAGTTGACCAACTTGCTCTGAGAGATGTTAGCTCCGGGACAACAAGTCTAAGCTAAAGTGAGTGAGTGAGTATGGTTTTATGTCGCTTTTAACAATATTCCAGCAATATCATGGTGGGGGTCACCAGAAATGGCCTTCACACTGTACCCATGTAGGGAATTGAACCTGGGTCTTTGCTGTGACAAGAGAACACTTTAACCACTAGGCTACCTCACCACCCCTAAGCTAAAGTATAAGTTCCGATCATCGCAACACTAGGATTGATTTGTGCACGTGGTCCTTGATGTCTTTATCTGACAAGATAACCACCATCATTATGCAGTGATTTACAGTCAATACTGTGATACATATAAAATAACAGTCAAGTATTTCTGACACATACTTTCCAAATGATTCCAGAATAGAATGAATGGTTATCTTTTCATTTTGAGAAGAGGTTTATCTTCAGTAAATATAAACTGGTTATAATTAACTTAAAGGAACGACCACCTTTTGCTCATTATTGGCATTTCAGCTAGATATACAGCGAATAGCCAGGACATGTAATAGAGATTAACGTATCTGTCAATTTGTTATGAGTTTTAAACTGTTTACTGTATTAAACATTTGCTTGTTGACCCCACTTCATCATGAAAATAGTTTTAAGTTACAAAATTTTTTTTAATAACCATCTGGTATGCAGAGATTCTCGACTAACCTTCTCGAGGGGAATGTCCAGTTTGCCCATGGGCACATCTCCTCCAGTGCGTTGATACACAAACACACGTTTGACACTTGGACACTTCTGAACTGCAGCATCTACAGTTCTCTTCAGCTCGATGGTTTTCCGTCCCCGAAGTCCCTGGTCAGCAGTTATTACAGTTTCAGCATTTGCTGGTGAGGAAAATTGGTTTTGTTAAAAGCGATTCATATAATGTCAGTGGACTGGTATCTTATACTGCATGCACAGCTTGTGTATATCAGCAGCTTCAATACAACGTCTTTTGAAATAGAGATTATAAACTATGTCTGTTTCCATATCTTAATCATCATGCACAACTAGTAAAAGATATGGATTACCGTAGATAAGCCGACCTCATAGATAAACCGACCCCCTAACCTGACCCTTAAAATCAGTATCAAAATGGTATGTTTCGTACATAAGCCGACCCCCCGTGATGGGGTATACACTCTGTTATTTAGCTCCTAACATAATCTCTGCATCATACAATTATCATCATTTGATTCTCAAATTAATTAGTGCTTAAAGGGTAAGGCCACTGAAGAAATAACTGTGATACCGATACTATATATATTTAGTTCATTACTGGCTGATCAAACATTCATAATATTTGTAGAACGTATTTAAATGTCCTAATGAAATTAATGAAATCATCTGATATGTAGACTTGTATGAAAACGCCCCAATACCTACCATCTTGGATTCTCCCTGCCAGTGCCTCTGCACTGAAGCCTGCGAACACTACACTGTGGATGGCACCAATCCTGGCACAGGCCATCATGGCCGCCACAGCTATGGGGGACTGGGGCAGATAGATAGCCACTCGGTCACCGCGGTCCACTCCACTGTGCCGCAGCATGTTGGCCATCTTGTTCACCATGACAGACAGCTCACTGCAAAGTTAAAATCAATGTCTTATCACCCAACTTTTTATTGCTACATCTATTTTTTCATGAGTATTCAGAATGGAATATTTATAACACATTTACTACTTTTCATTTTTTGGTCACATACAAATGTACAAGATGCCGGAAATGACTGCATAATCACCCAATGTAGGCTGTCGACATAATTAAAAATATTGGGTGCAATGTATTATGAGATATTGCGTTAACAAGAGTTTGAAAAGTGGTCAAAGTGTCATGGTGACCTTGAAGATAAGGTCAAGGTCACCCAAATCAACTGGTATATGCGTAATCCCCCAGTGTAGGCTGTCACCAAATTTAAAGACATTGGGAACAACAGTCCATGAGATTTCGTGTTAACAAGAGTTTGAAAAGTGGTCAAAGTGTTGTGGTGACCTTGAAGATAAGGTCAAGGTCAACCAAATCAACTGGTGTCTGGGTAATCCCCCAATGTAGGCTGTCACCAAATTTGAAGACATTGGGTACAACAGTTAATGAGATATCGCATTAACAAGAGCTTGAAAAGTGGTCAAAGTCTCGTGGTGACCTTGAAAATAAGGTCAAGGTGACCAAAACCGACTGCTGTCTGTGTAATCCCCCAATGCAGGCTGTCACCAAATTTGAAGACATTGGGTACAACAGTCTATGAGATGTCGCGTTAATATGAATCGGGACGTATGTACGTACAGGCGTACAGACGCTGCAGAATACATAGTCCTTCGTTCTGCGTTGCGGCAAGGGACAAAAAGGCCCATGCAGAATGGAGGCCCCAAATGACAATGTGCCCTTACCCATAAGTGACTGTCTCCTGTGTCCCTGGCTCGTCCTTCTCCCAGATGAGTGCCACCTGGTTTTGTCGAGTCTCCAGATGGCGGTCCACGCAGTTCACTGAAATACACAAAAATAACTTGTCTAACATAACTTGGATACTAATTACAGTGTTTGCAGGAGTCCCATAAAACAAATTGTACAGATACACTTAAGTCCTGTAAAAGGTGTCAATAGCGTCAAATCAGCACATGTACAATTTTTTTGTTTATGTCACATTATGTAGGGTTGATAAATTCGACAGTTTTCAGAAAAAATCAAGTCAGTCGTGTAATTGTCCTCCAATCTGTGACCTCGTCTTTCCCTTCAAGACCAAGGAGTGGGTGAAAAATAGGTTGGTCCCTGCTTTGCCTGCAAACTCTGTATATTCATGGACAATACACCATATCACAATGAGTGAGTGAGTTTAGTTTTATGCCACTTTTAGCAATATTCCAACAATATCACAGCGGGGAACACCAGTAATGGGCTTCACACATTGTATGCATGTGGGTAATTGAACCCAGATCCTCAGTGTGACGAGTAAACGCTTTAACCACTAGGCTACCCCACCGCCCCCATATCACAGTGAGCAGGATCCAGAAAGCAAGGTCGGTCTAATAGCCTTAATGGAGTTATGGTGATGTGGATTCAGCAGATGAATATGGCTTTTCTACCACACCTCACTGAAATAATCAAATCTAAGAAATCTCAGAGAAGAAGGTGGTTACGGAAGAAAGGATAGATTATTGACAACATGCCATGCAATAAATTGTCAATTATATCTTTTGGTCCTGTATCATATGATCAAAAACCTGGATTTAAATAAACATGTTCTCAATGATAACTGCAGTGTCCTTATAATGCTATTCTGGCTTGAAACTTCAGTCTGCAGAACTAGATATTTTTATAGTACTTCAATCAGAATAAAACTTGTTAAATACAAACTATACGTGCATTGTTTTGCACATGCAAATATTTACCTTAATGAATTTACTGTAGGTATGTCTCTTGCCACTGATACAATTAGTGAATTCATCACATGTCAAGCTTACCGGTAATGACAGACAGACTGAGTCACTAATGACAAATTTTATCTATAACAAATTCATTCATTTTATTATTCATGAAATAAAGGACCTTGATATACATAAATTTGTATTAGTGTACTTCCCAAATTTCCCCATGCCACCCAACGAAAACTGATGGATAGACAGACATTGACATACTCCAACTCCTAGGCATTCATGTATACATAGTAGTGGTGTTCCGATTAATTGAAATAATCAAAGATTGGTCGTAGTGACCAAACGACCAAGCAATCGATCACATTTTCTCATAATAGAACATAAACAATTTTGGAACTACTGTTTTAGTGTTTGAAATACTTGACGATGGAACATATCTTAGAAGTTGTCAGGTCCTGAAAACATGTTTAATTCTTAGAAAAGTCACTTCACTAACTGAAAAGTCATGACTGAATATTTCTCTAAGACTCCAGGAAGTTTATGTTCATGATATATTAGTCATCACTTTAAAGTTGCAAGTTGCATCATGTTGGTAATGTTCGTTGGTAATGAAGCAATTATCAATTGTGAGATTTCAACCAATTCCCAACACTAATACATAGCCAATCCATCCATGAACAACTTTAACATACACAGTATCATCAAGGTCTACAACATGTCTGAAACTGAAGGCAGCTCTGACATTACCTAATTCAAATATACTAGAAAGAATAGGAAATGAAGTGAACAACTACAAAAGTGGGACACATATTAATATTTTAATAGTAGTGTCTCCAAAGAATGAAAACGTTTATGATTATAATGATTAATTGTTTAATAATGCACTTGTCATTTGTTTGGTGCACTAATATTCCCATCCAACATAACCTCATGCTTAATGTTGTTAAACTCTATTGGAGTTTCAACTAGTCGTTATTATTTGAAAGCTTGACTAAGAGGGAAAGCTGTTGTAAATTATCAAAATAATGAGGTCAAATACCAACTTCGGTGGGCTATACCTGCGTTGAACTTTGCACTCTTATCTAAAGTCAATACGCTTGATGATTCGCAACTGTGAACATATTCTGATGTTACACAGGCTGCACAAGGTAAGTACATCAACATTCTAGTATATTGAAGGAATTGGAAAAAAATCATTCTGAGTACAGGTGTCAAGTTTCATCTCTGTCAGAGTTGCATACTTTTCTGAAGATGGATTACAGATTTTAAAACAACAGAGAGCACACTATGCTGTCACTACATGAAAAACGTGCTGATTGACACGTACTTAAGGAAGAGAGAAAGGCTGTCTGAAGAAAGGTTGGACTTCCACTGAGCCACCCTCACATACATCTTATTGGACCGTGATTCATTTAATACAGGAAAGTAGCCTAATGATCATTTTTGTTTCCTTTCTACATATTCTGGTGTTTGTAGACATGTAGAGAGGGTTTGATACACTGTATATATCTGTAGGTTTACCACCTTGTTCCACTGGTTGGGATATATATCAATGTAAACAAACGTTGAACAATGTAGCATAATATACACCACAATCAGGAAATGTCAAAAGACAGTCTAATATTGGGTATAGTTATGCTACATTACAGTACTTAAGCAGACGATATACTCTTATCCTGCAGTAACTAAAAAACAGAAAGAAATATTGGCTTTCGGAACATGTATGTTGGCCTTGAAAATGGTTGCACATCTGTTTACATAACACATTTTGTACGCTACCAAACAAACATATCAAGTTTCTTGTCAAGAGTGTGACTGTGTGCGTCTATGTTTGTCTACATGTGTGTGTTTGTGCATGCATATGTGTGCACTGTTATTCACGACATTTTTTCTTAATGTTGTAGCTCCAGGAATAGGATTGAGAAGTAAGATCCAGGTAAGGGAGATAACTTGGGATACCTTCATTGTAGTTTAGGTGTAAACAGCCATTATGATCTAATGTGACATCTGACACATCAAGGACTCCCAATATACAGGTAAAAATCAGAAGTCAAACGAACAACATTTTATGCAGAATTATCTTTTCAAAATGTCCCAGATACGAGTAACAGGCGCTCATGTTTACACTAATTAATAAACAAAATGAAGGAAACAAGCTGCGGTTGTCTTAGTTTCTGTGTTACCATGGTTAGACGCTTCTTATGCTCTGAGAAACTAAACCTCCTTCCTTCTCTGAATATAAAATATATATATCTGAAGTCAGGTTTATAGGTTCAGCACTCCATGTAAAACAGTATAAACTATTTTTCGCAATGTTATTGAAAACAACGATTCTTGTTTATGCTTTGGCCCCGGGTCTACAATAGCATTGTCAAAGAGCAAAGTAATAGCGATGTTTCAAACATCGAGGAAATCATTAAATAAATTGAAATCAACAATAACATTCATAAAAGTTGTCCAGCGTGCATATAAAATTACTATTTCCATACTTTTGTGCGATCATGCAATGTAAAGTCAAGTCACTGACAAGTTACATCTAGAAACTTTCACAGCCTCCGTCTTAGCCTTCGCGACCGCGATGCTTAATGTGAAAATATATGCATGAAGCATTTTTGTCATAGGCCATAACCTAGCCGCGATATGTCCAATATGGTTCCATAATTTAGGTATAGGTAGCGATGTCTTTCTTAATATGTTCAGAATAGCATTATTTTACCCAAAACTTTCGTCTTAATCTAAAAGTTTTTCGTTCTGAAGAAGGTATCCATTTCCATAATATGATTGGCTGCTTAGGTCAAATGGGACTGAAAAACAATGCCGATATCCTGAATAGTTGAATGGATGAATCGACTTGATAAATACCTTGCCATCAGCTATCTTGGCCCTTCAGCATGATTGAATCATACTTCATTTCAATGTCTTAACTACAAGCTAGGCCCCCTCCACCAAGCAATCATAGCACTACAACTGTTGTAAGTCTCATAAAGTATGAATTTTATTATCATATTAGCATTAAGGTAGTTTATACTTCATTATACCTTTCTTCTGCTTGGTTAAGGATCTGCTATTTTGTATTCCAGAATTATGGCAGTGGTCGGTAATTAATTGAGTCTGGGCCAGACAATCCAGTGGTTAACAGCAGTACAAATACAATGCAAAATTTTAAAAAAAGGTGTAACAATGCTCTTATCTAAAGTAAATACATTTGATGATACACAACTCTGCATAATCATCCAAAAGTATCCTTTTCAGTTCGTGAACCACTTTCATGACTCATCTCTACTTACTGACCAATCACAAAACATCAAATAAACTAACTACAGATATGACAGCGGGGGAAATAACTTGCTAGTGTACTCCGGTACAGTGGCACATGTAAAATCACTTGCCCTGATAATTTTTCCACTATACCGTACGTTTTCTTGTTGATTTTTTAAATAAACAACATAATTAATATTGGAAAGTCAACTGGACACCGGTACAGTGTGATATACAAATTTGCTTGCCCAACAGAAAAAGACACTGGACTCGGGCGTCGGGCAATGGGTTATTTCCACCCCTGTATGAGTATATAACTATTACATGCATGGCAAGCTATGAATACACAATGCCATTTAGAAAGTGGTCAAATGTAACAGTTATAAACATTTGTGTTACATTTGACCACTTTCTAAATGGCATTGTGTCTTCACAGCTTTTGGTTGGCCTGGTTGTGTATATGACACCATTATATTTTCAAACCCTCAGATCTTTTGGCATGAACCAGTCTTGTGTCATCATTTTTTCAAAGACGGTAACTGCGTCTGAGTGTGCATCATTGTTTTACATCATTCCGTAATCTTGTCATATCCCTGTTCTTCCCTTTCAGATGCATGAGTCTTGTATATGTTAGCTTTCTTCACTTTAGGGGCGGTGGGGTAGCCCAACGGTTAAAGCATTCGCTCATCACGCCAAACACCTGGGTTTGATTCACCACATGCTTACAGTATGTGAAGCCCATTTCTGGTGTGCCCCCGTCGTGATATTGCTGGAATATTGCTTAAAGCAGCGTAAAACCCAACTCACTCACTCACTCACTCACTCACTCTCTTTAGGGACATTACAATGTGAAGTTCTCGGCAGATAGTGAGCAAAGTTGTTGCTCAACCTTCATCCCATGCTGGACCACGTCATTTGGACTTTTACGTACTTACAATGTTCCTTGTTTGACTACTCCCTTTTGACTTTGATGTACCTAGCACATTACCTACTGGACAAGGCCCTTTGAGCTTGAACATTCCTCACATTTCAAGTGACATGCACATGTGACACGCACGCCAGAAAGGTGCAGCTGAACTCTCTTAGACACAATGAGTTCATGTCAAGACAGGAGAGTGCTATTAATAGAAATGATCCTCTGCTTTTCTGTAAATGACATGACATGAAATAACTTGAAATCCACACCTAAGTATTTTTGGCATGTCTTCACATGGCCGAAATACACATCCTGCTAATTTGCACAAATGCAACTATACATTTACATGGGTGAGTGAGTAAGTTCAGCTTTACACCACTTTTAGCAATATTCCAGCAATATCACGGCAGATACATTTACATGACCTCCAGACCATAGGCAAATTGACCCCATGTGCAAGTATACCCTATCCGGATGTGTTTTCATTACATGTTTTAACACATGAAGTTCTTAACTATATTTCATGAACTGAAATAAGGTCTAAACTTGATAATCTCCCACCTTGCCTGAGATTATCAAGTTTAGAACTTACTTCAGTTCACGAAATAAAATTATAATTTCATTATGTGCACTTTGCACACTTATAAAATTTCAAAATCTTACAGATGGTATAAGTAAAATGTGCTAAGTGTATACATGGCTGGTAATATTGGTGCTAAATCATGTATAAATTGAGTTGTAAAACTACTTTCAGGATGGAAAGACTACATTTTGAAGATGACATGAAGAAAGCTTCCATAAACATTTGTTTCGGACACATATCTGGAAAGACACAGAAGAAGACTTGCAAAAAAGAGCAGATACCTGATTGGTGGGACCAAACATGAGGAACTTCTCACTTCTTATACACTTGGTGTAAATACTAGTATGTGTAAAATACACAGGTGAGCATTTGCATTTACATTACAAAAACAAGAGTACTATTTTGCATAGGTTTAAGTTGTACACATATACAGGGAATATGTTTTCGAAAGATTATTTAAATGAGTAGTGTGTTGAAACAAATGCTCAAAATGTTATCTTTTGTTGGCAGAGGTATAAAAGAATAATTTGTCAGTTTGATGGAAATACCCAAATGTCAAAATTCCTGTGTTCGTAGTGAAAATGAAAAGATTGTTTGCAGGTGCTCAGTAAATAAATAGTTTGTTGGATAGAGATGGAGGTGAGGTGAAATTGGGTTTAACGTCGTGCTAAATTGGGTTTAACGTCGTGCTTGAGAATATTTCGCTCATATGACGACGTGCATGCGTGTGTATGTGTATGTGCGGCTGCTTGTACTAGCCCAGACTTAAGCTGGTTTTATAGTGCTAGCCCACTGAGATACCATGCCGCAGTGAAGCATGAATACCCCACTCAGACACATTATACTGACTCCAAGCCGACCAGTCCTTGTTGTACCCATTAATGCTGAGTGCCAGGCAGGGACCAACAAGTACCATATTTTAATGTCTTTTGGTATGACGCGGTCGGGGATCAAACCCGAACCTTCCGCTCTCTGGGCAGACGTTCTAACCACTACACCACGGAGGCAGTCTGGATAGAGATGGAGAAAATAAAGATTTTTTCTAAAAACAAATTCTCTCCCACTCTCCACCCATCCCAAAGTAAATGGATATTCCCTAGGCAAACATGAGGGTAATCATAGACACTATAGCACTGTTGTGAGATAGCGTAAATACTTGATGAATATAAATCTGGAGTCGTGATAAAGCATCAAGTCTTAAGTCACTCATTGAACTTACCAGCGTTATTGGTTAAAACAATAACTAACATTTTTTTATAAATAATATACACTCTGGCTACCTCATGAATAATGCATGAGCACTGTGTTGCATATGACTTAACATAATTTTTGTCTCCTTCAAGGACTAAGTGCTATCATGTTAACATTACCTCTCAACTCACTAAACAATGGAGTCCTCTAACTGGGTCGGTATTCTATTATCAGCATGATTGTTTTATCACTTCCGTTGATAAAGGTAGTCAGTGACTTGCATTAATAGGACTGACTGACTGAGTTTAGTTTTACGCCGCTTTTAGCAATATTCCAGCAATATCACGGCGGGGGACACCAGAAATGGGCTTAACACATTGTGCCCATGTGGGGAATCGAACCCGGGTCTTCGGCGTGACGAGCCAACGCTTTAACCACTAGACTACCCCACCGCCCCTGCATTAATAGGAAGAACCAAATACAGTAAAGTATGTTTATAACAAAAACACTTCTAAGAAACTGACAGATGTAATGAATAGTATTTTTTATCTCAGACATTTGCTATGTATTATAATGGAAATGCTTCCACAGTCTGTTTGGGTCAAAATGATATCAATGAATCACAATCTAAATCCAAATTGGTTCATGATCAATCTTTCATTCCAACACAGAATGTAATGAAAACATAAGACCAATTCTGGAAAAAGGTTTCTCCAAAATAAAAAGTTATTTAACAAACTATTATCATTTTGTTTTGATTTTCTGTGTGAAGTTTTACAAGGGTAAACTAACAGTAAACCTGCGTGAACAGCGTCAAGGGCGGGAAGCACGTGCAATTGTCACGTCACATCAAGCATAGCCATTCAATTTATTCGATTTCAATCAATCGCTCGAGCACTACCTGACAGTACAGATTTACAAAATCAGTCATTTGGTCCAGACTATGTACTGGCTACCGGGAATATCTGAAATATTGCTGAGTGCTGCATACAAAACAAACAACTGCTGCTAAATTCTGTAAATTTTGGCTATGAAATAGAACAAATATTTGCACAATTTTGAAATGCCCCAGGAGAAAATACTCACATAAAAAGTAGCATTTTTCAATATCAAGTTACATTGGTGCATGTTTTAAATAGTTAAATTTTATCCTTGTATCAGGGATAAGCTGTTGCTAGGATATAGTATTTGTTGAAGAGCCGATTGTGATTAAAATTACTGATAACTTTACTATATACTGGTAGTTGTACCCTTGTAGATAACGTGGTGCTCATTCATAGATACTACAACAGTATCTGTTACTATATATGCATCCTATCCTATAAACACGTCTTTCACTTTAAATCACATGGACCCATAAAGACGCGGGCATAGTGAGTGAGTTTAGTTTTATGCCGCTTTTAGCAATATTCCAGCAATATCCCGGCGGGGACACCAGAAATGGGCTTCACACTTTGTACCCATGTGGGAAATCGAACATGAGTCTTCGGCGTGACAAGTGAACGCTTTAACCACTAGGCTACCCCACCGCCCCTCTTGGTTTAGAAACCCATGCTTGTCATAAGAGGTGACTAACAGGATCGGGTGGTCATATTGCTGACTTGGTTGACACATGTCATCGTATCCAAATTGCGTAGATCGATGTTCATGCTGTTGATAATTGGATTGTCTGGTCCAGACTCAATTATTTACAGACTGCCACCGTATAGCTGAAATATTGCTGAGTGCGGCGTAATTCTAAACTCACTCACTCACTTATTAAATCGAGTCTTGTCTTATTTCAAAGTGCTAATTATTGAAAAAATTAAAAAATGCAAATTTTACAGGTCATGCAAACACTTAATCTCCATCCAAATCTGGTGAACTTCATGCATGCATACTTGAGCAACGGCCATATTACCTTAAAACTATTAACCTAAATCCATGCACTGCTGAACTTGTCACAAACTTGATCTACTAGTCCGTCATGCAGACCATACCGCTAATATAACCATTACGGTCCATTCACATATATAAAAATACAGCTCTATCTGGCAAGTCAAGATTACCACAGTCTCTTAAAGTGAAAACCATCCCTGTACAAGTTTTTCTTTTCAATTTTATCAAGGTAATTGAATAAAAACAATTTTATAAAATACTTTCATTTCAAAGACTAGATATCACTCTTTTGACAATCTGAGAAGTATGACAAGAAGTCAGAGAGCAAATTAGGGAACTTCATGCAAATAATGACATTTTTCTCACTGCAGTTTTGAAAGAATTCTCACCATCAATAACAGGCAGTAAATTATTTCAATTATTTTAATTCCAACAACTTCATGACATGAAAATAGTTTTGTTATCGCGTTGTTTGATCATCACACGATGTCTTAAAAATATTAAGTTTGTTCACTATCGTTCACTATCTATAGAACAATAAGGTTGCTATCACAAAGGGCGCGACTTAGGGTGAGGAAGATGTTGTGTTTCAAATAACATTAAACTACCATGAATCAAATAACATGGGGAATTACACATGGTCTTTTCAATAATATTTGAAACAATTCATATCTAATCGACTTGTTTCATTTGTGTTCACAGATGACCTAACCCTAACAGGGCCTCTCAAGTTTTGCCACAGAAACAACAAAACAGTTGCGTTCTGTCAACACTCACCCGATGCATTGAGCTTGCCGCCATCGAACCATTGTATTTTCCCCTCTGTCATGTCACAATCTTTCACTTTATGGAAGTCATGGAACCATTTTAACCTGGATCGTGCCAGTTTACCCCAAAACACGTCGGGGCTCTCCAAACTGAACCTGTACAAATCGTCATGTGTTTTGATGTGTGGCACCCCTTCAAACTCAGGAAAAGGAGTTGTTGTGGTGGATGTCGTGATGCCTCGCTGACTGACCAAAACCTTGGCATACTTCAGGCACTTCCTCAGTTGTGGTTGTCTGCTGCAAGATAGTGTCGTCTGGACTCTAAGAGTGGTGCAAAACAATTCCCTGAGCACGGCCATCCTGCTGGAGTTTCTGCCCAAGCTGCCCTCACTCAACAATTCAACTGACAGCGTTCAGCCGCCCCATTCGCTAGCTGGCTCCGCATTACCGTATTACACACAAACAATACGCGTACACTAGTATACTTCACAAAACTATATATCTCCGAAACTGGTATTTATCTCTTCAAATGCTCGATGTCTTGTAAATAAGGTCAATGTTAACATGACCAGTACCGTTGGTGGTCAATGGTCCACCAGAAGAAGTGGGCGTGGCAAATTCCGGCGCGTGTTGATTGGACCAAATGTATAGCTAGTGTATGTTACAAAACTGGGCCATGAAACTTCAGAAAGGGTTGTGCATGTGAGATTTTCGGGTCATAATTAGATTATCAACAGCAACGTTGACTTGTGGATGTAGTTGGAGAAAAATTATTTTCCACCGATCCGTGCATGTTGTTTGTGTATTGCGTTATGAAGTATGTGGCTGATCTTGGCGTATGGGTATGTTTACTTATGATACGCGTAAAGCGCCATAAACGCTACCTTACCAGAACGGTGCGCTGTCCTCTGTAGGAAAGGGGTGTTATGGACCAAAACCCTTTGGTCACTAATTTTATACAATGTGTTACATACACGGGGTTTGTTTCAAATAGCATTTTCTTACTTTAATAAGCATGTTTCGTTTCGTTTGTTTAACGCCGTGCTCAGAAATATTACAACCATATGGCGGCGATCTGTACACAATCGAGTCTGGACCAAGCAATCCAATGACTGACATCATGTGCGTCGATCTAGGCAAGTGGGACACGATGATATGCATGAATGAAACCATCGAGCCTGACCACCCCATCACGTAAGTCGGCCAATAGGTATGTAGTAGCATGGATCTTAGGCATGATGTTTATAAGAGGTATATGTTGTATTAGTTCATATGAATAAACTCGTATTCCAGCCAAGGCCCACGTCCATCACACCTTGGTATAGTGCAAAGTCGTCTAGTTATATGCTGGACTAATGTTGTATATGTTGTTTATGGGGGTGTGCTGTACTGGAATTGTTTCTGATAGATCGTACCTTACTGAGTTCATCTGTAGAACATTCGCTCGACATTGGACCCGTGAAGGTCCGGGTTAGAATTGATCTTCAGTAACCCATGCTTGTCGTAAGTGGCGACTAACGGGATCGGGTGGTCAGGCTCGCTGACTGGGTTGACACGTTTCATCGTATCCCAATTGCGTAGATCGATGTTCATGCTGTTGATCACTGAATTGTCTGGTCCAGACTCGATTATTTACAGACCGCCGCCATATAGCTGGAATATTGCTGAGTGCGGCGTAAAACTAAACTCACTCACTCACTCGTTCGACATTGACATTTCTTTGCTATATCATATATTATCATAGCGATTCGACTCCAGCACAATAAAACATCCTAGGTTCAACTCAACACTTATACAATATCATTAAAGCTTTCTGTAAAACAATTATTTTCTAAGTTTATCTGTACCTAGGGCACAAGTGGGTCAAGTTATAGTGTACGGTACGCGATATCCAGGAACACCAGGAAGAGGATGAAGTACAGTAATCAGCTCACACAATAGTATTAATGCAATAGTATTTGACACAGCAAACCACGGATCGAAAACATCCTCTGAACAAATAACAAACATGTCAAATGCTTTCCGCTCGAAGGCTGTATTTTTAACTCAGATGCGCTGCGGCAGCGTCTATTTTGAATTGAAAAATGCAAAAGATTACTTCCTTGTATCTAGAGATTTTTTACAACATGTCATGTGAAAATGATATTTATATGTTCAGTTGAAACAGAGATGGCAAGTTCTGTGCTGTCGGACGGACAACTGACGAAGCTCATACTCATGATGTGAAGAACCCGTGAAGAAAGCCTGACAGAATTGGCCATAGATCAACCCATGCTTGTCGTATAAGAGAGGGCTATAAGGGGACAAGGTGACCAGATTCGCTGACTTGGTTCATGCATGTCATCGTAGCCCAGGGACATTGATTGAATGCCTGCGATGTTAATCAGTGGATTGTCAGGTCCAGACTCACTTAATTACAGACCGCCGTCATAAATTGGAATATTGCTAAATGCTGCGTTTGATATGTGTTTATTTCGTAAAGGGGCCACAGGCCCATGATACAGACATTGAGGTACATATATTTGTTGTATACAGAGAGCTTGAAATGATGGCTCGCAATTATAATAGATGTATTTAAACATGAGTAACAGCTTTTACAAAATAAATGCATTAAAATTGTTTATCTAAGAGGGACATCTTTAAAGAGCTAAATGCTGCGTTAAACAACAAACAAGCAAACGACTGTCAAAATAAGCTGAATATTTAAACATGCTTGCCGAAACAAAATACAAGATTTTTGAACAAGGTGTTACGATATGTACATTTAACTCCCGCCATTACATATTCCGTTTGCCAATTTATACAATGGTTATATTCTCCAGCACAGAGCGGTGTCGACTTCTACTGTGTGATATCAACTCGTTTTGTCGAAGCTAGTGTCATGTTATCGCATATGCTCCGTCCACTGTACATTGTAACTGTCGCCCTTGTTGTGAATAGCTAGATATTGTTATATTGTTATGCTAAAACCAACACGCAAGTAAAGCCCACCGAATGTATGATTAGACAAGTCTGTCCTTTTTTTCCAAATAAGTCCGGTCACGTGACGAGCCTCGATCTCTCCACCGTGTGGCCGCTTGAGCAGAAACATACGTAGCCGAATAAAGTTTTCAGAGACGAGTGAGCGCATAGGTTATTGGCTATAAGACCTGAGAAGATCCGGGTTAGAATTGGTCTTCAGTAGCCCTTGCAGGATTGGGTGGTCAGGCTCGCTGACTTGGTTGACACATGCCATCGTATGCCAATTGCGTAGATCGATGCTCATGCTGTTGATCACTGGATTGTCTGGTCAAGACACGATTATTTACAGACCGCCGTCATATAGCTGGAATATTGCTGATTGCAGCGTTAAACAACCAACCATCATAGGTTATTGGCTATTGTTTACAAACTGTGCTAGGGTACAGTCGACGCACTGTCCCTTGAAGCCCATTAGAGGTTAACCCCCCATATATAGTTGCGGAGCCCCGTATGTTATTCATAACTGTTCTTGTCGTTCGCTGGTTTCATTTGGTAATACGGGTCGCTGAAACATTCATACTTCACAAAAGCAGTGAGGACCATCGGATTCCTTCATATTTTTGTAGCAGTTAGTAGTGTAAACTAAACTCACTCACTCAGTGTATGTGAAGAAAAGAAGATTTAACAATGTCTGTATTGCTGATAATGTCAGCAAATAGATATAACACTTCAGTCAATGTGACTTTTTTCAGTACTTTGTATAGGCCACTGGACATTTTAGCGAAAGAAGAACAACTTAGGTGCACAGAGTAAACAATACAAGATATGTTTTATTGTCAGTAGATTTCGGATGAATTATATATATGTAATCGTGGAAGGCACTTTGTCCCTATTTTCACATATTGTTTTACAAAGGTGACAATAGTTGTTGACCTTGAAAAATATGGCGTTGTCGCATTGTCGCTTTTTATATAGTTAATATGTTTGCGTTCAAAGCCCAACAACGCGACAAATAGGTCAAATGTCGTGTCGTTGCATTTTTGCAATATCTGACTAACTTTGACACTTTTGGCATAATAAAAGGCAGCAAAGCCACAAAGATAATGGCAATAATATAGACAAATAGCTAGGTTTAACTTACTAATTTATATTTCTGAAAGTCACGAAGAATGTCATATGCACTATTTTAGTTTCTGTTGACCATATTACATAGAAAGCAATAATGTCATGTCAGAGATATGAACGAAAGACATAGTTATCGGTCAGTTTGTGGGGTATAAACCTCCTATATTCTAAGATATAAGATAAGTGTTTGCCTGTTGAGGCACCGCAACAGCCCTCGACATCCCGTTATTTCCCAGAACGGAGATAACTGTCGACCTTGGCCGTGCCACACGCACTCCTGATCCACAGCTGACGGTTTTCCACGTGGGTTAATGACATTTGCAGCTGGAGCCGATAGATATTGTCCACTGCCTTCCCGAGCTGTAAGATGACCTCAAAAAGGAGCCTTCCATTCTTATAAAATAGATACCCCTCTTGCTCTCGGAACAAAGTTATCTTTCTCACTTTATCGTTTCGTCTAGACTAACAACTAGTCTCTGAAATGAACATATTTTACAGAAAAAAGCCCATAGTAAAAAAAAAAATAATAATGAAAAGGAGCCCTGATACTCTCTTCATTTTCAGAAGCTGTGGAAATCTAGACTTGCCACATTTTCTAGACTTGCGTGGGCTTTCCTGGATATATTTGCTTCAGGGTCTTATGACAGACTACGTTTCGTCAAGCCATTAGCAATTTAACTCAAGGGAGGACTTTACGAAGCTCGGACCCAACTTGAGTGTCGACATCGTTCTTCCCTGTGTCGAGATTGTTTCTAGAAATGCCTCGATTTTCCAGGAACATGTTTGCATTGATTGATTGATCGCTTGTTGTTTAACGTCGTTTTCGGCAATATTCCTGCTTTATGATGGCTGTAAACCTCCACGTGCTAGCCTAATGTATCATCGAGTGGAAATAAAGTGTTGTTCGGGCGTTCTGTATTTCTGGACCTGACATCCGCAGTGACTGGCATCATGAACACTGACATCCGTATGTTTGATACGCCTGTATACATCTCCCAAGTCAGCGAGCCTGACCTCCTGATCCCATTATAATTGCCTACGACAAGCACGGGTTGCTGAAAATCACTTGTAACCCAAATTGTCCTGGTGAACAGGTTACCAAACTATATCTGCGCCAAAGATATCCCGTAGCACAAGTGGATCAGTCGATGGGTCACTTTTGGAAACGAAATAAGTGCCCATATACGCCAGTGATGATAAGAAAACGGAAGTGAAACTGTACATCGAACCAAAAGGCCTGTAATACTGTATAAATCTGTCTGTCTATTTGTAGTGAGGTAGTCTGCCATGCAGACCCCGAAACAAATATATCCAAGAAAGGATGCAAGTCTAGAGTTTGTGGCAATATCCCAGGTTTCCACAGTTTCAGGAAAATGAAGAAAGTCTCTGGGGTCCTTTTCATCATATTTTATGATTATTTATTATGAACAGTATTTTTCTGTAAAATATGTTCATTTCAGAGACAAGATGTTAGTCTAGTAGTGAGGCTGAAGGGGTTGTTGTCGGAACATGTACTGCAGAAACGTACCCTAAACAAAGTCAAAATACAGAAACGTACCCGGTACTCTAAACGGGGGACGAGTCCATACTCGTAACCAAAAAACGAAGCCGTCTTAAAAGTCGTTCCCGTGTACCTGATCGCGAGTGGCATTGTACCTCGCGAAAAATTCGATACTGTGTATTCTTGTTTCTTATATAACGCAATCAAATGCATTTTATACAACAGCTAGTATGACAACTCCGCGGCACAATGCGGAATGCACTCGTCCAAGGGTGTGTTTCTGTATTCTGATTTTGATAAAGGTACGTTTCTGTATGCAGAAAAGTGCCTGGGGTACACATCTGTTGCACACCCCTTTAGGAGTAGTGAGACGTAGTTTGTTGACTAAGTCAAAATGGTTGGACAAAAGTGAGTCACCTTTTAGGCCTTCTCCTTACATCTGAGACAAGGGGATGTCAGTATACCGACATATGGCTTTCAGAAAACAATGAACCATAAAGTGTTCGCATATGCTCACCTTGACTGCTGGTGAAAATAATAGCTTTGAGTGAGTGAGTGAGCGAGTTTAGTTTAACGCCGCTTTTAGCAATATTCCAGCAATATCACGGCGGGGGACACCAGAAATGGGCTTCACACATTGTACCCATGTTAATAGCTTTGAAACAAACGTAACGGATGGTAATGTTGCGTGTAACAGTGACTTACGGGTACTGGTATAACACGCCCTGTCGTTAAAGGCGACTAACGGTATAAGCTGGTCAGCCTCGCTGACTGGGTTGACACATGTCATCGTATCCCGATTGCGTAGATCGATGCTCATGCTGTTGATCACTGGATTGTCTGGTCCAGACTCGATTATTTACAGACCGCCGCCTTATGACTGGAATATTGCTGAGGGCGACGTAAAACTAAACTCACTCACTAACCCCACATTCCATACATCATGGCACTGCGTAAGACGACTTTTACAGAACGGGAATAGTGAGTGAGTTGGGTTTTACGCCGCTTTTAGCAATATTCAGCAATATCACGGCGGGGAACACCAGAAATGGGCTTCACACATTGTACCCATAGAAAGAGAAGATATCACACATAGATAAAATTATGAAACCAGTAATGACAATATATAGTTAAACAGGTAATTTGAACAAACACTACCGACTGGGATTGGTATAGAAAAGAACGTTCGGAATTATAGGTATCGTGTTTAAAAATAAAGGCCAGCATTCAGGATTTATATATACGTCTACAAAATAAAAAATAAATCCAAATGGAGCCATAAACAATGTAGATTCACCCCTTGCAAGCGAATAAACCACTACAAAGTTGTATACTGAGGTACACGCAATACAGTAACATACTATCGAGGGTAATAATAAGGGAACATAAACCAATATCGCAAAATACCCCCAACTGGTATATATATAATTATAAAGCCGGGATTCGGGGTTAATCATCCGTCATATGTCCTCACCGGTGGAGTATGTCCTGCAAAGAGACCGCCCACTGGCCTTCTTGTTTGGACGGCTTACATAACCGGATGAAGTATGTTATGAAGACCTGTTACGTGATTAACCTGTATAGCCCTGGAAGAGTACCTGTTTACATGATTGACGTGGGAAGTTGGAAAAGGGTCACAGTGTGGAGGTGACATCTATAAGAAAGCGTGAATGTGGCTGTACGTATATAGTTACAATACCGTATTAATTGTGCTACAAGCGCTGATACCGCGGAGATGCAACCCAACACGTCGCGCTAGGTAACCCTATCCTATACACAGTATACATTAAAGAGCCGATTACATAGCTGATAGGCTGCAAAGTAAACAGATGACAGTGGGGATCACTTGTAGATCTGTGTATTTATTTACATCAACATTTACACAATTAACAACATGCACTTTTTCATTCAACATTCCTCAATCTCATGCACACTTGACATGCACTTGAGTATTCCCTGCAGGGTGGTACCATGTAAAGATATGTGTAGAAGCCCTTGGAAAGTTGTAAGGTCAGGAAGTGTTTGAATTACATGTATTTCAAAACACATTGCCGTGAGTATAAGCCTTTGTTTGCTCACAATACAACATTGATTGAGAATTTGTTTGGAGACGATGTACCACAGCAAATTAAAGATTAAAAAAACGATGAAGCTGATAATTACTGGTTCAAACACAAATCAGTCACGCCAGTGGAACTTCATGTAGATATGTCTGAGAGGCCTGGTTTATACGAGCAGCTGGAGACACCGCCATCATAAAGATCCGTCTGGAGCACAAATGGAAAACACCCTTTCAACTTACCAAGAGCTTTCAGAGAAGAGTGAGTGAGTGAGTATGGTTTTACGCTGCTTTTAGCATTATTCCAGCAATATCACGGTGGCGGACACCAGAGATGGGCTTCACACATTGTACCCATGCGGGGAATCGAACCTGGGTCTTCCGCGTGAAGAGGGAACGCTTTAACCACTAGGCTACCCCACTGCCCCTTCAGAGAAGAAATAAAGTCAATCAAGATGTCTTCCATACACAAAGCAGATTCAGGATGAATGGAGCTAGACACCTTACTGAGTAGTTCAAAACAAAGTGTTCAATGAATGTCTTTCATCCACTACAAGGGGTATTGTAGTTGGTTGGTTTGTTGTTTAACACCCCACTCAGCAATATTCCAGCTATATGGCGTTGGTATGTAAATAATCAAGTCTGCACCAGACAATCCAGTGATCAACAGCATGACACTTCAAGGATAAGGAACTCAGAAAACAGTACACAAAAAGGAGTGGCTTGAATTCTTCTGTTGTTTGTGAATAAGAAACAGAACCTGAACAGTATTTCAGTTATGGTGCTCATAATTTACAGTATGTATATCTCTCTATATTTTTAAATGTTTGTTCTTAGGGAAACAGTATTTTGTATGCTAGTTTGATATTTACCATGTTTTTGCACTGCATTGATGTTTCATAAAGGTATCTGGTTTGATACTCATATATGTGTTCAACAATGTCTTTGATGAAATATCTTCTCTTCGAATCACCTTGTGCATATGGTGGTAGGGAAGTAGTTTGTTTTATTCACTCTCTTGTTGCCATGAGTCTGCTAGGGAGCAGGGTAACACACATCTATGCTTACATTATCTTCAATCTCTTTCATCAGGAAAGTTTGTAAACATTCATGATTAAGATGTCTTCTTACATGTTGCTTTACTGTAACCAGATTTGTTAATAGCTGTGAGTGAGTGAGTGAGTTTAGTTTTACGCCGCACTCAGCAATATTCCGGCTATATGGCGGTGGTCTGTAAATAGTCGCATCTGGACCAGACAATTCAGGTGATCAACAGCATGAGCATCGATCTGTGCAACTGGGAACCAATGACATGTCAACCAAGTCAGTGAAGCTGACCACCTGATCCCGTTACTGTAAAACCCAAACTCACATGTAGATATATACAGACAGCATATTGTGAGATGTGTTAATTTAACTTCTAATCATAATTTTCACTGTATGTACACACATTTACATGTTTCTACATGTATGAATACTTACACAAAACATTTCTCACAGACATAACATAAACATGGCTAAGACTGACTGACTGAGTTTAGTTTTACACAGCTTTTAGCAATATTCCAGCAATATCACAGTGGGGGACACCAGAAATGGGCTTCACACATTGTGCTCATGTGGGGAATCGAACCCGGGTCTTCGGCGTGACGAGCCAACGCTTTAACCACTTGGCTACCCCACTGCCCCACATGACTTAGAAAGATCCACATTTGTCAGCATAACAATGTTCTTGGCAAGTAACAATACATTGTCTTAGATTTGACAGTTGATGATTTATTTACAAATTGTTAAACAAAAAGAAAAACTTGTTGAAAGCTTCCAGGCAGTCACTGTCATCTCCCGAAAGTCTCCTTTTGTAGGTTGTGATAAGCATCGTCAGGTTCAGAGCTGGAGTCACACAAACCACGCAGTCGTTCCCGACACACCTCCGCCACTTCCCCAAGATCAGGCTACAACATGTTACAATTGACCTATTTCAAATCTGTCAAAAACAGGAAAAAGACTGAGTACTGAGCACACAGTAGAAGAATTTCACATCACCAGGGGTTCTTTACTAAGACTACTTGTAATCGTTTATGATGGTCTTAATACTTTACTTTTCAAAACAGATACCATATATTACTGTAGATAAGCCAAATTTTGAGGACAAAAAAAAGCAGTCTGAAGAAGGGGATCAGCTTATCTATGGGTTACGCTTTCATCAAACTTTTTTCCAGGGTATGAAAACAACATCGTATCACTTTGAAACATTTACTTATGCAATGCTCTGGCCAATACAACAGATATCTACTGGCATGTACTACAGTTCACAATTGTTACAATGCTATTTTGCTAATACAATAATATCTACAGACACCTACCTGTAGTATATGCATCCCTTTCAGGGTGACCACCACAAGGTCGTCCATGCCGTCCCCCATGATGTCCAGTCTATCCAACCCAACCACAGGCCCGGGGAAACTCCGTTGCCATAGTAACTGGAAACCTGCAGGGTTAAATGGAGGCTGGATGTCATCTTGCAGCTGATCCTGTTCTTCCTTTACACCATGGACTGGCAGAAACAGATCCTCCTGTGACTTTGCCTTCCTTGTTGGCTGTGCATCCTTTACATGGGTTGGCTGTGAGTTAGATTCATCTGATCTGTGCCTCTGTTTGTTCAGTTCCTCTAATTGGTTAAGAGTTCTCTCTGGTGTTGATGACGTATGTGTTGGAGTATTTGATTGGCTGCTCCCAGCTTTAGTGGTATCAGATTGGCTGTATTTTCTGTCAGTGTCAAAGTGCTGATTTTCTTCAAAATACTTGTATGCTAGAAGTTCCTGTAATTGTTTAACAGAAAGTTGACAGAGAATATATTCTGGCCGTAGAATACTTTACTCATGATATATATGTAGGGTCATCCAAACATCAGCTAACACCTCCACTTTTAAGACTTGCTAAAAGATAGTGAAAGAGTTGTGTTAAAACTAAACTGACCAGTATTCCAGTTATATCATATGTCACCTTAATGTTGTTTTGTTTGTTGTTTATCACCATACTCAGCAATATTCCAGCCATATGCCGACATTCAGTAAATAATTTGTTCCGTGCCTCTGTTTGTTAAGTTCCTCTAATTGGTTATCTGGTCCAGACAATTCAGTGATCAACAGCATGAGCATTGATCTACACAAATGGGATATGATGACGTGAACCAATTCAGCAAGTCTGACCACACAATGCCGTGAGTTGCCTCTTATAACAAGCGTGGCAGGGGTGGAAATAACTTTAAAATTGCTAGTGTACTCCGGTACATTGGCACATGTAAAATCACTTGCCCTGATCATATTTCAAATATACCGGCCGTTTTCTTGTTCATTTTTTAAATAAACAACATTATTAACATTGGAAAGTCAACTGGACACCGGTACAACGTGATATACAAATTTGCTTGCCCGACAGAAAAAAGCACTGGACTCGGACGTCGGGCAATGGGTTATTTTCACCCCTGCGTGGGTTGCCGAAGACAACAAGCGTGGGTTGCCGAAGACCAATTGTCACACCCATCTTCATGGATGCTTAGTAGAAATAAGACCAATGTGTCGCAGGTCTGTGACATTTATCTCTCGGGTAAAACTCTAAAGCATAAGTGTGGTGCTGACACCACATAAAAAGAGAAACATAAAAAGAGCAAACGAATATTTGAATCCACAGTCAAGTGTGTTGTCTTAGATAAGTGCACTACCTGTGCTATAATTCCGAAAAAACTGACTGCAAAAGGTAGTCGAAACAGCAGCTGATAGACTAAAACACTATCACCTGAACATGATACTTTTGTCATGGCTGTATTCTGAGTGGCTTTAACCTACCTGGCCATAGGTTCCAACAAGCAGCTCATTCTCCCCGTCGAAGTCTATGTCCACCACACAGGAGCAGAGTGTGCTGTCAAACTTCTCACTGTTGGGGAGTGATAACATGTCCTCGAACCCAGTGATCAGGATATTCCTGAAATTGATGTTATTCCTGATTTAATGGTGTGAGATTTGCTGTTTCTTGGATACAAGCAGAGAGGAATTTTGTTCACTGCAATGACTGAAATGTTTGCCTACTTTAACAAAGAATACATCCACTGATATGAAGAGCTAACTTCTCTTGATTTAATCTGTAATCTGCTATACATAACAAAGGCAATACATGTACGTGCAAGTGTGAGTGGTTTAACAATGCATCATTCCAGCTATACAATGGTGGCCCATAATGAATCAATTCTGGACCAAACAATCCAGTGATTGACATTGGGTACAGATATCCACACCATCAGGGTATCATGAGGCGCCATCCTGGCACATGTCCTGGAGCCTGATGACCCAATCCATCTTGTTGCCTATCAAGACCAGCACAGGTTGCTGGGGACCAATTTTCAGTGATTAAATAAGGTTAACATAATTTCCAGGTAAATATTATCAAATACATTTTAGTATCTTTGATGTCCAAGATTGTTCACTAACATATGATCACTGACAAATTTGACTGATGAATGCTTTTAATAAGTGTCCCCCCTTATCAATATTTGACCCTTGAAGATCCGTGTTAGAATTGATCTTCAGTAACCCATGCTTGTCGTAAAAGGTGACTAACGGGATTGGGTGGTCAGGCTCGATGACTTGGTTGACACGTCATTGTATCCCCATTGCATAGATCGGTGCTCATGCTGTTGATCACTGGATTGTCTGGTTCAAACTTGATTATCTACAGACCGCCGCCATATAGCTGGAATATTGCTGAGTGTGGCATAAAACTAAACTCACTCGCTCACACATTATCAATATTCTAACTCCCTGGGCATATATCGTGGCAAATATGGTATGTAAAATAATGTTTGATGAGGTATTTTACCAAACTCATTGACACTGAGCACCCCTGTTGAGGACTGATGAGCCTTACCTACCTGTACACAACTGCAGGCTCAAGAGCACTGGTAACCAACAGGTTGAAGTTGGCCAACTTTTCTTCTTCTTCACGTGTACTTTCTTCTGATGACAGATGAAACAAATGCATCTCAACAAATAAATAATGAAATACAGTAAACTACATTTATAATGGACATGCATGTAACATATACAACAATGTGCGGTGTTTTCATTTGTAGTTACTTGCTGCATATATTAGTTTAAATACGTACTTCCATCTAACAGACTATGGTAATAACAAAATAAGTGGTCCCTTTGAGTTTGTTATCACAGTAGTTTACTCTATAGAAAGTAGAGATTCACCTAGAGGAAGATTATTCCCAGCCAAAGTGTGAGTTGTTGAGCTTAAACAAATGAATCCTGAAGCTGCATCCCCTGTCACCGAAAGTGTACACTGACATTACAATTAAACGGTGAGGTGAGGTGAAATTGGGTTTAACGTCGTGATTGAGAATATTTCGCTCATATGATGACGTGCATGCGTGTGTATGTGTATGTGCGGCTGCTTGTTCTAGCCCAGACTTAAGCTGGTTTTATAGTGCTAGCCCACTGAGATACCAAGCCGCAGTGAAGCATGAATACCCCACTCAGACACATTATACTGACTCCGAGCCGACCAGTCCTTGTTGTACCCATTAATGCTGATCGCCAGGCAGGGACCAACAAGTACCATATTTTAACGTCTTTTGGTATGACGCGGTAGGGGATCGAATCTGCGACCTTCCGCTCTCTGGGCGGACACTCTAACCACTACACCACGGAGGTGGTCCACAACTGATAGGCCTTGATTGAGTCGATGAATACATTCACTGTGTTAAGAAGATTTACCATTCCAAAAGACACCAACAATGGACCGAAAAAACTATACCCATGTGAATAAATACACCCATTCTGTAACCATGTTAGTCAAACACTGTTTGGCTACCCTGTGCCCCACTCAATACGTGAGTGAAAATAAAAACCATTGCAAATAGTACCATTGAAGAAGTCAAGGAAGGATGGACAAGCTACATGGTTCTTGGCTGTGAAGACCCTGATACTGGTGATAGGGCTGTCATGCTCTGTTGACCAGGAATAAAGCACCTCTGACAAACAAATGAGTGAAAAATGTATTATTAGAGTAAAAATATCATTTTAAACTTATCCAGAAAAACATAACTATAACACATATAGTTATAACACATATAGGAGACATGTTCTTTTGTTTGTTCATAAGTGAGTGGTCTTTCAGTATATTACTGCATGCCAGCTTAATCCTAAGATATGGAGACCCGTGAAGGTCCGGTTAGAATATTGGCCTTCAGTAACCCATGCTTGTCATAAGAGGCGACTAACAGGATCGGGTGGTCAGGCTCGCTGACTTGGTTGACACATGTCATTGTATCCCAATTGTGCAGATCGATGCTCATGCTGTTGATCACTGGATTGTCTGGTCCAGACTTGATTATTTACAGACCGCCGCCATATAGCTGGAATATTGCTGAGTGCGGCGTAAAACTAAACTCACTCACTCACTAAGATATGGAGGTATTAGATGCTATCCACTTGGGTGAACTAACTACAGGCATGGTTCTGACAAAACAAGATTCAATCACAGAGAATGTGGGATCAAACACAGGATTCTGACATGGCTGCACAACTGTGCACAGAAAGTCACTCGATGATTGCAAGTGTCAGAAGAATGATTCTGGCATGATTGTGGTATATTCTGCATAGTATATTCACAGGTCATCACACTCGTCACGATATGGCTGAAATATTGCCGATGTGACGTTAAATAATAACTCACTCACTCACAGGTCATCACAACATGTCAGTGACAGGAGGAAGTGTGTGATCAGTGGACCCTTGCACCTAAGGGACAGAACTCTGCAGGCCAAGCAACTAGAGGCTGGTAAAACCGTTCTTAATAACAAGCATGCATAACGACATGTTTTATACCCTAAGATATGACTGTTTCAGACAAATTACTAACAGGGAAAATGCCTGAAGCCCTATGTTGCTTACAAATTATTGTACCCTCTGTAGTGATTATCACACAAGAGGCTGTAACTTTAGTGGAAATAGGTACAAAGAGAACTGACAATCAAAATGTTCATGTAAATGAATCATTGGAAAAGATCAAGGTACTGATGTAGACTAAAGTCTTGCTATGGCCTATGACACATACTAACCTACCTTTGGCTGACCTACTTGGATGCTGACAGAGTTACCTACCTTTGACAGTAACACTGGAATATTTACAGATTTACTTACCTTTGGCTGTAATATAAAAATTCCAACAAGTTAACATACCTTTGGCTGCAACATTGACATAGGCAACTTGGACAAGGCCATTCTGATGTCCCATCACAGTCAGCCGTCTCTCGTAGTTGTCTAGGTAACCAATATTCAGCTGCAGGACACTGCAACACCATAACACTTCACTTGCAACAACACAAACATTTGTCAAAGAGATCAGAGAAAGTTCCAATAAGACAGTAAGCATGCTGCAATGTAGTACTTGATATGAAGTGAAAAGCTGAGCAAGCTAAATGTCTGATGAAATGAACATATGTATACGCATAAGGTGAGCAATTTGATATAAGGAAAACCTTATCAAGTGACATGCTATTTTGAATATACTGACCTGCTAGGAATATTTTTAAACTCTGGAAAGAATTCTTCAGATGGTGTTTCTTGAAATCCATGTGACTTGAAAGACTAAAACAATACATTGAAGTCTGGTTTTAACAATGTTAGTGACTCAAGTATGTACTGTCCTTAAAATCATAGAAAAAATAACAGCAACTAAAACTTATCAGAATGAAGAACTTGGTTAGTATGTTCTGTCCTGTCAATAACTACATTGATTTTGTGCAGTCCAGATTGAGGGAAACACTTCAAAGATAAATCGGTTGTGTCAAGCCTCTAATACCTATTTTAAGGTATGGGATGGATTATGTGGGAGCGCAGGTCATAGCTTTCGTGTACCATTATCATTCATACCTACCTCTCGGTACATGTGTATCTTGTTGTCACCTCCACTGAGCAGAAACACCATTTCCTTAGAACTGCCATCTAGAAGTCTGGTTTAAATGAGATATAATTGAGATAAGATGTTATTAAGAACATCTGTCCCGCTATATATGTCACTCACCCAGAAAACCATATGTGTATGTATATTTTGAAGGAAAGCAATACTATACTACTCACACTTTGCATAAAATTCACAACTTTACTTAAACGTAGATTTATAATTTGAAATTGTATCCATTTAAAACTGGATAAATAATAATATGGTAACCCCTCATTATGCAAATGGTCACTTTAAGCTAACCTTATGCACTTGATACACAAGTAACCATAAAAATGGTTTTCATGGCACCAATCAACCATTTTGCAAATCATGGAACAAGTCATTGACAAATAAACAACACATGACAATAGCAGGTATGGGATCCACAATGACAAACTGAAACCTAAAGTAAGGTCAGAAATGCTTGAAAAATGCTTTTTGGCAACTATTTGACAATGGTTGATATTTCAGATTCAAAACTCATATATAATCATTCATACCACCTCGACCTAATATGGCATATGAGTAATCACGATGTACCATTCCCTAATCATAATGATTACTTGTAAAATATCGAAAAACTTAGAAAAAAATCCATGATAGAAACACTTCTAAGAAACAAACTATACTGTGACCCACCTGGCAGGCAGACAGGGTGACAGCGTTATGTAATGCATGGGCAGTACATGTCAGGGACCGCCTCAAAATATCAAGTGTCAGTATCACTGCTGGTGGAGGACTCTAGCGGAATTACACCAGAACATTTATGGTATCTTTCATCTCATCTTGTATTTTAGCACACGTCGGTGGGATTTTGCGTTCATACAGTTTATAAACTGCACGGCGTATTGACACCCTTATCAAAGCTATCCAGTTTGTGTTTCCTACTTGGTTTTTGATTTTGACATGACCCCTAAGGTAACTGATTTGTTTACAACTTTGTAAACCTGACTATATGTCAAATTAAGGGCTTTACACATTCTATAGTAAACCCTGTCATAGCTGATGAGAGGTTTCCCCCTTTGTTTCTCCAGTATGACATACTGGTATAAATTTGAAATTAAATGTTCTTGCAGAGATATCAAGTCGCATGTTGCCAGTTCAATGCTCATACACGAAGTGAAACGTCTATGGGTGAACAAGATTATCTATGCGATTTGAATTAAGACTTTTTCACATAATTATTTTGAATTTAACTACTACAACAGTTCCATCTTTTTCACATATAGATGTTAAAAAAAACACAAACTTTTTACAATCATTTATGTAATTTAATTAGTTAAGGCTATATGAATAATTATAGTCTGTATTTCAAAACTACAGTTTGTACTTAGAATATTTACGAATGTTGTTTAAATGTCAAATTTCCTCCTGTGAAGTCACCCCTCAAGTGTATTGTTTCAGCTGAGCTTTAATTTTCAACTAGGTAGTCGTACATGCATCATATATGTGCTTTTATCTTGTGTCAAATTCATCATATTGATATTGAAGTCAAAAAGCATTTTCCAAGCATTTCTGGCCTTACTTTAGGATCCATGCTTACAATAAGCTTAGGTATTTAAACCAAATTTCACCCCACATAATAGTTTTCTTTTGAATCCATGATTTAATCCTTAGCAAAGTGTGAATAGTATATTTCACATTATTGATTAGATTTAGTTGTTTACTAACATTCCACAATCATGAAGGAACTCACTCTGTGTGTGTCAGCTGGTAGGGAATGAAATTCAGTTCTAGACTCAAACATCCCTCTGAAAAGATAAGTTGTCATTTGTATGGACACTACTGCTATCACATGCTAAATATATACTACTCAAATGAACTTCTGTTCTTTAACTTCTGCTGAATGGTACAATAAGTAATAAGCAGCAAATCTGTTTCTAATAAGAAACACCCGATGGGTCTCCCATCTAATAATTATCAACACCAGTATTTGTTCTCAAGTGCACCATAGGAAACTCATCAAGATGTTTGTAATTACGATTGTTTTCTTGGTTATATTGAACTTACGAGCAACTGTATCCAAGTTTGCTTCATCCCCCACTTCACTGGCCGAGTACAAGTTGAGAAACTGTGAGGCAGGCTTACATTCCTTCTCATCCTCTTGCAGCTATAAGAATTTCCCATGAGTTAAATCATATGACCATTCAAATATGGTGAACTATTACAAAAAACACACAAATGTCACTGTCTTTACTTTCTATTAATGGAATACAAAAATGTAACTTTACAATGGTGACCGTTACAAGATCCCTTTTAACAAATACCTGAATAAAACATTAAAAAAAACATTGATGAAGATTCTATCTGAAAACTATAAATTCAGTAACCATGGTGACCTGAAAACGTTATTTCATGTGAATGCCAGAAAGCCTGTCTGTAACTTTACTGATGGCCATTCTTCACATACATTTTGTCTCTGTAATTGTTGATGTTTGTTATAAATTATGTAACTGTATGTATATGGGCCCGATGGCCTTTGTACGGAAATAAAGTTTTGATTGAACTGAATGAAACATTTCTCAAGACCACCAAGTACATATCATTGTAATCCTACCTTTAAAAAGGTAATCCCTACAATGATTCCATTGTTTCCTTGACATCTCCGCAGGACATCAACAGATACTATTTCAGCATCACCTTAAATAGATTGCTTAAATGAAATCATATGCTGGTATGGATTTTTCAAAAGACCATGTAGAATATTTGACTTTGGCTGAAAACATATTTTGAAATCAAAGTACCACATCAACAGGCAATTATGTATTCCATCTTTGCATATCTTTTCAGTTCTGTTTCTAGAATTTATATTCATGCCTTTGTTATCCTAATTACATTCTAGAGAGTCAGTCAGTTTGTCATTTTGCTATGACAGAATAGAGATGAATATGAATCCTACAATTCATAAAATTCCATGCCATTAATAGCATGGTGAACCATCTCGTGGACACCATCGATAGATTATGCCCAATGTCTTCGAGCTGCCATGGCATGGTAGGAAAGAGATCCATTATACATTAGCATGACAAGAAACAAGTACATCTTTATGGATATGTAAGTTAATACATAAATATCTTTCAGAATAAAACACTCCCTTCCTCTACAGTGAGTCTTCAAAAATGTAATGAGGAATGAGATATTTTTAAACTGGCTTTAAAAAAGGTTGAACTAAGACTTTGAACTCTTGTCTTAACTGTGAACACTATATTTTTTAGGGTCCATGGCAATGCTAAAACTATACATAATATTAAAAAAATGATTGATCTGTTTTCAAGGTAATATGTATATCAATTAAGTTGGCCAACTGTCAGTCAGCCAATGTATCAATCATCTAAATATATCAAAAACTCTTTTATACCTGGAATGTAGGTAAACTGAATTTCTTTGGTGCATGGTGTCAGTCTGTTGTTAAATGTCTGATATTCAACTGCAATAACCTTTCCATCAAGAGATGCAACTAATAATTTGTTATTTCCTTCACTGTCTGTTATTCTTGTTAATCCATAAACATTCGTCTGCGACGGGAGACTGCAAAAATGGGCATCAGTCCACCTCCAACCTCTGTCACCCATTCCGTTACTGAAATTAGATCAGAGTATTCTCCCTTTAAGTCAACGGGCACCTGTCATATTCACTTATCCAGTTTCAATAATTGTAAATGTCTGGATAATCGACTCAATAGTCATCAATTGGCGCATGCTCAATAACCAACTTCCTCTTACAACACACGTGAAAATGGCAGAAACACAAACATCACAGACCTCCTCAATGGAATCATCACAAACGCCACAAGAAGACAGTTTCATACCAGCGAAAAGAAAATTAAGGAAACGAAAGATGGTTGAAAGTGATTCCAAGGAAGAAACTGTTATGGATACGTCGGAATCAGCCGCCAAACGTCCCAGTTTTCCTCCTATCAGCAGTGATAAATTGATGGTAATACTATTGACAGGCTCTTCATAGCAAATTTTGATGTCACACCTTTTACAAATATTACCATGGTAACATACATTTTAGCGCAGTTGACAGGCAGTAATTATATGAGACTGTCGGCTCTTGCTGTCGCTCTACATAAAAATTGTCCCTTTGCATATAAATAAACGGGAGTACTGCACTTTACCGGGCGCACTTTTTCAGATTAATTAGCGTTCCCTAACCCTAACCCTAAGGATCGTAAAGGGTGCCAAAACATATACCTAAAAAACTAACCCTAACCAGGATCGTAAAGGGTGCAATACCCTAACCCTAGACCCTAACCCTAAGGATTGTAAAAGGAGTGAGAGTGCGGTAAAGTGCATTCCAGCAATGCCAACACCTTGGTGTAGTGCAGAGTTGTCTAGTTATATGCCAGACTATATGTTAGTTGTGAGGTAGGGTATGGATCAACCACCACTTTTCACGAATATAACCAACACATACACTTTGAGGATACTCTGTATCATTTTCGTCATGTTTCGAGTTTTGTCTAGAAAATGTCTACAGCCTCACATGCGCAGAAAGGTAAACAATGCTGACGACTTAGTAAATGAACATGGGTTAATTTTTGTTGACTCATTAGCCAAAGTTAACTTTAACTAGTTTAAGCGGAAAGAGTTCCTTCCGTTCACCCAACCCTAAACCTAAGTTATGGACTTTTATTCATTTTTGTGAGTTCTCTAGTAATTGTTGTGTTAAGTTTTGTTAATAATTTTAGTATATATTAATTATCTTATAAATATTATTTGGGATGGGAGAACGGGAGGAACTCTTACTATTTAAGCTTACAAATTTAGTTTGATCACCCACGCAACATGTGAAATCTGAAAAAGAGTGCCTGATAAAGTCTTTTCAATTAATTCAATCATATTGTGATTCTTCTCCACTTGTACCCCTTCAGCATTTGATGTTTGGCAATTCAGCTAACACGTAATGACCTCTTCATAAAGGCACCATAGATTTACCTGGCGAAAATTGCGACCCCTGTCATATTTGATGTTCCGGTTCATGCCTGGGAAGGGTACCATCCAGGTTAACAAGGCTTAAATGTACACCCAACTTGTGTAAGATATGTAACTTCTGCATGCACTTCCCAGGTGCTTTTTGTTGTAAGGTAGTTAAGATAATGATAGTAGCATTTATATATATGTCCTTTGTTTTTAAAGAATTAGTTATGTGTTAATCTTAGTAGATAATTACAGATTGTAGAGTCAGTACATAATGTATTGTAATGGATTTATTTCAGGGTGGTTCTACAGAAATGAGGAAGATTCCCATCCCACAAAACAGATATACTCCACTCAAGGAAAACTGGATGAAAATATTTACTCCAGTTGTTGAACATCTACATCTACAGATAAGGTTCAACTTGCGGTCGCGAAATGTTGAAATAAAGGTAAGCATAGCAAACTGGAAATAACAGGGTTCAGGTTCATGTTTGTCACTGGTAACAAAACATTAAAGTTCCATGTATTGTCCTTCAACCTTTTTTACTCGTATGCTGGTTGAATTGAAATGAATGATAACCATGATAACATAATGGATGTTCTTGTCATACTCATAGGTTTGAATTTTGTCATGTTTCAAATATTACAGACTTGCAAGGAAACAAAAGATATAGGTGCACTTCAGAAAGCAGCTGACTTTGTAAAAGCGTTTTCCCTTGGATTTGAAGTAGATGTAAGTTTACATATATATCTTATCAGTTGTTAAGGAATTTGTTGTTAAATACCATAAATTTCAATAACTAATTTTAGATATGAATAACTTTTCATCGGTTAACATTTGTTGTTGGGCACTGTTCTTTAAATGAAGGTAATATGAAATTTGTAATGTTGATAATCTATTGTTTTCATGTGTACATGGAGTAGGTTTGATTATGCTAATATTAGCCCATGTCTAATGTAGTACAGTATTAATGTTTGACATGTGCAAATGTTTTGATATCAGTCTAAGTAAAGTTAGGCTCAGTATTATTCATTACACTGCCATACTGAGTCTAACAAACTCTAGTAGAAGGTTGCGTCAGCTAACCTTTTGAATTGACCAATCAGAACACAGCTTTCCAAATCTTGAAAGTTAAAATTCGCACATACCGTTGGAATCTTTATCTCGAAAACGTTTGTTCTTGAACTATTCCGATTTTCCGCATGATTGTATGTGTGATACACAGTCACTGTAACAGTGCGTAAACAGTCGCTGAAAATAGCGTTTTCGTAAATATTCCAGGATGTCATCTTTTGGAAATATATACTAATAAGAGAAAATCCATAGACACTTCATGCAGAAACTCAAAACTGAATTCTGAAGAATTGAAAAGATTAAACTAATCATTGGTGATTTTAAAAGGGAACCGTAAGTCCCGCCAAACCCTAAATAGTAGCCGTTGTATGATTGGTTAAATCTGTTTGCCATCTCGCGTTTGATTGGACGGTCATAGGTCGCTCAAAGGTTAGCTGACGCGACCTTCTACTAGGATAAGTTTACTTAAACTGGTTTTGAGATGGTCTTAATACTTGTTCTTATTGTTTCAGGATGCCCTAGCTCTTGTGAGGCTGGATGATTTATATCTGGAGTCATTTTCTGTTACAGATGGTAAGATATTGTTTATTGTAATAAGAAAATGTTATCAGTAACCTTGTGAAATGAGACTGCTTATAGTATTTCTTTGAATTTGACTGTCACTGAAAGTCAAGTGAGCTTATGTGTTAATGCGTTGTCCTTTGTTTTTCTGTCCATTGTTAACTTTTGTATTTTCAACATCTCTTGAAACCACAAGGCCTATGGACCTGAAAATTTGTATGAGTGATCCCAGTAATTGTGTCTCTGAAATATCGTCACTGAAAATTTGATTTTAGAAATAGCTGCAACAACATGTTCTTTTCACCATCTCTTATGTTTCAAAAGATCCTTTGCACCATTTTAGAATTCACTGTAGATATTTGTACCAAAAGGCGATGTCAAAATAAGTCAAAGGTCAAAGTCAGGATTCAACATTTGTAAAACATTGATATGTCATTGCCAGTTTCTGAGGGCATGGTTACTTTTATATTTGAAACTTTATGTTTGCAAGTATTTGTACAAATTCTACTATGTCTGGTAGTAAGTTGGTGCTGTGTCTATCAAAGGTCAAGGTCATCATTGGATCTTAAGAAGTTATCCTTTTAAGATCATGCCCTGGAAGTAATGTTTTTTGACTGAAAGTACATGGTGGTACATTTAGACTTAAAACTTTGAGACATCTGCTTCATGTTTGTGTGCAAATAAATACACCACTTGTTTAATAAAGACATCAAATCAGCAGATTGATATATAATTCTTACACATTTCACTTGCTATTTATTAAATGTGTAAGATTAAAACAGTGAGTTGTATATCATCATATGAAGTGTATTGGGCAGTCTAGCATACATTGAACTTGAACTCTGTAAACCAAGCAATGGGTAAAAGCACAGGTGATACATAACTGGTCACACCTGTATAATGTGTGTCTGATATGTTTTCTTCACAACTTAAAGTTTCATCCTTCAACTTGGTTCATATTAAATGTCTAAATGTGTTTGGTTTTCAGTCAAACCCTTGAAGGGCGACCATCTTGCCAGGGCTATAGGAAGACTGGCAGGGAAAAATGGCAAGACAAAATTCACAATTGAGAATGTCACAAAAACTAGGATTGTCCTAGCTGATACGTAAGTTTTTACAAAACACTCAAAAGAAGTTTAGGTACACCGCAAATTTTCCAAAATCATGTCAAAGCAATCAAATAAAGGGCCTGGTTTAACCAGAATAACTGGATTAGATGTTCCTGCCCCTAAAAATGTAAATTGAAAGTGTAATTGATTGTGCAGGCTTTAAAATGTAAATTGCAAAATGTGTTTCCGTGTTATTCATTTTTTATGTATGTCAGTTGATTTATGTTAAGTTATTTTGGGGTTGTTTTGAAATGTTATGTAGGTCCCTTCAACTTAAACACAACAGTGCTTGACTGTATTTTCGAAAGTCTGAGGATATTGTGATGTAGGTCTTACTCCTAATTAATCAGCTATGTATTTATTCTACAGGAAAGTGAATATCCTTGGTTCCTATCAAAATATCCAGGTTGCAAGAAGAGCAATATGCAATCTCATATTGGGTAAGTTCATGTTCAAGATAGACTCTCTTCAACTGTTTTAAAAGTAGTGCTACAACACTGTTGTTTACAGGACCACAAGTGCTGCTAGCATCCAGGGTGACACAAGCCATTATTCAAGAGTTGCTTCCCTTGGGCATGCCAGAAACCCAGAATCTTGGGGAGGGAAAACATATATTTTTGAATATTTCATGTTGCATATGAGTATGTTTGTATTTAATGTCTAATGGTGATTCTAGTTGAATCATATTTCTTCTACTTTCATCAGCTGTCATGACAAACAGTAAAGAGGTTATTATCCATAAAAAAGTTCCATGGCTTCGAGTTCCACTAATTTCTAAGTCTAGTTAGTATGAAGTTCATTGACATGGATCAGAATGGCATCTACAGCTTGTACCTTTCTTCTGTTTGCAGGGAGTCCGCCATCCAAAGTATATGGCCAGATGAGGAGTGTTGCCTCTAGGTCAGCAGAGAGGTTCTAAATAAATTATTGTTGCCATTTGATGTTTGTGTTGTGATTAACGTAACAGAAAACCCTGTATTCTGTTGTGAAGATGAAAGTGTAATCTGCTGGGTGAAAAGGAACATGGAACGTCTTTACTCCATCCATGTTAAAAGGCAGAAATAGTTCCGTTTAAGCTTTATGAAAGGTGGTTTTCATTTTAGTTTCATCAAAGTTGATGTGTTGGTTAGATGGCCCAGTGGTTTAAATTGTCCGTTTGGCTCAAAATCGGACTGATGAATTGCAATCTAACTCGAAAACAACGAAACATGTAGTACTCAATGAAACACTGATCATAATCAAAACATCAGACCAACTATATTTTTTTTGCAGAATTTATGACCTAAAAATAAAAAGGTTGTTTAACAAACTATCATTAAAATTTTGACACAGTTCACTATTTGTTACGAGGGAGGACTGCACAAGTGAAGCACGTGCCGCCAGTCATTGATTCATTAACCTGAGCTGTGCCGTCTCCCATCCTTTCTCGCACACCTGGCTGTTCCTCTCTTTGCACCCTCCCTCGTAACAAATAGTGAACTGTGTCAAGATTTTAATGATAGTTTGTTAAACAACTTTTTTTTTTTTAGGACATAAATTCTGAAAACAAATCACAGAGTTGGTCTGATGTTTTGATTATGATCAGTGTTTCATCGAGTACTATATGTTTAGTAGTTTTCGAGTTAGATTGCAATTCATCGGTCCGATTTTGAGCCAAATGGACTATAGTTATTTTATGACCCATGTTCAGTGGCCCACATGTGTAAAATGTATGAAGCCTTTCTAGTGCGCTCAGCTGATGTTGTTTCAATATTGCTAAATTGGCCTAAAAATGCTCCTCACATAATGAAAAGGATGTCACCTTCAGCTACAATTAACTGAAAGCAAAAAATACCTGACACATGGTTTCATACTTGTCCAAAATAACCAATTGATAACAAAGCATCAGAGTAACTGTTTAGACAGTTTTATTTGACATGATAGTTGACAAAAAATGGTCACTCTCTCACTCTTCATGATACAACTATCAAGCTCTCACGTCACACACAAACCACTCAATCGGAACACTTCCTGAGGTGGCTCTACCATGACTATACATTGTCCAGCTACATTGTCAGCACTTGCCCATCCTTGCTTCTTAGAAGGCTAGAAACTTTGAACAACTACAGTACTCCTACTTATCTAGAGGGTAACTGTCAGTTTTGTTATTTGTACTTAAAGACCAAACCTTGATCAGAAAGCTCAGTTAATATTTAGTTACCTTGGTCTGTCCATACATTCATGCAGTCTTATATACAAGTATTTTCTAGTGGTTATGTTGGAGTGGAGTTTGACAAAATATTGCAAAGTAACACTTTCATCATTTCCGATATCTAGTGGTTACAATTCTAGTCAGAGAGTGCTTGATGGTGATACATCTTTTGGGATATTGCAAGCAGAAACTGCCAGCAGTAATGGTCTCTCAGAATTATTAGAAAACAGATTATAGGGGTAGTTTAACTGTTGTTTGTGCATATATATGAAAAATATTTTGCTGAAATTAAATGGGTGGATGTCAGAATGGTTTACCTAATATGTAAGTCAAAAGAACAGCATCTATTGCTAAGTTGGAAAGGAAAAATGAAACCTATTACATCCAACACGTTTTTGAATAATGGATGCCAAAATGAACCATTTTAAGACTGATACATTCTTACGCACTAGAGGGTGACGTGCTTTGAGCAAATATCAGCTCATTCAGGTAACCATGGTTACAACAAATAATTACTCAACTCTTTGGTCAGGGGAAGAAGTAAAGGCTACAGTCTTCATCCCAGCACCATTGGGGTGGGAGTATGATGTGGATGTTTCATGGCTGCTTAATGTCTACATAAAAGGTAGGACATAGCAGCTTATGAACATGGAATAAAATGAGATGCAAAATATAAAGCTACCTCAATATTTCTTCATATTACTAAATTATCTGTTTTAAAGAAAATACTATCCATTAAACAAATAAATGCTCAAGTTGTGTAGTTTGTTTCTAGAAAGAGGCACACCACAATTTTAATATATAAATGATGTACAGAATATGTCAGTGTTGCTTCACATGCAATGGTTTGGCTACAACAAACAACACGCATACAATACAACACCCAAATATTGCTGGGTTTCTTCGCCTTTCACCATGGATACTACGTGACAGATTCACCAAGGTTGCATTATTCCAAATTCCCAGTACCACTTCTATCTATCACATGTGACTGACAAAGATACAGTTCCTTATACATGTTTGTAGACAAGGTAACTATGACGATAAACTGTTTGTAATTGGCTGAAGATGGACATTGCTGATACAGTTAGTGTGCCAACAATATAAAAAGTATAGTTCTGTCAATCTTATGCAGTGATGGTCCAGAAACAATGCATAAGATAATTTGTTCATTGTGATCTTGTTCAAAGACAAAACTGTTTCTGTTTCAACATGACATGATGGAACACCAAAGGTCAAGTCTTTCTGCAGAACATTTTTTTAAAGTGTTGGAAATGTTTAGAGAAAGGCTATTTGCCATTTAATTGATAGCAGAACATAACACAATTTGCTGCTATTAATATCAAATAACTACCAAGGGGCAGATACAGATTTTTGAGAAAGGGGGATGCATATTCATTCTCGGCTGTTTTCATGAGAGTTCCTATGCTACCAGTTGACTAACCTGACGTTTGAACTATTTCATTGTTAATATATTTTAATTACAAATTCAAAGGAGACAAATGAAAGCTGAAACAGACTTTAGAAATATGCAAATGCAACTCTTTTTCAGTTAAAATAATGAACACTTCATTAAACGCTGATGTAATTACATAATAGGTGTTCAATATTATTAATTAACGAAAACGCCATACATGTGGTTTGTCCACCTGTTATAATTCTGATGCATTACATAAAAATAGTTGAAACAATGGGTATGATTCACAACTTCACATTAACACTTGAGATGACACGAGAGAGCTGACACAAGACAAACACGTTTTGCATATTCAAAGGAATCTCATTTATCCATAGCAGCAGGAAGATCATTTAGTATTTTTCTAGCATTTCAAAGTGCTTCAGTACCAGATGAAACCAAGTTCAAGATAACACTTATACATGTGACTGAAGATAAAACGAACCCCAAAAGCCTGGCCTGATTGTAAGGCCAAATTAGTCAGTGGATCCATCATCAGCTATTCATTTTGAAACTGGAAACAACAATAAATCTACACAATATGTATCCATAGTCAAGGGATAAGATCTTGGACATTATATGTAAGTTTCAATGACCCGTATTTAAGATAAAGAATACATCATCAATCTTAGGAATAATGATGCATCAAATTTCGAACACTTCAACTATGAACTGACTGAAGCAATCTGCAATGTAAACAACTGGCAAGTAACAAAAAAAAAATAGCAGCAAGCTTTCTGCTTCTGTTCACTCCCTTCAATATGCCTGTTTCATTTTCATTTAATGTAGGCACTTGAGAAAGTACTTTACGCCAACCATGGGAATAAACACTGTTTGGAAGTCTTATGAATGCGAGCTTTGTTTCAAACAATGCACTCTGGCCACAAACCTGATAGAATTATGTATACTACACACAAGAAGTTAGGGACCACCCGATTCTTTCCTATTACTATAGTTAATCTGTCATAGCAGGATAGATCAAAGGAAATATACAGTAAAAATCTTAAATCAAATTATTTATAAAGCATGTAAAAAGAAATTATCTTGAAGGAGAATGTTTTTTCTTAAGTGAACACTTGTAGCCAAAAACATCAAAAACCTAAACATGTTCCGGAGACTATGGAGAGTTAATGAGCAGAGTTTGGCATCACATGACCTAATGTCATAGTGGGAGTTGCCTCCCTTCTTCAGTACAGTGTTTCGTAGATAACTTGCTTTCACCGGACAATAACACCAGAAAATAGAATCAGATGTCACTACGGAAAGACACAAAGTTATAACTTGCAACCTATACCATCAATTTTCTATTTTGAAACTTGATTTAGGCTGGATGTTATACTTTTGTTACTTACTTTCAACACAAATAATCTCCCATGGAAATCATGAAATAATTGTGAGTTTCTTCACATGTGTATTTATGTCCATATAGACAACCTTAATGAATAACTTCTTCTTCTATTGCGTGAGTGTGATGTTTTGGTACTCATTCTTGTTTTGGTACTCATTCTTGCTTGACAACGATACAAGAATCTGTGCTGAAATGTTGCACTCACGAAATAATTAGCCTATAATTAAGGCAAACTTTGGTTTTTTTTATACAAATGAATGTTACGCATTAATTGTTTAGTGTATCTAGTGATGGTTGGTTCAGTGATTACTGCCATTTAAACATTTGTTGTAACATACTTAACTGATAGGTCTTTGTGGCTGGTATTTAGCTTACAATAGGAACAGTTTGTCTTGACCCAAAATCCATCAATATATCACTGACTACCATATATAATACACACAAAACAAAACATAAAACGAAGAAATAAATAAACACAACAATTATTGAACTGACAATATTAATCTTAAATATACCTATCACTCCATAATTTATCCAAAGAATGTACGCCATATTCTGACTGTCTATCTCTATAACAGCTTTTTCGCTTGAAAAACACCAGATGTGTCTCTGACTGATCACTAATGATTGATGATAAACATATATCCAGTGAAACAATGTTTATCCAATAAAACTGACACACACCATTTTACCCATTTATCTATGAAAAGTAGTTCTCAGGGCAAAAACTTGTACAATATATTTCTTATTATCCTTGTATAACACATCTTTATTTACATGATTCCTGCTGACTTTAATTATGTATGTTGTTATGAGTATTTACCATGTATACAATTTATGCTGTATCTGAAAAGTTTCTCCTCGCTAAATTGGTCCTTACACTTAGAATTTTGAAGAAATGACACCTGGAACTTTTTGGGAAGGACTGAGACAACGCCATGAAACAATATACCATCTTACATCTAACTCACACTGAGTATAATGAAAAAAATCACTCCATTGTTATGCAGATAAATGCTCTGTGTAAACAAAGTGAAACGGTAGGCGGCTTGATACTGTGACGTCAAAATCTGAGCTCTGCCGAGGCTGGGATTACGATATGCATACCTGCAGGTTGTAGAATTAGAGCAGTTGTTTGGTGCTTTTCAGATGACAATAAAATCACTGATCACTTTTTTCTAGAGTGTAAATGAGCATACTTTGTACAATTAACATATGTTAAGAAGTTTATATTGAATATATCTTCTTTAACTACAGTAACAGAAACAAAGTGTGTGGTCTTGAACTTCCTTTGAGGAGTATACAAAGCGAATGTTATCTCCTGAATATAAGTTGGATGTGATACACAATAAAGAAATTCAGCCAGAAAATAATTCGTCAAGTACAACACACTTTATCGCAGGTGAAATATGTTTCTTGCCTATAATTCCTAAAAGTGGTATTTGTTAGACACCTGAAGTCCTATCATTATCAACCTGTCCATAGGTCCTTACAAAATGGCACAAGTCCAAAATATAACAGTTGGTAAGAAATGAACACATCCACTTTTTCATAAATGATAATGACACTGACTGATCTGGAAAAACATTTGGATTTATGAGGTGATAAATGTTTAAGAATTCTTGACAAACTATGCAATATATATAAGCTATATATACCTAATTGGTTTGACTGTTTGTGCATTTGCAGTCAAACAAACTATCAATTGTCACTAAAGCAAAAAACGTAAGTGTGGTTTTATCACTGAAACTATACTCTCCCAAAAACAAACGCATCATGAAAATAGCAATTTCATGTAGCAATGAATTAAAACGTGATTCATTTTACAAAAGGTTTTGCTCTGTTTATGAGTCCTATGGTGTTTATGTTTTGAAACATCACAACAAAACGCACCATCCGTAAAATACCCGTATTTAACAGCATGATTTTCAATTTCGGCGTGTAGTGTCACAGAATACACAATTCACATGCAATGCACGTGAAAGTTGGGGATCAGATAGTCTCAATGATGGGTATAAAAGGTTGATCGCTGTCTGTCGATTATTCACTGTATTTGGAATATTGTTGACGAACGCAAAATGCCACGTCTAAGTGAAGCCAACCGTCATATCGCCATTGGTTTGCTTGAAGCTGGCCAGTCTCAACGCGCAGTTGCCCGACGCATGAATGTTCACCAAAGCACCATTTCACGGCTCTGGGAGAGATATCGCCGGCAGAATTCGGTAGCAGATGCCCCTCGTAGTGGGCGACCTCGAGCGACCACTGCCGCGCAGGATCGCTACATCCAGGTACATCACCTGCGTCATCAAACAGCTACGGCGACCAGTACCGCTCAACAAATACCCGGATTGAGGAGGCTTTCTGCACAGGACGTCAGGTACAGGTTGAGAGAGGCTGGTTTACGTGCCAGAAGACCTTATTTTGGCCCTGTGCTTCGACAACAACATCGTCGACATCGAGTTCAATGGTGCACCAACGTTCAGGCCTGGAACCTACCGAATTGGCGTAGAATCTGGTTCAGTGATGAATCACGATTTCTATTGGAACGATGCGATGGAAGACTGCGGGTGTAAAGACGTAGACAGATTCGGCCGGGGAAGTGTTATGATGTGGGGAGCGATCACCTGCCGTAGGAGAAGTGATTTGGTGATGATCCAGGGCAACCTGACAGCTCAACGGTACTGTGACGAAATCCTACGCCCACACCTCCTTCCAATCACTGATCGCCAGAGGGAGTTGTTTCAACAGGACAATGCCAGGCCCCACACAGCACGTCACACTAGAGACTTCCTCCAGAACCACAACATCAATGTGCTCCCCTGGCCCTCAAGATCACCGGACTTAAACCCGATCGAACATCTGTGGGATGCCCTGGACAGACAGGTGCGACGCCGTAACCCTCATCCCCAGACACTTCACCAAATCGCACAGGCACTACAGGCAGAGTGGGCTGCGATTGGGCAACACGAGATTCTGAGACTTATACGTTCGATGATGAGGCGATGCCGTGCAGTTCTGGATGCCCACGGTGGTCACACGAGGTATTGACTTAAGCGCCACCACACGTCTCCATGTGACACTCAAACTGACTTTCCTCGAGTTGGTGCCAAAGACGGATAAGTCTGCATTCCCAGTGTGCAATTTCGCTATATTTCATTGACTCATAAAGCCTTTAAGATGTTTCAAAATAAACATAAAAATACAGTTGAAATTCCTATATGTGTTTCTTTTTTGGGAGAGTATGTTTGAGTCAATTTATTTGAAGTTAATAATTTCCAACTAAAAAATTTGGTATTAACCCTGACAAAGGAAGTTCAGTAAAATAGCAGGTCTTTGAAATCAATTATTTAGATGTTGAGACATGCTTGTTCAGCAGTCAGTTGCAAACATAAATGTGTTGTGTGCGAAATACGCATTATGTCAGAAAGCGCACGTTAAATCTCCAAATCATCATCACATAAATGTTGTACATAAATAGGGACAATATCAATTATGCTACCAGCTGATATGAATGTTTATCTGTGTATCCAACTCTCAGACTACTTCAGTTAAGTTCGTGGATCATACCCATAGTGTGTCAAATGCAACATACCCACTGTGTCAAACGCAACAATAATCCTCAGAAGTAAACCTTAACTAACAGCAAACAACAGTGGTAGAACTTGTATTATAGAGTATATTATCATGGTCATGTGCATTAAGCTTTATAAAGGTAACTCGTTTGTACAATGACATACCGCTAAGCATTGTAGAACACAAATACTATATTAAGGTTAAAGAACGTTTGTAAAACATTTATTAGGAAACCATAAGCACCCTTTGTAGTCTAAAAAAGTTAAAAAGAAAATTGTAAATGTGTGAAATAGGACTTGAAATGAGACCAACAAGATACCAGTAGGGCTACAAGGTAGTATGTGACTTGGAAAATGACAAAAGTGAACCAGTATTCCACTGAAGGAGTAGGACCTGAATATATTTCAAACTATTTGAGATTGGAATGGGATGATGGACACACATTAATAAAAAAAAAGTCAGAATGAAAATGGTAGAAAAAAGTTTGTATCACAGACTATTGCTGAAAAAAAGGAAATGAAAGATTTAAGAAAAAACCCACAGAAGCACTTGTTCATTAAACTGTATCCCACAGGCTTCAGGCAAAATCCTTAAGCATTGGTCAATGGTATTTGCTGCAACACACCAGGAGCTACTTTTGCATTGAACATGTTGAAGGTGACCATGAACTCGGCGTATGGGACTGATCACTCTGTGATGTTGATATTCTTGACTTTGGAACATTTATTCATGGTATAAGTTGTCTTCTGGAAGAGGCTGGTTTAAGTACTTTCAAGTTACTAGACTGCTAGAAGGATGGGTTATTTGTTAGTCTATCACTTCCTATAGTCACCACTTTCCTCGTTTACTCCAGTCTTTTGGTTGCCAGTGGAGGCATTTTGAGTCAATGCGGATCTTTCTACGAGCCATTGCACGATTATGAGAGTCCATGAGTTCATTTGATATTGTGATGATATACTGTCCTTTGTAATAATTGATGAGATTCAAATGTTGGAGTGTTGATATAACATCTTCTTTCTTGATGCTTGTCATTTCCGAAATCTCACTGTAATGAAAATGATTAGATGTTATTTAATGAATGAAATGATAAAACAAGAAGACATGGTTATCAATATCCCCCACTACAGTGTTCTGTTCCTATATGGTTCCTGTTTTTTAACTCCACCACAACATTCATGTCCTGAAAACACATACCGCATTTGGTTTCCCTATCTCTGTAAAGAATCGTAATATGGTTTCCGTTTCAAACTCCATCAAGGCATTCATATCCTGAAAACACGTATCAAATTTGGTTTCCAAATCTATAACGGTTTCTGAGAAAAGCTGTCCCCGTTGGAAATAAGGTGCACTAAGTCAAGAAACGCATGACAAGGGCCATAACTCTGTAACAAATTGTAACACGGTTTCCATTTTCAAACTCCATCAAAGGATTCATGTCCTGAAAACACATACCAAATTTGGTTTCTCTATCTATAATGATTTTTGATAAAATCTGTCCCCATCATCTTTGATGGACGGACGGAGCTCCAACCTATACCCCAACACACTTAGTGGCGGGGGATAATAATACCATCACCAGAGTGAGTTGGATTTCACGTTGCTTGAACAGTATTTCAGTTATATCATAGCATGTCATCTTAATAGAAGGAAAGCCCGAAGTGAAACAGGTCTAAGACATTTACCATTTTGGCCTGGATAAAGTGTTACAAACATAATCAGGGTGAACTGGGATATGAACCCATGATCGTAGGTTTATGGTTTGCCTAAGGGACTCAACTCTGCTAAATGTGGTGCCATAAATGACTTTGCTATCTGTGCTTGCTACAAAGGAAAGAATATAATCTGTACAACACTGCATGGATTAGACTACCTAAGAACATGTGGAAAAGCAAACTAAACAATACATGAAGCAAATTAACAAAATGAAAAAGATTCAACACGAAATCTTAAGTGAAATATTTTCTTTATGCCTTATTCTGAGCAAACTAGTTTCTGTGGAAGAAAGAAAAAAATCTCACTATCAGGATAATTTTAGTTTGAAGCATTGTGCTATCCAAACAAAAGAATCATAGCAACATAGATGAGAGCAGCAACTTACTTAATGGTAATGAGAGGTCTCTCCCCAGTTTCATTTGGTTTGAGATTCAGCAGTATTTCCAGAATGGTCTGTGACCAATAGCTGCGATATGACAGAAGGCCTAAGTCAGAGAGAGGCTTCTCTGGTGAACCCGTTTTACCCTCACCTTTAGAAAGTTCATAACCTGTAAACAGACAATCACATTTGCACAATCACATCCGATCAGAGAGCCAGGCTTTATGTTGTAACGCATACCATACCACTCACAGACACAGACTCTACGCTCACCATCAACCATTTTACCTTTGAATACAGAGCACCAGGAAGTGTAATATCAAGTACCCTTTTTAAAGGTCTATCGGCATGAGATTGAAGAACTTATTTTGTTCTCGGTATACATGGGATACCTAAATATCTACAAAAGAAGGCTCAGAACAAATTTATCCTCATACAGAATATGGATGACGAAAAATATAAAATCATCACAGCCTTCATCAAACTGATAATGCACAACCAAATTCATATGCTGATAATTATTTTGATCACAGTTATCTGCCAATGTAAGAAGTTTTTACAAGTATCAACAATACCATAAGTGTTGATTTTTTTTTACAGCGCTATTAGATCCTTTAGAACTGACTGTCTTGGCATGGAAATATGAATGTCAAATTGATGGTGGTATCAATGCTGAGAAATCACAAAACATTATCATGTGTGACCTCTCATTTTCTTTTATGAAAATGGGGTCAGTGGCTTTGTAATAGACCAGTGAAAGACAGAGAAACATATAATCAGCAATATGACATCATAATACAGTGAGACCTCGGATACCCGGACCCCAGATATCCGGAAACCTCGCCTTCCGGTCAATTTTTAGAAAAAAACAATCTCTTACGTTATAAAAGTGACTGTCTATAACGGATATTCGGTTTCCGTTTCCGGACGGTACATTTTACAAACATACCGGCTAAATCAACACAAAATTGACTCACCTATCCGCACGAAGCTTTGATCTACCGCTAACCGTGTGAAGATAAGTGCGAGAGTCCCACGTGTTTTGACACAAGACATGGTCGGCTAATCCGGATTAATGATCATCAAGGTATTGGTGGTGATTAGAAGGCCTAGCTGACACTGAGTTAACCATTGAGTTCTAACTGTTAAGTTGTTTATTCAGTCAAAGCAATAAAAGTGCAGTGTGTCGATATTCAAGTCAGTTGGTCTTTCAATTGATCACAAATGGCTAGTCAACCTACTAAGCGCATAAGCGCCACGCAGTGACAGCCAAGGAAAAGAAAGAGATATGTCTTTACAAGGAACAAAATCCCAAAGTAAGCTTTGATAACATAAGCAAACATTTTGGACCACGTTGTTTCGGAAGTGATTTCAACCCCGAAGCGTATGCTCGCTACAGATTCAACACTAAAGCCTGGATGACATCTGACCTGTTCAGCGATTGGCTGATCTACTTTGATAGACAGATGAGGTTAGCGCGTAAGTAGGCGTGTCATACTGCTTTTAGACAATGTCGATACGGAGGATCAGGCAGCCCCACTACCCTGCTCGTTTGCTGACGCAAAGAAATATTACAAAGGCCTACTCAGCTACTTTGAGAACAATGGCGACCGTGAAAACCTGGACAAAATGTTGTCCGTCGTGTTACAAAGGAGCGGCACCCAGTGTAAGCAGTTCTCAATGAAAGACTTTTTCAAAACTGAAAAATTGTAAAGGTACGATTGTTATGTTGTGATGCTGTTTTTGAATGTCTATACATGTACAATAAACGCTTGATGATCATAAACATTTTGGATTTTCCTTGAGGTGTATGAAAACCAAAAATCCAGATATCCAGATATTCAATTATCCGGACGATTTAGGTAAAAACGAATGTGTCCGGATATCCGAGGTCTCACTGTATATTATAGATAAGGAAAAAGATTAGTTGGGTATATTCTGCTGCTTGTCACCCTGTATATAATGAGGGGTGTCAACATAGAACAACCACACACAATGCTATGTGAAGGCCGACTGTAAAGTACTCACTAAATTCTATCAGCAGTTTTCCGTACCCTTTCCTCTGATAAGGTGGTAATGTGAGAATACAAGCTACATTATAATCTTCCGTGGACTCTTTCTCCTGTAAAATAAAGGAGTACACTTGTCAGATACACACAAGGTATGATTTCCAAAAGTTTGAAGTACTTACTGTTTAAATACATGGATCAGGTGATCATCAATGATCATGCAGATGGAATAGTACGGAGTGTGGGGTTTAACAAACAAACAATTGACTGCACCCACCTTGGAGAAGTAGCCCACTAAGTGATAGCCCCTGTTGTCCATCTCACACATACAGTAGAAGAGGAATGGATCTGTGTCATAGTACAGTGTTTTGTGATCTAAGAACAGCTTGGCCAGGAGACACAAATTTTGAGCATATGCCTGGAAAACAAGAATAACAGACGGAATACTACAATAAAGGTCTTTCAAATATCAGTAATACCATGAGTAAACATTTTAACACACAAATTTCACTTTGCAAATACTGACAACAACCAACCTTACTAATATTGTTAATATATTTTGAGAAGGTGTTTCCATTTCAAAAGAATACATATAAGTGTTTTTGCCACAATGTTTCATCTACTGGGAAAAATATATATCACACTTACCTTGTTTTTCCGTCCATCTATTTCAAAGAAAGAGATTTCACCTTTTCTATAAATTTCATTTCCAGGTGGATGCCGAAGCAAACATTTGGCCTGCAATTAGAAAATTACATGCATTTTGATATTCATGATATTACAATACTTACACTGACACAACATGCCACAATTTCAAGAAACATATACACCACTCTTTGTTGATCAGGATTACTAATTCAGTGGGCATGCTACAGATAAACAGCTTCACTGAATATACATATAAGTTGTGTAATTCAGTTCATGACTACCGGATACAAGATAGCCATGAGATAAATTGCACAACAAGAACAATGAGGAATGAGGTGGAGTTTATTTAACTTTGAAACATTGCTCTAATATGCAGGGCTCCAGATAAGAGCCGTATCGGTGTATGTACGGATGATAAATATGCACGATATGGTAGGAAATAATTTAGAAAATGTAGCAGATACACACCCCAGCAATGGTGTAGAATCATTTACAGATGTATTTATCTGAAAAAAGTATTGTTTATTGGGGTTTTTTTTTTACTTGTCTACACAAGAGTAGCAGTGTTGTGGTGCATATATGAAACGAAACACAAGATCACATACTCCATTAAATTCCATTCAGTACTCTAAATGTACTCTTAAGTTTTTCCAGTACTCCTATATTTAGAAAATAAGGAGTATCTACTCCTGATGTTGAAAAATTATCTGGAGCCCCGAATATGATGTTATTTCTTGAGATTTAACATATGCTTACCACTTGATGACATCATAAACAGGACAACAGTATGTTTGGAAGATGATCCCCTTAGATGTCACTGAGAATACATTTATTCAAAGAGCCTGCATTATTCAAATTCAGGTTAATATCCTTATAAAGACTGAAAATAATATTGACATCTAACAGAAGAAATATATGACTCCCTGAAACGTTTTATCTCAAGATGAACTCCTACTCTTCATGTACTTCTAAATATATTCACTTACCAAATGTCTTTCTAAACATTTGTTGCTTTTCAAGTATTTCAGGCAGTATTCACAGATATATACAATAGGTGTCTGTGTGAGTTCCTGTGAAAGGAAGAAAAAACAAAAACAGTTAAATGCTTCATGGGATGTGGACACATGGTTTCCAAAATACAACATTTACTTTAAAAATAACACAAAATGTGTCAACAAGTTCCTTCAGTTTGTAGGTTGCAATGCATTCATCACTCTTAAACACTATAATGATGTTTACATTTCATGGACTAGAAATAACACAAAGGATATTCATAAGTACAGGGGGCGGTGGGGTAGCCTAATGGTTAAAGCGTTGGCTCGTCACGCCGAAGACCCGGGTTAGAATCCCCACATGGGTACAATGTGTGAAGCCCATTTCTGGTGTCCCCCGCCGTGATGTTGCTGGAATATTGCTAAAAGCGGCGTAAAACCAAACTCAGTCAGTCAGTCAGTCATAAGTACATACCTGTGGGTAGGGAGAAAAGTACCAAGGTTTGATGCGGTATCGACCTAGTTCTATAAGGTCAACATTTTTCATTCTTGTAACAATATCATCATGATGTGCGACCATGCTGCCTGTCTGTCTTGGCATCTTTGGGAGTGCATCTTGTGAGTCTGGTTGCTAAAATAATGACACATTTACACATTTGAAATCTGACTTGACAATTTGACGGTAATGCTCAAAATTTAAATAGCAAATGAATATTGTCAGTTGTGTTCCTGAAGCATACATCACATTTAAATATTTTTCAACTGTTATTTTGGAGGATTATCATTTTGTAATACGTTTTCATATATTCATATATTTTACAAAATTGAATAAAATGTATGGTAATACACAGGATAAGAGCACCCAACATAACCTATTTGAATGTTTAAGCATAACATAATTACCAGTGCATCTTCTTCTGCCTTTCTTTTTCTGGCTGCAGTGGCTGCTTGTGTTTTTTTCATGCCACCAGTGCTGCACATTGCACCACTGGGAGACGGAACTGCTAGGTTGATCGTCAATCCAGTCATCCCTCCCAATCCAGCACCTAGGCCAGCACCAAGTCCAGCACCAAGACCTGCACCGAGGCCAGGCCCCAGACCACCTAACCCGCCACCAAGTCCACCACTGTTTGAGGTACCATTTTGTACCTGGCAACAACAAAAATAAATTGTTAAACAGTTAATTTTGTATTCTACACGCATTTAGTTTGTCATCATCTGAAAGGGCACAACATGGCTAAAATTTTCCTATTTTATAGGAAAAGTGATTCAGTAATTGATTTGTGTTATTCTTCATGTAAATGCATTCAGATGTTCACAAAACTACTGTACTTACAACTGGTGTGACAACATCCCGCTCTGGACTACTGGGGCGAGAGATCCACCATTGGCCAGTTTTTGGAAATCCTTCTTAGGTGTTTTGGCATCTTTCTTCGGCTGCTCCAACTTACTGATGTCCATCCTCTCTTCTGGCACCCACTCATCGAGTCGCTTATTAACTGCCCAAGGAGAAGGAAAATTTAACACAAATACAAACCTGTGGTTATAATCAGACTGCTTATTCTAAACGAATAACAAACAGTAACTCATAAAACTAATACTATTACTAGAAATACTTACAATCTTCATAATGAATGTAGTATAATGGTTTGCCTTGGACATCTTTTTTACTGAGGATTTCTGCAATATCTGCAAAATAACAAGATGAGATTTTCATGTCAGATATTATGTCGTCAACAAATGTCATGGAGTGAAATTGTAAGTCTGTCCCTTAATTGTTGAATGGTAACTTGTACCAAAAGATCATTAGAGTTGCTTCCCCTGAGAGTAAAGGGAGTTAATAATCACTTTGTACACATATTCCAGCTCCACTTTAAAACCTATTGTAAAACACGTACTTCATCCCTATCAAAATATTATTAAAAATATCATTACAGAATATCTTCATTCAACATGACAATAATTAATGAACAAAATGAATAAACCGGCATCCACATCTTGGTGTGTTGAAATGCCAGCAGGTGGCGCTCGGTATTACTTTCTCTTTACTTACGCCAACCATCGCCGTTTTTTAGAAGCACGGGCAATCTGCAACCCTCAGTTATCTCAGGCTGCAAACAATAAAAGACAAACAATGTACTCTTTTCGTCAATCTCAAGAAAGAACTGAAAAACATACCTTTTAACTGAAATTTACGCAGAACTTCTCACAAACGTACCTGTGCTTCCGCCATAATCGTCATGATTAGCCTCGCACTGAATTTCAAACAACGAAATAAAGATTAAATATAACTCTTAAAGAAAGAAATAAACGTTGAAAGTTTATATTAGATCTAAGTAGATAAGAATGATATATGGTATCTATTTATAGAAATCAGTTATGGTCATTCGGCTAATATATAACCAACCACATTCAGACCAGGATTTGTTCCGCTAAGAGCAGCAGACATAAACTTCCGGAATTTCCTCACCGGCTCCAGCTCTTGCATGAAACTACCGACAGTAAACAGAAAGTATTACTATTTAGTTGTTTATTGTAATTTAAATGACACATGGCGTCAGTTGTGAAACAAGAGCCCCAAGAACAAGTAGAAGAAACTGATTTAGAGACAAGGTATGTAAAACATCTATTTTGTCTTGTTGAGATCAAGATCTTAATTTCTAGTCTAGTGGATAGTAGTGCTTGTTGAGTTTTTGCATGTGACATGAACAAGATAGTATCCCGGTATCAGGGGTTTTCGACGATGTAAGACAAAAACGTAATTTATATCTGTAATATCATTTGAAGTTTTAATTTTACTAACCTTGGGTGATAAAGGATATATAGATCTATGTGGTACATTTTCGAGGAAAGGGCTACACACGTGGATTCAGAAAGACAGTCACATTTGCCGTTCATAAGCAGCAGATGCCTGCTTTCGGGTTAATTGACTCACTCAATTTTATCGTGTTCAGTAATTTGTGCGCGCGATTGTGCATACTCAAGGTTATTTCTATGCGATATACATTTGTCTGTGTACTATGTTCACAAAGTTTTCGAAAAAATAACTATCTAATAAGAAACCCTGCAATGTTTATTGGAAGCTGAAACTCATGCCGATGTATTAACAAAATGCGACTTTTGAAAGTCTCTGGTGGTCCAACTTTTCCAATAATGCTTATAGATATTGCAGTAACAACTGTACAAATGCAAAAGTTAAAATATCCTCAAGTCAGGTGTAAGCTATGTTACTGAATAGTGACTAACTCTTTGTCTCCTGTGTTCTGAATAAAACTATCTTCTTGGTATTTTCATGCTATCAGTATGGACTGTTTGTGCAGTTAAGCTACCATGGTATCCTGTATATCTTTATAGGATTCTCCTTCTCTGTCAGTCTCACCCTGAAGGAATTGATGATGCAACAATTCAAGCTGACATGCCTCAGTTTGAGGTGAAACAGAGAGTTACAGCCATCAACAGGCTGCTGTCCACTGTAAGTACATTTTCAGGCCTGCTGTAGTGTCTTGCTATTTTAAATAGAGGCAACTAGATCACTCTATCAGGTACTAAATAAACTCAATAACATAACATTCAGACCAGGATCGGACAAGTTGTACTGCAGCAATGTTCAAGAATAATAAGCTTGTCCTGAGTCTGATGTCTTCATAGTCTTAATAGTGGATCAAGCAAGTGATAGCCCTCCACAGTGAGACAATACATGGAAACAAACATAACACCTGCGATTGCAAAATGTCTAAATAATGTTTCTATGAAGATAGAAATGTGTTAGTCAGTGAATATAGCACAATATTGAGAAACATGGGGTTGATTCCATGAACACTTATACTTGTCATCGTCAACGCAAGCATGGTGAGATGACACACAATCCATCAGATCACACAACGTGGCCATCCAGTTCTTACGGCAAGCACTGGGGTACTTGGGATCTGTTCTTCCCCTGAATTCCCATATCAGAGGTACAGATAAGCTGCGTATCTGCGTAAATATTTATGTGAAAACTCAATTCCTATGAAGTCTATTGTGTACAAGTACGCTTCAATTTTTGTAAATACTCAATAGATTTTATATTACATACATACAAAACAGAAAAAAATAAAATAACTGAGGTATACTGAAAGTTTCTATTCAGCACCTGGACTTGGCAACTTGCAGTCTTTCTTATCGTTTCTCATATAACAGATCAAATATAAATAACAAACACGTAAATCAACATTTAAACTTTAATATATTTTTACAATTAATGGAAAATGACAAAATATCCAATTGCGTTTGAGTGAGGGGGGTACAATTTATTTGGTTACTCAAAGGAAAATTAGGATACCCATTAAGATGAACACAAGCGAGTACATAACTCAATGACCAAAAAATTATCTGTAGCTCTGCATATGGGTATTTATGAAAATGAAGATATTGCTTAATGTTTATTGTTCAAAGACAATATTCTATATCGTCAACATTCTCCCATGGTTTTTTGCAATAAAATATGTTTGTCTCTTATGCAGGGGCGCATTGACTTGTTGAAGAGTGGATCAAAGTTGGTGTACAGGTTGAAAGATCCAGATGCTGCTAAGTGAGTACATTCTGAAATGTCAGTTTTTTGCCAAATTCAAGACACATAGTCACCATGTCATGATCATCGTAATGTTGGTAACAACAACCTCTATGGAATATATATAATTAGGGTTGCAAAACTTTCACTCATATATATTTTCAATTAATCATTTATTCAGAAGTATGGCCATATGGCCCAGAGTACAGTTATTTGAGAGTACATGTATATATATATATATATATATGCGTTCACATGATAGTTGTTAAATCGAAAAACATATATTTTGAGTTTTAATTGATAACTGAAAACTAATCCTGAAATATGATTTATGAATTTTAAAATAACAGGATAAAATGCCCTGATGATACAGGTTTTAACTGAAATGGATTCATGGAAATAGGTCAAAACCAGAATCTGTGGGAGTTGAGGTATCACTGTGTAATCAGCACCAGAACCTGGCCTATATGAATAAATCCTGAGAGCAGAGATGTGAAATAACAGAATATAATTTCCATGTTATCATGAGTATCAATTTACACATGTGATATACAATGACATGCATCCTCCAAGCTAGAAAGCCTGACTATCTGATCCTGTTAACTGTTTCTTGTGGTAATGGGTTGATGGAGACCAGTTCTAGCCTGGATGTCCACAGGGCGGTGAATGACGGTGTGTTCTTGTGGTAATGGGTTGATGGAGACCAGTTCTAGCCTGGATGTTCACAGGGCGGTGAATGACGCTGTGTTCTGTGTGTTGCAGTCAGGTGAAGGGTGCAGATCACCAGGAGAAGCTGGTATACCAAATCATCAAGGAGGCTGGAAACAAAGGTGACTTCTCATTTCACATTGCAAGGATAGAAATGTTGAGTTTTCATGTGTGTCATAAAGCAGTGAAAAGGTTGTGTGCCAACAATGAGCACAATTTTGATTTAGCTTTGAACTCAGAATTCATTTTACCAAAAGTTAGATAATAAGTAGTTTGTAGTTTAGAAAGTCTACCTCACTGGTTTTTATTGTGATTGGTAATACACTTTTTGTTCACAGTTTGTGAATCGTTCTGTAATTAGCATGTTGTTGTAAAGAATTGTCTTTGGGTTTGTCAAATGTACTTGTATGAAAGTACATTAATCACTGGCTCCATTTAAAAAAAAAGAATAGTTGTTAAAAAAGTTAAAGTTTCAACTGTTGAAGGTATTGGGATCTACCGGTAATTTTAACTGTGTCATGAGTTAGAGTGAGTTGGAATTAGCACCACTTGTAGCCTTATTCCAGTTATATCAAGGCAAGACAGTGTAATGTGGCAGTGATGCAGGCCTCAGACATTTACAACTTGGTGGAACTCTATAGCACTGCTGTACAAACATAACTGAGAAAAACCATGATGCAGACTCCCAGTGTTTCTGGAGTATTCAAGGGACACAACTCTACATAGCGAATGGCAGTGCATTGTACAACTAGCCACCCATGTCCTTGTCATGTTTTGAACCATATCTTCACAATGATCATTGACACCCTGGAACAAAGAATTTTTACCCTTCATTTTTATATGGTTGAGACTGTGTTAGCTTATTGCCATGATCATACATGGCCATAATTGATTGGCAAAGAATAAATCATACTTATTGTCCAATATTTACAGTGTTCATTTTAGTGTTATATGCATCTGCAATGATTTAACTTCATTTAGTATTTACAGGCAAGAATATTTACTGCTTTTTAATCATACCATTATTTATAGAAGAACATGAAAATGGACTCTCTGAAGAAAACACAAATATTCCTGCCACATGTACTGTGTGTACACAGAGTATGTCTGCACATGGGATCCATATCATTTTAGACAAGTTTTCAGAGTTTTGTTTGTTATATTTTTCTTAAAATAAAACCATTTTACCATTTTACTCATACCATTAAAATGTGTGTCATCATCTGTATGTCCTATATTTTGCAGGAATATGGATCAGGGATATCCGCTACAAGAGCAATCTGTTAATGACCCAGCTCAACAAGATCTTGAAAAACTTAGAAAGCAAGAAGCTGATCAAAGCTGTCAAGTCTGTAGCAGTAAGTACATCTCACCATCATCATTTGTACAACCCTGGAAAGTAATCATTGAAAGTATTTTGACAGTCAAGAGATTTATCAAGACCATAATATCCAGATTGCTGGTGCCCATTGAGTGTCAGATATAGGACAATGTTTTTGAAAGGTTTCATGGGTCAGTGACCATCAGGCAGAAATTAGTAAATGTTGTTGTCTCACGATATGTAAATAATGCAGTGAAGTTGTGTACGGTTGTCAGCTATACTCCTCCTCTATATAATTCTGTCCAGATGAAACAAGACACTGGTTGATGTCATAAGTAGCATCCCTGGCCTTCAGGGTACAATTACATTACAATCAACTTAGTCACTGTGCTTGAGCAACTGGCCCATTTCAGTTAATAAATTTACAATGTTTTTGTTACAATATTCGTGATTTCCCTGTTTCCAGTTTGTTACTTCAACAGTTGAATATATGTCCATTATTCTGTAACACAGGCCTCCAAGAAGAAGGTTTACATGTTGTACAACTTAGAACCGGACCGGACAGTGACAGGCGGGGCATGGTACAGTGACCAGGACTTCGAGGCCGAGTTTGTGGAGGTTCTCAACCAACAGTGTTACAAATATCTGGATCAGAAGGTAGGTGGTCCTTGTGTGTTTGAAAAGTGAAATCATTGTTAGTAAAAGTTCCTATTGCTCTTAGCCATATTTTGTATCATACAGACGGCATGCTTGATGAATACTGCTAAAGATAATACCACTTAAGTGGAGGATAAGGATAATATGTATTGGGAGATAGCTCAGACAAAGCTGCTGTTAGATATATGCTGAATCCCTAGAATGTGATCTTTATAACTCCTAACTCGTGCCCTTATTATGTGAAATATTGTTTGTTGCTTGTTGTCCACCCCCCGGGTCCCCTCCCACTAAACAATCTTAGCACTATGACTATCTTTCCAATGTTATACATTATATCATTTGTAGCATATTCATCTTCACCAACAGTTTTCCTTTCAAGGTTTGAAAGTTTAAGAATGTATTGTCAGTCGGTATTCGATCTGAGGTAGAATTGCAGCGTTCATAACTAAGTAGTTGATCAGGAATACCTGAATCAACATTCCACATTGGAAATAAGATGAGTCACCCTTGACATTCATGCTGAACACAGAATGTGGTAAACACAAGTGCTGGAATATGAATTTTACAAAATGATATATAACTGACTAATAAAAGGGTTTGTTTTATCATTGGTCAGCATCTGATAATCAGTCTACTCCAGTGTGTGTGATTTTTCTTGCAGGCTGCCCAAGCAAGAGAATCTCAGATTGACCCTGTAGCTCAGAAAAATGGTGCCTTTGCTCCCTCTAAAGATGTTTGGAAGTACATATCAGAACTTGGAATAAGCAAAGTAAGATGTACTTATTTTCGTTATGCTAGAGACTATCTATTGCTGTTATACTGAGGGATATGTAACATGCCTGGATTGTATTAGTGAGTCAGTATGTTGCACCCCACATGGGCACAATGTGTGAAGCCCATTTCTGGTGTCCTCCGCCGTGATGTTGCTGGAATATTGCTAAAAGCGGCGTAAAACCAAACTCAGTCAGTCAGTCAGTATGTTGCAAAATTAATGGAAATATTTGCTGCAGTTGAGTCATTTGTTCAAACTAACTCCAGTATCCTCTGGTCATGACAATGTGTACGAATACTTTTCATGTCATGTAACGTGAGAAATGCAGCACACTTCTCGGCAGCCAGAATTCCACATCTAACATATATATTTTTATTGATACTTATCAGAACATTCTAACAAGTCGTGTTCTGTTGTCATAGAAGCATGTAATTTCATCTGTTGTATACTGACATGACAGCATTAAAACGCAATGTCCAGGATGTATCTGTGTGTTTCAGTTTATGTAAAGAGGGCAACAGAATGTTATCAGTATTGTTGTGTAGTTGATGAATACCCACCTGCAACTGCAAGTCTGGAAAATACATGATGGTTTTTGTCCAAAGTTGTACCTAATGTTTAAAATATTAGGGTACGATTATTAAGATTCAGTAGTGACAATTGCCAAAGAGGATGGGGTGGGCTGGTATTGGTATCTTTGATTAGCTTGTGTATTTCAAATATATTGGGAACATGATTTTTTAGATCTAGGCATAACTTGCATTGCAAAGTAACATTTTGATTGGTTGATTGCAAGCTCACATTCTGTAGAGACGCTGTTGGTCCAGGGTATGCCATAGTAGACTGTGGATATGATATCCTGGAAGATGCAGAAAGTAGAACGGGTGCAGCTACCTCCAGTCTTTTTAATGACTGGTGGAAACCATCTTTCACTTGTCCTCATGTTAGAAGCAAGTCCTGCTTGATTGAGACAAGAATCAATACAATAATTATATTGTTCTTATATTTTTGTTCCATTTATTCCAGTATTGTAAATTTGAAGCATCAAGAACTGGTTCAGAATTATAGCCCAAACATTCTGTCAGTGAGACCCACCATTATCAGTTCTTGTACCTGTCCTTAGTTTCAGACTAAAAGGCAAGCATGAATTTTGAAGGCTGTACATTTGCTCGCTGATTTTCTGCTCCCAGGTCCAACTATCTGTGGAGGACATCGAGACAATTCTTGACACTTTGATTTATGACGGCAAGGTGGAACGAACTCTTGTAGCTGCTCAAGGGACAACAGGGGACAGCGGTCAATTGAGGCTGTACCGGGCTGTTAAACCAATCATCCAACCTACAGGGCTAGTGAGGATACCCTGTGGAACATGTCCAGTGAGTTGCTCATGGCCATCCTTTTATATGGCTATTAAATGAGAATGTACACGATGTATACATTGGATTAGCTTGACTAGCGAATTCTTTAACCACTAGGCTAACCCACAGCCCCTTACTGCTTCAGTGAAATCCACAAGCACATATTGAATTTCCAAAATACAACTACGCAGACTGAAGAAAGCAGGAAGTGTTCTTTAAGGGGTTTTATAGGTGTTTGTGATTTAAGTAGAAAAACATGAGGGACATTTAAGAATTTTAACTTTTCCATTTATTTGTGTTCCAGGTGTTTGATCAGTGCCATGATGGAGGAATTGTTTCACCTCAAACATGTGTCTATATGAAGGAGTGGTTGGACATATGACAGGCTGTGTATTTGTACATTTGTAAATAAAGAGTAACATTTAGTAATACATATTGTGATGCTGTGTTTCATTTTAAAAAATACCACAAGAAGCTTATGTCAGAAAACAACCTCTGATATATTGGAGCAAACAATGACAGACGTGATGTTGTATTTGGGAAAGGAACTTAAAGCACGACAAATGATCTCTTCTGATACCATCAGGTTCATGAACCTGAAACGTGACTGATCCAAGCAATAAGGCCCCTACAATTAGCAATGTCAAATTTGACATTACACACAGCTAACATGGCAAGCATGAATAAGGGACACAATTCTATATGAAGTTTTGGTGAAGATGCTGACAAATTTGTCAAGCAGAAAAACATTGCATGCATTGAAAGAAAGCTCTATATCCCAGGAATGATCATGCTTTTTGTCCTCTCTTGAGTCAGCTGCGTGGATTTTTTGCTGCTTATTGATAAAATTGTTCAGAATGTTATGGGTATCTACACCGCAATATTGCATTCATTGTAACATAGAAACTGTACATCCATGGAATTATCTCCCATGTTATCATCCCAACATTCCAGATGCCATTTAATGAAGTTAATGTCAGGCATAATAGAATTGTTATGCTCACAACCCATCATGCACTGTACCAGTTTCGGACCATATTGGTTAACTACATGATTTCAGACAAAGGGTTTTGAATGGCCATGTTAATTGCAATTTGCTCATGCTATAATGAGTGGGTTGATGTCAAGTAGGCATTGTAAATACTCAGGTGATGGCTTGTGTTTAAAATAATGGGTTTTTTTATAGCCAGAATGAGAAGTTTTACAGTTGCCACTCCGATGTTTAAAAACATAGAAAACACAAGATACGTGGATGTGCTTCCTATACTGGTATTTCATTGTTATGCAAATGTACTGAATCCCACAACTCACAACAATAAGCATAAGACATGCTTGCAGACTTCATCCTGATTCGGGGTTTCAAAAAGCCAAACAGATAACAAAATACCCTATCATACATAAAATCGTTTAATAAAATACTATGCCATACAGTATAAATATCTAAAAGAAATGCAGTTATAAAACTTGATTGTTAATCAAAACTGTCACTTCCAGTGAATAAAATGGACAAACTCTAAGGCTATGAAATTAATATATACACATAAGGCACTTCTATATTATGTGCTCAGATGGACAATGCTAGTCTCTACAAAAAAAATATATTTACAAATAAGGCACTTCTACAGTAGGAAGCATTGAAGTTTAATTATGCATAACACAATTAAATAACTTGACACTTAAATAAGACAACACTTGGAAGAGACTGACATCACAGAGGAAGCACATTGTATGTCTTGCACAGCATATTAGATTGAAAAACACATAACAAAGCATAATTAACAATGGGTGAGACGATAACACTACAAGATTATCTTTTATTGCATAATAAATTCTTTTCAAAAGCTTCAAGAAAATGACATTATACTTTCTTTGTATCCATGGAAACAGTGGACACTGATCTTTGTTTACAGGTTGTACTGCATGTTGCAGTCAGGTTAGATTGATTTCTATAGCTTAGATTGCAGTGGTAGTTGATCTAGGCCTCGATCCACAAAGCGTTAGCAACGTTACGACCTGTCGTAACTCTATAGTTTATCATAGGCTTACTAATGTCGTAGCGCTTACGAACGCTTTGTGGATCGGGACCCATTTCTTAAAAAGGACATCAGGCACTGTGCACTTTCATTCATTATCACTGCTCTGACTGCAAGGTTTGAGTGTTTGATGCTGAAAAATACCAGAAAATACGAAAGAGGCAGTTTGTATTATGGTAACAAACTTTTAGCATTGGTTTTGAAGAACATATTGATTGTTAACTTTACTCAACAACACTGGTCCACTGGTCACAGGGATAGAGAAAGTTTTCTCAAGAATCACAGTGGGAAATATTTGAAGCACTTACAACAGACAAATACATGAATTAGCATAGGCTGTAGAAGAGAAATATTTTCTGGTGCCAAACACATTCTCAGCACCCATCTATGTCACAGCTGAATTAACACGGTTGTGAAAGGTGGACATTGTCGTTTTGGCAACTAAATCAGCTAGCTGTCTCAGTAAACACATATGGACTAGAGACGCCTTATGGCACAAATAAGGGTTAAAACACTTTTTGCTTTATATCTTGTGGGTACTTTTGGGGGGTTGAAATCCCCAAATCAAATTTGATATGAACCCCTGGTATTATTAGTTTCACTCGCATCAGCATGATACACATTCACGTCACACAGTTACAGAATGTCACAACATTACAATAGCTGAAGATGTCTTAAGTACTCCAGGCCTTGAATGGTGGAAGAATATTTGAACTGTCACAAAGTCTGTAAACAAAGACTTCGTACATTGTAATACTGCTTTCAATTTTTTCAAGGCATGTCACAGCTAAAGAAAAAAGGAAAAGGGTTTCACAAATTGTACCAAGATGGGGTACACCCAACTGCCCTATGAAATAAAATTTCAAAACAAAAAAATGTCATACTATTTCAATGCCTGGAGCCACATTAACTGCCCTGAACTATCAAGCATGTATGTGAACATGAGTTCATTTGTCTGTCTGAGTTGGACTACAATGTATCATTACATTAATTAAAACAGACTTCCCCAGGTAGACAAAATCCATGTAATGCCCAAGTTCTGTTCACCTTGTTCACTGAACACAAGAGTCTTCAAATTACTTTGTTTCCATTCAATTACAAATACAGACATTTAATGCAATTTGAAATAAATAATAGACGATACAAAAAAGCATATTATTGTCCTATAGTAAATCCACACTTCAAGTTACATTCTGCTGAAATTTACAACCTGAAACTTGAATCTGTTGTTAGAAACAGCTGGGGAAACTTTCACTAACCAGTCAATTCTAGTTGGATAAATCAACTATCTATACAAAACATGTATCTAACACATTGTCAGCTAGTTGCCGATGGAAGACCAGCCATCCTATGTTGGAAGCATGTGGGTGAGCTGTAGGGAGACCAGGATGATGGCAGCAACAGTGGCACTTGAGCAGAGTGGAGCAGAGGAAGACTGGCCACTGTTTTCTGTAGTAGTGCTGGCCCTGTCAATAAAATACCAGCCTTAACAACGTGACCACAAGTGAAATAAGCATCTGGATGGAAAGAGTATGTGACATCTCCATATCATCACTGTCAGCATCAACAGTTATCGTGGTAATCATCAAGAACGTGTGTACTCAAATATTTACATCTTATCATGGGACCGGCAGTGGTGTCAAACTGTATCTGAGAGAGCAGGATCTCATCCTTGTGTAATAACAGGACATAAAGCATGTATTATTCCATTTGGGTATGAAGCAAGCAGCTTCAAACTGACTCTCATTTTAGTAGGATCTTACAACACATTCGTGTTATCCGGGTACTATTCTGATCCGGGAATCCTCAAAGTGTGTTGAGAGAGTGATGGTTGCGATATGATGTCATGGGAGTGAGACATAGAGAGTGACATCACATTTTACTTGCTAGTCTGATGGAGCATTGACAGTGATGTCACACTTTACCTGGGAGAGTGAGTGAGTTTAGTTTTACGCCACACTCAGCAATATTCCAGCTATATGGCACGGTCTGTAAATAATCTAGTCTGGGCCAGACAATCCGGTGATCTACACAATTGGGATATGATGACAAGTGTCAACCATGTCAGCAAGTCTGACCACCCGATCCTGTTAGTCGCCTCCTACGACATTGACAAGCATGGGTTACTGAAGATCAATTCTAACCCAAATCTTCATGGGTCTTACCTTGGAGAATATTAATGCTAAGAGAGTGGAGTCACATTTGACCTATGTGTGTTATAGGGCAAACAACAATGTCACCCTTTACCTGGGAGTATGATAGGGCACAGTGTGAGCAATCTGTGTTGTGGTCGTTGCTTGTGTGCTGGTGAGAGGTCGAGGTACAGTGGAACAGATGCGTGCTGCATGACTTGGGCATTTCACAGCGCCAACATAACCAGGAATCTGTGAACAGTACCATTAATCCCATGTAATAAGAGACACACACCACTCGGTGGAGTGTGAGTAGAGTTAGTTATAGTTGATGAAATCTTTTACTGCACATAAATGTTTCTATTAAATGATAAAACTATAATGCTGATGTGAGATATAGCTAGTTAAACTTGCCTATTTTTACCAACAAGACGCAGATAAAGGTTCAGATAAAATGCAGACATTCAGGAACCATGGTGCAGAACTATGATTAAGGCTGTCTTAAAGTAGTTTTGCTTCAAAAACCAGACAAACTACTGATGATATCGATATGAAACAATTATGAACGTAGTATAAGGTCAACAGTGCTTTTTGTTGGATATGAAGTCTCTGATTGTATACCATAAAACACCTACCTGCAGCAGTGTCCCAGGAGGACAACGCATCCAGCTAGAGTTATCTACCCTGACCATCAGATTCCGGTCATAACAGTGGGCATGGAAACATCTAGGTGTGAGGACTGATGGGGCTCCCTCGGACTAAACAAACAAACAATGTATTATACATTTCAACTACACATTGCAATCAATTGGAATTGATTTATCTGTCTCGTGCAATACATATTTTACTAAAATAGGTTTTTGCAGATCGTTTTGAGGTAGGGGAAAACTCTGACCTTCGAGATATTTGAGAGAAAACATCTGCTGTCCTTAGAGAACACTTCCAGCGTGACGTTGGACGGGTCTGTTGAGGGCACCTTCCAACATTCATCCTGTTGACAAACAAACTCCAGGACTCAAAACAATACAACTGTAAAGTTGGTATATAATATCATGATTAACTCAGATTATACAGGTATTCTTCTCCTGAACACTCATTTAGGTGCATACAACTACCCACAAATTTGGTTGCATGACAATCTAGTTTGTTTATATAGAAAAATACAGTGGCTTAAGAAAATTCATAGCTTCCATGTTCACAAGAAAATATGTTACAAAACCATAGGTGACTTAACATTGTGAACGAATGATAAATTGTGGCGATTTGTGTTCAAAATTGATCTTCAGCAACCCCTTTATATCATAAGAGGCAACTAACAGGATTGGCCGGCTGGCTCACTTGGCTGATGCATTTTCTCTTATCCTTATATAGATCGCTGCTCATGATATCCATCACTGGATTGTCTGACCAAGATTGGATTATTTAAACACAGGTGGAATATTGCTGAGTGTGGCATTAAACAAACATTAACAAACAAGTGTTTGCCACTAATATGGCAATGTCCCTCGCTGCAAAAGAAGAGTGACTTAGAGAGTTGGGTTTTATGCCACTTTAAGCAATATTCCTGCAATATCACAGCAGGGGGACACCAGAAATGGGCTTCACACATTGTACCCATGTGGGGAATCGAACCCGGGTCTTCGACGTAATGAGCAAATGCTTTAACCACTTGGCTACCCCACCGACCCCGCTAAAGAAGAATGAAATATACAAGATGTCTGAAATGACTGGTGTCTGCATAATCACCCAATGTAGGCTGTCGACATAACTGAAGACATTAGGTGAGATATCTGGTTTACATAAGTTTGAAAAAAAGGCCAAAGTTTCGTGGTGACCTCGGAGATAACGTCAAGGTCACCCAAATCAACTGGTGTCTGTGTAATCCCCCAATGTAGGCTGCCACCAAATTAGAAGACATTGGGTATGACAGTTCATGAGATATCACGTTAACAAGAAACGGGATGTACGTATGGACGGACAGACGCTGCTGAATACACAGTCCCCCATTCTGTGTTGCGGCGGGGGACAATAAACAGATAAACAATATATTAGTTCTAACTATATCATAACATGCTCACAAGAATGAACAAGAAATGGTGTATCCACGAAGGGAATCAACCCCCAGGTCTTTGGTCTGACAAGCAACTGTGTCCACTACTAGGCAACCAGACTACTATTTAACCTGAAGACAGTAACTATAGGAGAGAGTTACGCACCCCTGGCTCGGACTCGAACACTCGGCAAGGGGTGAGATGGGAGTTGGTGCTACACTTCGCTTTGTCCCAGTGCAGGAAGTGACATCCAGTTGCCCTGTAGAGAAGCAAAGGAGACATTATGATGCATACATGCTGATGAAGAATATGTGACTTATCTTCATCAGATACAGGCCTTCTAAAGAAAATCTTTTTAATGCAATGAAAATCTGATTAGTTTCTACTGGCAAACAAGGATCAGTTGGACCGGCACAGAGAATACGTTTATGAGAAGTAGGTGGAAAAAGAATGAGTGATTTCTAGCATTTGCACATTGTTTGACTATTACCAGCTAAGCAAACTAGAAAAACAATTGTTCAACAGACTCTGGTTTCAGACTTGTGGCTTTAGTTAAGACTGCTATATGATTCATGTATTGTTCACTCACTGTTGCTGACAGAAGTATTCCACTTCAAATTTACAATGAGAAGGGAGTCCAAAACTACATCCAGCTCCTGAAACAAAACATCATACACTCGTACTTCCCAAGGTAATGTTGAATTCTGCTGAAATGTCTCCACCCCAGTTTAAACATGTTATCAATAGCAATAAAGACCCATCACAGCACTCATGGTTTACATTAAACAGCATAGTGTGGTATCCAAACTTAGCCTGTTCCTTTGACAGCCTTTGCTCCTTAAAACTACTCTGAGTATATACAAATAGTCATGTGTGACTATGATAGTGAGTTAGTATTATAAGCAACATTTACAGCAAGGGACACCAGAAATGGGCATCACACAATGTGCTCATGTGCTGAATCGAACCTGGGGTCTTTGGTGTGACGAGGCGAATGGTTAAACCACTAGGTTACCCCACCACCCCTTGTGTGACTATCATAAAGGTTCAAGTCCGGGTGCTGGACAGTTGAGCGTGGGATAAGATATCCCTTTATGTGTATGTTCTCAACATAGAAATCAACTATTCAGTCGTATCTGAATCTTGTGAGAAGGTACTAGAGATACAACAACTGAGATCAATCATACAAAGTTTCAGCTATGGCCTAGTAGTTCCAGGAGATGTCAACAATGTAAAAGTTAATGAAAGGCTGGACAACACACCATGAGCTCTCTTGACCATCAGTCTGGTGAGCTAAAAATATTTGATGAAGCTTGAGGAAATACAGGCCTGACTACCAGTGTGACACTGATTAAAGGTTCACGAACACTCAGAACAGACAAAAACTTGGATGTATGTCTAAAGAAAGTTGCTAGGCAAGATGGAAACACAACATTCATGCAAACAACAAATTTGCTGAACTAGATTTTTCTGAGATTGCACATCAAGACATCATAGAATCAAGAAGCAAAACAGTGTGTATGATTGTCAGCAAAAAAACTGGGGTTCAGACAGGCTTCATCATAGTGGACATTTCACTATTAAATGAAACACTATTTAAATTTGCATAAACAATCTATCATAACATACAGGTTTGGAAAAGTTACACTAGTTCCAATGATTTCAAAACTGAAAAATAATAAAATCCTGTTGATGCTTTTTGTGGACAATGTGGTTAATATCTCAAAGATGAATAGCAAATTTTGTTTATCTGTAGAATATGTGCACTTGAGAAAATATACACATCATGCTATTATATTGATCCAAATCAACAAAACATTGCTAGTTTATGTACCACAGAGAAGGAAAATATATTGCTACATTTAGATCTGCATATTGCTACTTTTCAAATTTGGAACAAATAGCCCTCACTGAAATTTGACATGTGAGGCACACACATTATACTACATGTATAGTCCTCATGGCCTCTCATACGATTAAAACCGGTCTTAAAATACAATTGAAATTTGAGAAAATAAAAAACAAAACATGAAAAAAATTGGTAAAGAATGGTGGGAAGATAAGCAGCAAGAAATTGTTCCTTTTAACACATTAAACTTCATTGTAAGGAAACAGGGGCAATTGGTAAACAACATGGTTATCTTAATCATATGAATGAATTAGACCTAACACCATTGCAGATACGTCATAGCACGCCCACTAATCAAAATCATAGCAAATCCAGCATTCAAAGCCAGGATCCTGGCATGGTAAGGGGAGACAACAACTTTACACAAATTGGTCTGTTTAAGAGCACAATTTTCCAGTACTTGTCTGAAGGAAAGGGTTGGGGTGGACAAAACCCAAACAGAAAGATAACCAGTGAGCATATAAGAAGTGCGGAAGCTGTTACTTACCTCGCAAGGAGCCACAACATTGAAGAGGTCAACACGCAACATGCAGCACATGATGACCACCAGTTACAGTAGGGCTAGTTTTACTATGCACTATGTGCTCATGCACTTTACGACATTTAGTCCCACCTCGCCCCCACAGATACACATCAGCCTGACTGTAATCCACCTTATACCACCCCGAGTCCTCAAACAGGGCTAGGGTGATCGAGTCAATGAACGTCAGGTGAGGCTGGAACAGACAAACAAATGACAACTCAGCTGAAGTACACCTGTATATATTCTTGTTCACAGGGTTTCTTAGGGCATCCATAATTTATGGCTAGGGGGTAGGGGTGGGGTTTGGTGGTGATGATTGTAAAGGGGTTACCCATTTTGTTCTGGGGAGGAAGTGTCATCAATTTTGTACACATCTTTGTAGGAGGGGTTAGCACGTTTGCACATAAAAATATCTAAAAATTATGCTTTAAAATTATGGAAAGGGAGAGGGGGGTAATTTACTTTGTACATGACATGCAGGGGTGGTCACTTACTTTGTACATAAATTTTAAGGAGGGGGGTCCATTCACATTGTACATGCTACTCCATACAAATCATCACACCCCACACCCCCAGCCATAAATTATGAACGGTCCCTTATGTACTAAAGTTATTTACTGATAATGCTGCTCTTCTAAGGATTATCCTTGTTATTTGTGGTTATTTGTTTTTCATTCAAGTTCCCTGCATTTAAGAATATCAGCTAATCAGAAACAACTTAAAGAATGCTGTGGCTGTTTAATAGAAATCTAGGACAAATCCATTTAAATACATGTAAATTATTTACATGTCCTGATTATGCTGATGGAGAGATTTATCAATGTCGATGCCTATGTTTTATCAGTTTAATACAAACAGTTGAGAGAACACTGGCCTTACCATGCCTTGTTTGGCAGCCATTATTGATCCCTGCATTGTGCGAGAGTCCCAGTGGGACGTATTCTGAAGAAAACAAGGTATACAAAGCTGAATTCATTCCCTCAATTATTTTTTATGATTATGTGAAAAGAGTTTAAGAGATGAGCAAAGGCAATTTAAGAAGGAAAATCAAAATATTACAGGAATTAGAATTCCATATACCATAGTATATATACTTAGTCTCATGTAACAGTGTACAGGCTGCTTCTAACTTGGTAACTACACTATAGTGTTGGTCACCCATTGGATTTAGCTGCACTTGAAGCTTTCCGGCTTCAATCATACAGGAAAAATAGTCCACAGAATGAGGCCGGCCTAAATCCCCATGTAAAGATGAAGTTGGAAAGGCTGTCTGCTAGCCAGGCAGAACCAGTCTAGCACATGATGATTTTGAGCAAGAGGAAGATCAAAGAATATCAACCTGACCCATGGGTGAACTACTTCTGGGGAGTGTTTGGGTGACCTGTTTTCACTCAGTCGTAGTATCAAAGATAGGAAGCAAACTACCCTCTGTCATAGTAATAACATATCGGGTATATAAATTCAAAACGGTTCATTGTGAAACCTTTCATAATAACACACAATCACCATCAACACCATGATGGAACAGTAACTTAAATCTTTTTTATCTTCTTTGACAATCATGTACAATTGCAAATTCTGAAACAGAACACAGAGACTCTTTCATTCTTGTCATAATGACCACAAACACTGACAAGCATGACAGAAAGAAAGGGGCCCTTACTCTGATATCCATCGGCCCTCCGTAATCAAACTTATCCAGACAATGGAAATGTTCTTCAGCTATTCTTTTGACCTGTGGTGTCACCAGCCGCATAACGTTATCTTCAAGACGGAGAACTGGCGAGGGATGGACGGTACAGTTCAGGCCTGCAGCAAACAGTGGTCAGTGAGTCAGTGAATGTTTCAGCAGCATTCTGTCTATATTACAATGTCCTGTTAGTGAGTGAGTGAGTTTAGTTTACACCGCTTTTAGCAATATTCCAGCAATATCACGGCGGGGGACACCAGAAATAGGCTTCACACATTGTACCCATGAGGGGAATCGAACCCGGGTCTTTGGAATAATAAGCGAACGCTTTAACCACTAGGCTACCCCACCGCCCGTCCTGTTAGTAGTCATATCTGGGGTAGCAACCCAATTGCTGATAACTTAATAAACATTCCATCATAACCCACCGGATTGAAGAAGTCAAGTCAGTATTTCCTGTGGGTGAAAAGTAAACATGATCGATCTTTTATCATTGATTGATTGTTGTTAAACGCCGCAATCAGCAATATTCATGCTATATGTCGACGGTCTGTAAATGATCAAGTCTGGACCAGATAATCCAGTGATCGACAACTTGAGCATCGTTCTACGAAATTGGGATATGATGACGTGTCAACCAAGCCAGCGAGCCTGACCACCTGTAGTTGCCTCTTACGACAAGCATTGGTTACTGAAGACCTGAATCCTCACAGGTCAGTTTACTTATCAAACTGGAGCTATGAGGTATGGCACCTCACTCACCAAATATTTCCCAATATTTTTAGTGCCTAATAGAATGCTGTAATAGCTGAATCAAGGTGAACATCAACATGACTGCAAAACATATCTAAGATCCCACCACAAACTACAGCCACAACAAATTTCAATGCATTTTGTAAAATGATTAATAGCCATTAACTAAACACTTGTTAAACAATGCATCAAAATTCTCTGAGCAGTATTTTATACAAGTAGCCAAAAGTGTTTAAGCAAAATCTGAATTTTGTGACCAAGCTCTCAAGATACAGTAGCTGGGATCATTCCATTACACAAGTCTTGAGGGGAACTGCCGCAAATACAAAACAGTCAACAACAGAAGAACAACATATGCCATAAGCTCACTTGACTCTTGGTTGTGACTATTATGTGAACTCAAGATTCAATCCCCTTATGATAATGTAGATAGATTTCCTTATACGAACCATTTTCATTACATTTCTTGTACTTATTGAAGAGCCGCTTGGAAAACCCCAGGGCATGGAATATTTCATGGAGAGCACTCTGAAACATGAAATGTCAATTTTATAAAATCAACATTCAGAATCAGTTGTAACATGACTGACTGAAGATGGACGATCATCTAAATTACTCATGCTGAAAATAAATTGATTGCTTGGATGAACTAATCAATCCTTAAATATTTCAATCAGAACACCATTAGCAACAATTATTTCTGTAAATTTTTCAAGGTGAGGTTTGTTTGTAATGAAACTTTCATGCTTATCAATTAAAGTTTATCAACTTCCAACATTTCCCCTGCACTTGAAGAAAAAATACACTTCAGAACAATTTTTTTCATCAAATAGGGTTGAACTGAACATGTCCTTGAATGAACCTGAACATTTTGTAAGGTTTCACTACCTGTGTGAGCAAATAAGGAGCAAAACAAATCAGTATCTGGAGATAGATGACATGATGCTGTTACCATTCCCTAAAAAACTGAGTGAGTGAATATGGTTTTAAGCCGCTTTTAGCAATATTCCAGCAATATCACGGCAGGAGACACCAGAAATGGGCTTCACAAATTGTACCCATGTGAGGAAACGAACCCAGGTCTTCGGCGTGACGAGCGAACACTTTAACCACTGGGCTACCCCACCGCCCCCTAAAAAAATTAACTCTACTGTAGTAATACTGTACCCAGTATAGTCTTTCTTTGTTGAAGCCTGGCTTCCTGAATGCTGATGGACAGAAGTTGACATGTCCAGCCACTGGACGGTCAGTCTGGTCAACTCGGCAAAATGATGCATAGGCTAACACAGTGTCTCCCTGTGGAAAGATTAGTGGAGGTTATACACTAAACAAACATGAAACCATGAACAGCTAAGGGACTGTTCATAAGTTATGGCTAGAGGGTTGGGGGTGGTGATGCTGCTTTTTATGGAGAAGCATGTACAATGTGAATGACCCCCCTAAAATTTATGTACGAAGTAAGTGACCCCTTGCATGTCATGTACAAAATCAATGACATTAATTTTAAGGATAATGTTTTAGTATTTTTATTTACAAAATTGCTGTCACCCCCCTCCCCCCACCAGTCCATGTGTACCAAATTGATGACCCCCTATCTCCCCAGAACACAATGTGTGACCCCTCATAAAATCACCATCACCCCCTAGCCATAGATCATCACATATAACTTCAATATGCACAGTAGGTCTGCAATGAATCCACTATGAGGCACATATATGATACATATCATGAATACTGGGTAACAAATACACTAACTAGTCAGCAGCTGCTGTATTCTTCATTATATTCAGTAGTGTTGGTCCGATTAATTGAAATAATCAAAGATTGGTCGCAGTGACTAAACGACTAAGCAATCGATCATGTTTTCTCATAATCGAACACAAACAATTCTGGAACACTTGTTTTCATTAACAATATTTTTCACAAGGTTGGTTTTGTCTGTTAATTTTCATAAGCACTACAAACTCGTTTCAACTCATGATTGAATTTATCTTAAAGACTCCAAGAAATTTATGTTCCTAACATACTAGTCATGCTTTAAAGATGTGAAATTTTGCCAAAAAAACCCCAAAGAACTAAATGTTTTTTCCTTATTTTTATGTGCATTAACAAATTTCATTAATGATGCTAACCAATATTTTTCGATGATTGATCGGTTGTAATGAACCAATCATCAATTATGAGATTTTAACCAATTCCCAACACTATTACCAGTGAAACAATAACAAAATAACTACTTGTCATGTTTCTTGTTGACAGTGTTAATTTATAAGCAATGATCAATGACCAGATTTTTGCCAAATTAAATAGAAAACAGTGTTGGCTATTATCTTGCCTGACTTGGATGTAATCCATTTTGTGCACACAAATTAAAGTAAAAATACTCTGAAGCAACAAAAAAACAAACCAACAACTAGTTATGCATACAACAAAAATGGATCATGTAATGGCTGGATAACAATTATGATCCCAAAAAATATATTTTGAAGTGAAATGAACAATCCATGTGCAGTACAGTCTGAGCTTTTAATCAACTTCAATAACTTCATTTCAGATTCAATATCCGAATGTACCTTTGAGTCTCTTTACACGTTATAACAAGCAAGAACAACTTGTACGTTAGTATTGAATTGTAAGGTTACTTTTACGAGTACAAATATGTGAACATTAGTGAGGTGAGGTAAGGTAAAATTTCGTAGCTGTGTAATGCCGAAGCCAAGACACTACAGTCCGAGTAGCTGAGACATTCATCTCTCGGACGGTCTTGTAGAGATTTAGCTCGCGTTGTTATCCTGTGACCCTCGATTATCGCGATAGTTAATGTTGTCGCTATCGGGATTAAGAATGCCTAATGACATTGGCATTTTATATATGTTTTCAGTTGACCGATGTTTAATCTTCATTTCTGTCACAAAAATGTGGCAGATAGTCTCAAATTGTTCAACATGATCACAATACCATTCTCACTATGTAATAGGTACAAACAATTGTCAAACATTTATTTAGGACAAGTAACAAATTTAAATATTATTTTTTTATGAATTTTGGAATTGAGATTAGTAATATCATCATGTTTTCAATGAAAACATCTGAGACTTCTCTGCATTTGAATACACGAAAGCAATAAAAAAATTCCGCTTTTTAAAAACGTGCCGTGTGGTGAAGTTACACAATACGTGACTTCCTGAAATGTTCCAGAACTTACTGCAAAGATGAATACCTTAATACCATTAGACATGGCATACCAATGAAATAAATCAATTTTTCAAATGCGATGAATTGTTTTTACGTAATTTGCATATGTAAACAGCCGACCCTTGGCATGGTGTTTCTGCTTTCCCGATGTTTTCATATGCCGCATAAATAGAAAAAGAGAGAGTCCCAGTATACATCAACATAGGATGATTTAGTATATTTTGTCAGACCAAAAAATCGATCAAGTGATCAAATTAATGTTAGACAGAAATCAATAAACAACTTTACAACTTCATGGAATTCAAACTTCATCCATGGTAATCTCCAAATGACGAAAGCGTGAAATCCGAGATCGAGAAACCTGTTTATTCACGACTGTCAAGAAATCAATCACCCTGCGCTGTGTTAGCACCCAATCGAGTTGATTCCAGGGTGATTGAATTCATTAGGGTCAATCGCTTCACTTAGTAGTGCGGAGCGCACCCACCTCGCGTACAAGATACGAAAGGCTGTCTCGCGTACACATTACGTCTCTGTCAATATAGAAACTATCCCTCCCAGTATACTTGTTCAGATTACTGGCAGAAAGGTGAAATACACTGACATTTCTCATGTACACTGACACAATCATGACGGACAGACTTTCACTAACTCCTTAAACATCAAACTATGTCAGTAAGATACTCACTGAGCCAGAACAGACACTAGTGATCTCTGCAGTGACATACAGAACATAGTCTGCATTCTCTACACCGGCGCCATCAGGTTCGTGGTGAGATGGCGCCGACTGACTCCTTCCACTGTACACGGAGTATCCCTTCAAATGGGATTTAGGTATCTGCAATAGTTCCATCATTTCATTATCACCATCATCAACACAATGAGAATTTCTTTTAATGTCACAAACCATTCATTATTTGATCAATAAGTCAACATTAATATCAGTAATCTCATCCAAATAAACGAAGATCTTAGGCATCCCATAAAGGGTAACATCAGAACAATCTTTAGTAAACCTTGACTGACCAATGAAGCGACTCAATGAATCAAAGTTGCTTCTAAAACTTTACAGTAGTTTTAAACAGGTGACTCCCCTTTAAAAACAAATCATTTAAAATTTGCAAATACAAAAAAAAAAAAAAAACACATCTGGAAATATTAAATGGAAAGACGAGGCTGAAAAATAGGCATTCCCATGAGTTAAAGAAAGTCTCTTCAGTTTCAAATGTTGAATGGGAGACAGCCAATGCTTTTGACGGAGTCAGCCATACAGCCTATAAATTCAAAATATAGCGTCATTTGAAAATACATTCCAACTGTCACTTTCCCAATCTGGTAAACAGTGCTCTGATTGATTGTAATAGGATGTCCTAAGATCTCTAAGAATTGACTCCAGATGGTCACAGTGAGTGAGTGAGTGAGTGAGTGCGTTTAGTTTTACGCCGCACTCAGCAATATTCCAGCTATATGGTGGCGGTCTGTAAATAATTGAGTCTGGACCAGACAATCCAGTGATCAACAGCATGAGCATCGATCTGCGCAATTGAGAACTGATGACATGTGTCAACCAAGTCAGTGAGCCTGACCACCCGATCCTGTTAGTCGCCGCTTACGACAAGCATGGGTTACTGAAGGCCAATATTCTAACCCGGTCCTTCTTGGGTCCCAGATGGTCACAGTACTATCAACTATTTTCTGCAATGATCTATATTTTTGCACAATTCTTCAAATAAATGTTTCAAAATAGGAACAAGAAAACAATCTCAGCAATAAGACGATGTAATGCCCATACTATTACACTGAATTCTGACAACAGTACAACTAAGGTTGCTTTGAGGGATGGTGCCCATGGTGATTGTACTTTACTTCCTTTATCTTGTTCATATCAAGAACAATCTCCATTTCATTTCCAAATAGTATAATTTACAAGTTACATGTTTTATTCAAGGTGCCATAAATCTTATTTCTTGATTTATGGTAGAGCTAAGACTATAATGATAGTTAAAAATGCTGTGTTTAAATTAATTGAAAATACATTCTTGAGTGTTTGTCTTTTTGGTAGTAGAATGTTGGTTTTTATTTTGCCACTAGCTTTGAAAGTGCTTGTGACATATTGACCAAGACAAACCATCATCAGGTACAAAATCAACCAGAAAACAGAAACTACTGTTCTTGTTCTAATAGTGCCAATAAAATCATGGTGTTACCTTTAAATAATCCATGCAATAGTCTTGTTTTATGCCATCAAGTTGGGAACACCTACAAGAATAAAGAAAGACTGGTTATTGACAAAATTGCTTCAATTTAAGTAAAAAATATGTATTCACCATTTTAGCAGTATTTCAGTGCCTGCTGTCTGTAAATGTTATCCTTGAAATAAATTAATCATCAACTGCGCCATTCTCACATGGACATAAGACATGCCAACCTGTAACCTGTATCATTTGCAATGAATGAAAAACAAATCAGCCAACCTGACTGAAATTGACTACTTTCTCCAGAATGGAATCTTGAGGAATCTCAATGAGGTTTAAGGTAATTTGCATGCAGCCTGTTGATAGCATTGTGATGAAATTGTGAACTTTTAGTGCTGTTTAGTATCAGAAACTATCAGAGGTGGTCTAAACAGTGCTGAAGAGCAACAAGACAAATGTATGCCATTGACAAATGGAAACAAATCTTCTGTCAACTTATTTTAACCACTCTTTGATTGTAAGTGTGAGTGTCTTAACGTTGCTTAGTACAATATTCCAGTTATATAAGCTTGTTGAGGCAGGAAATGTGGAAATGATGCAGGTCTACGATGTTTATCACTTTCATGAAACCCATGAGTATGGTGCTGACCAACCACGAAACATAATCTGACCAAATTGGGATGTGAACCATTGATAATTTCTTTCTGCCATGCTCTTGAGAATCATGTTCATGGCATTGATAGTTATCCCAACATCTTATCACTGACTGTTCTGGTATGAACTCTGATAATGCCATACTCAATGTGATAATACATTGCTATCTTAGCTGGCCTGACTAAGTGAAAGAGAGATCTCTTCTGAAACTGACATGAAGAAAATACCTAAGGCACTAATCATGCTAATTATGTCAATTTTGTCCAGTATTAATCCTAATATTCCTTACTTTCCCTTGTTGATTCCTGACAGCCATGTTTTTGTGCATGGTGTCCTTGACAGCAATAGTGGTCCCACCACAGGTTTGACTGTGAACAAGAAAGTACAGTTGATATGAGTGCAAACAAGATGGTAAGGTTAATACTACCAATAATCCACATGATCCTACTGGTCTCATGGGGACTTGGGTAGAATGTCTTCTGATCAACCCTCTATGAGCCATGTGCAGTGACTAAATTGGGAACCATGTTGGGATTCAAGGTTACAGATTCCTTCTAGCAACCATTTTGGTCATAAGAAGCCATTTAACATGTTTTAAATGGATCAGGAGCTCAGGCTCATCAATTCAATCACTAGAATATCGGGTTAAGACATGATTATTTATATTTTGCCGTCAGTTAGTAGGAATATTGCTGAATTTGGAATTAAATGTAATGACAAACATACAGGGATTTCAGCTGATAAACAGACTACTAAAATTGGAGATTGAAAATTCACAAATCATTAGCTATCGCAATTCATGAATTGCATAATTGAAATTCATAGTCAAAGTTTACCAATGCGTTTCCATTTCAATGATTTGGGGTTAAATGTTTTCTGTATTCTGTATATAACCTTCACTGACATGCATATATATTCCAGCAATATCCGCGGCGGGGCAGCTAATCACTAAAGGTAGCTGATTTAGCATTCTTACTTTACTTGCAATTATCAGTTTTATGAGAATATGTATCAACAAATGATCCTGTTAACACATTTGCTTCTTCACAAAAAAAATATTAACAGATTTTCTGGCAATAAAATAGCTTTCTCTGTACCCACATCAAAAATTAACATAAAATGTTTGTGTTGAAATACATGTTAGAGACAAAACTGTATGCTTCTCAAGTTTGAGATTTGATAAAAGGACTGTTAATTAGCACCATGAACACATATATAGCTTGTGACTCTTATATGTGAGGTTTGTTCAGGAATCAGTGGTATTATATGGTAAGCATGGTAGAGTAAAAGACATATAAACAGAAAGACTGACTGACTGACTATGGTTTTACGCCGTTTTTAGCAATATTCCAGCAATATCACGGCGGGGGACATCAGAAATGGGCTTCACATTCACAAATTGTACCCATGTGGGGAATCGAACCCGGGCCTTCGGCGTGACGAGCGAACGCTTTAACCACTAGGCTACCCCACTGCCCACTAAACAGAAAGACTTCTCCATGACCATGATACCGCAAGCTTTTCACACTGATACTTTGAACATTATTTGCTAGATATAATGGGGTTATAGCTAAAACGGCACCACAGCAGAACGGGACCAAATTTGTGTTGTGGCTAAACCACACCATATTAGCTACTGATTTCTGGGCTAAAACGGCACCATATATAAAACAAAGTATGACGTTGACTCGTGTTTTATTTCATTTCATTATAACATTAGCAAGATTATATCAACATAAGAGTCATTCTCAAAATCCGTGCATATTTATGTCAGATGTTTGTATCCGACAAACTTAAGTCAAAATCAAACAAAAAAAATTATGGTAACTAACTTATCCCAGTATCTTCTACACTTTACAGTAACAAAATTAGGGAAAATTTATATTTTTATATTTACTTTACACCGGCCAATTTTACTCAATGTTCATGTGTCACAACTCCAGTGGCTGATGTCACAGATGTGGCATTTGAATTTTTTGGGTCTTTTTCATAAGCAATAAATATACAATTTCAAAACTCCATGTTATATTGTAAAACTAGATATTTTAATATATATGTACATGTAATAAATATTATCTTTGGATTTTTTCTTTTCAAAATGATGTTACAAATTTCGTAACGGTAGTGACACAATTTCAGGAAATGTCTAATAAAATGGTAAAATATGAAAAATGAAACATCATTAAGCTTGCATAATTTATGTTATGTATATTCAGAAAAAATATTATGTTATGTATACCCAAAAAGGAAAAAAAATCCCCATAAAACCAAAAAACTAACATATATTTATTTGCTAACATATATTTATTTGCTAACATATATTTATTTGCTAACATATATTTATTTGCTTTATTTAATGTCGCACGCACAACTAAGGTATTTCGTCGACGGTAAACAATGGGTACATTTCATTTTGACACTGGGCGATTTCAGTTGAGTAAATGTACTTAAAACATCAAAGGTTGCGATGTTTTCACGCTAAATTGGGATGCCCTTTCCAATCACTGTTGGCACAGTAGATGTATTTACTATCTAAACATTCTGCAATCCGATTATCAGCTATGGGATGCCCATTTCCAATCACTGTCAGCACAGTAAATATATTTGGTTTAAGCACATTTTTATTTAGATCAAAACCTGAAACCTGGATAGATGCAAATCCATTACATTGTTCAAGCCTACATAGTTGAAATAATTTGACAACAAAAGAATAATACTGTGACAAAATAACAGATAAATGATTGAATAATAAATATGTTTGGTATAGTGTTGGTTATGCCTAGCAAGGAAATGAGCAGCCGCAGAAAATCAAGTTATATAAAACTTGCCTTACATTGAATATATACATAGATTTGATAATTACTGGAAGCGGTTACTTTTAGAAATGAACTGTTGTAATGAGTTCAGAATGTCACTATTAGTTGAGTTATTCAATGCGCCATTATCGTATAGAGTAGTTTTCACATCGTATCCTTGAATATATAAATACATCCTTGTTCTTAAATTTTGATAGTTCCGCCATAATAGTAGATGTATTTACTATCTGCAATCCGATTATCTTATAACAAACTTGTTTTCCCCATAAGATTTTATTTGGTGCCGTTTTCCCCATAAGATTTGTATCCGTTTTCGCCAAGTCAAGGTTCCGTCATGTCCAAATGGTGCCATTTTCGCCAGGTGCCGTTTTGCTGTGGTTCCATTTTAGCCTGAACCCATATAATGTATAGTAGTGACAAATGTGACCATGGTGACATGTACTTGACTATGTTGAGAGTTAATGTGTATGCTGCTCACTTGCTCAAAATGATTGAAATAATGGAAACACTTCCGCCCGTATCCTCCCTTAATTTTCATTCTAGTCAAATAATATCACCTGAGTATATTTTCCTTATCTGATAAGGATGAGTTTTAACATGTTTCTTTAATTATATCTGAACATAATGAAAGACATATCCAACTTATAAAATGCCACTCAAAGAAATTTTTCCTTATGGTTAAAATTTAGGGGGGGATACGTGTGGAAGTCTTACCGAAATAATATTATAAACTTTTATTGTCCATAGGTTTTTGCATACTTTAACATTAATCCTAAAATTTACCTAAATCATATTTTGTTTACATGTTTTGAGACACATTAACAATAAATTATGTGTTATTCACACAGATGATGTTCAGGTAATGTTGAATTTATTCCATCTAATATTTACATAAAACATACATAACGCATAAATAATAAAAGTGATAATACAAAGTTGTAAAATGGTAGGTCATTTTTCATAATTACAAGATGATAAACATTGAACAAAACACCATAATGAAGTTATGACCTTGAAATTGTGTAATAGCTAAGACACCTGTAGACCAAAAACAAACTGGGAAAGTATTTGTTTTCAAGTTTTAAAGTTATCAAATAAATGACTTACCAGATAGAATTTGACTGCTTTTTCGTATGGCTCTTCCTATGGTATCTTTCAAAACATCGACTTCATCCCCGAAGAGGCCCTTTCCAAAAATATACTCCGGTTTTATCCTAATTGATTGATATTGATTCTTGGATGCCCTTTTGTTTCGACCTATATCATAATTCCCAGTGTGATATGATAAATCTTGGTCATTTTCATATTCAAGATATGTAGACTCGACAATATCCTCCTGTACAAAATCGTGCCAACAATGCATATACACTGACGGCCATATGAATATGAAAATTATAACAAAGCAAAAGACTGTATCAGCTTTGAAACTGGGCGTCTGTATTTGATATAAACTGGCCATTTTCTGCACGGGTGACGTCCACAATCGCTATCTAGCATCTTTAAGACTTTTGTGAACGTAACCTATTGTTTTAAATATCATTGTCCGTCGGATTGTTGTATTTCCCGCGTCATAACATGCAAATTGGACACAACAAGTCTTTCTTTCTTGAAACCGGAAGACTGTGACCGGAAGTTAATAACCGAGAAGATGGAATCGATTTAAAACGGAACAGTCCTGAAAATGAATCTGGTTGCATTCGTTGTACAATATCTTTAATAAAATAAATTAAAAAAATTAAGAAAATAATCTGCAAGGGACTTAATGTATTTTTATGTTTCTAAAAGTAAGAAAATCAAGAACATGGGAACCATGAAATCTGATATTTAAATATGTATTCTTGAAATCCCTTCTGGTTTCTCCTATATATAGAGAGAGATTTTCTGTGGAAATACTAAAGGCCAATTTTTTGGGTAAACCTTTTGACTATGGCTTACATGTCATTTGGATGATTTCATAAATCCAAGCTATTTGTTTGTGCAAAGGTGTGTCATTTGATGACATGCAGACATGCAAAACAGTTTCTGTGCAGAAGCAGTTGTTCAGTTGCCATGCCTTTATTGTGTTTCAAAGATAGTTATTTGTCGATGTAATTTATAGATCATTGATTTAAAATGATACTCCTCTACTGTCCTATAGTGAAATTATGTACTTGAAGGTTTTCTTCAGAATTGCAAATATGTTTGCCATAAGAGGATCTGCCAACTACAAATCCAAAATGTCCACCTTTTGACCTCTGTATTATATAATCTACATACAACACCAAGCAGCTGGTCTTGTTTCCATGGTACATGTATCTGATGTTTGAACTACTGATGATTGTCTGATAAACCTTTCTCTTCAGTCATAGATGGCAATTCATATGAAGACCATACACTATCAAAGGTTACACGTATGTAATTATTATTATTTTGTTTGTTTTTCTTCACACGAGTTCAATAATATTCAGGAAAATATCCTGCTTGAATTCCCTCTCATATCCTCCACAAACTATCCATTAATGGCATATTTGTTGCAAAGATTTTAAGTGTGCTTCACTTACTTCTGTCAGCTCTAGTGAGTGAGTGAGTTGAGTTTGATGCTGCTTTTAGCAATATTCCAGCCAAACATGGCGGTGGACACCAGAAAAGGGCTTCCCACTGTATCCATGTGGGGAATCTAAAGCATGTTTTCATGTGTGATGAGCGGATGCTTTAACCATTAGGCTACCCACCGGCCTCCTGTCAGCTCGAACAAACATCACATTAAATCCACAAGTGAGTGTGGAAGCTTAACTGAGGTGCGAGCCTGAGAGGAGCCACCTCGGGTGCAGATCTTGGATAGAAGCAAATATTCAAACATGAATCTTGGAGACCTGCTGTAAATAAACTCAAGCCTCTATAGTTCAACTGATTTATTCTTGAATATTTGCCTCATGAGATCATACATTTCAAACGATTTGTGTGACTAGAGGACAAAAAACAAACAGTTCCAATATCACAGCAACATGAAGATAAAAAACTCAACCTGAAAATAAGCAGTGACAGGTCAACCTGAAAATATACAACAAAATGTGATGTCACCGACAAACCAAATAATTACCATAATTTTCACAACCACATGGAAAGACTAAGTAATATGTGAACACAACATTGAGAACATAATTAAAATAAGATCAATGTCGAAATCATTGCAGCACAGCAATGGATTATAATGATAGTATGTTTTATTTTTATAAAGTTGGAATCATGTACATTTAAGGTCAGCCCCATCAACCCAGCCATTTCATTGTGTTATATGGCAGTGAAAAGCATTGTGTTGAAATGTTCCTTGTGTAAAGTAGACTTTATTAAGTAGACTTGCTGTGGTGATCTATATTTAGAATTGTGCTATATTTAGACAGAGTTGGGCACTACAACCCTATGGTCCTTTCAACTGAGGACCCAGGGCCCTGGACTTCGAGTCTTTTAATTAGTATTTAATGGGAGATAAATCTTGACTTTCATCTCACATCACATCTCAAGTTGTATGAAGACCAGTAATTAAATGCACTGTCCCAGGTAGGGAATGAATTGGGTTCAAGCCGCTGAGAGACCAGATAATAGAATAATCTATGATATGGTCTCTGGTTCCAGGTTTTGAACTAATTTCATTGTTTCTGGGCAGGATATGAATTAAATTGGGACTAAATTTACTGACTGGGAAGGGAATAAATTCAGAGATTCTGGTTTTTGGACTAACGTTTCAGGCAAGCTACAGCATCAAAACTCACAGGTACTGTTTGGACAATTTTAGACATTCAGAATACACCATCAAGATGACAGCATTGACTGGAAAGGCCCTTAGACTCATTACCACAGCACCTTTAAAAAATATCTTCCCTCCATCTGTTTTATAACTTTTTGTGGCACAATCCCACAATCCTCTGTACAGGCGCCTCTCTGGGTCTGCTTGTATCCGGCTCTTGACTACATCAACAGGTAGAATACAGAACCAGCTGATTATACCACTGAGTCCTCCAGAGAAAAAGTTGACGACCTGAGATGGAACTGTGGGCATCACACTGGTGGTTGTGTGTGTCAGTAGTTCATAAGTCATCATGTAAATACCACTGGCTGGGATGTCTCTCAAGGCCTGTGCACTTAGCCCTCTGTATAAGCCTTGTATCCCTCGAAGACGGATAATGTCCATAGCTGCAGCAATTGGCCCACGGTGGAATTTTTTGTGTGTATCTGGAATGAAAAAATGTTTTAAACACAAAAAAGTGTGCCTGAAATCATAACAGTTTGATCTTTGCAAATAAAAAAGTTAAATATACAGTCCAAACACCAATCATCCCCCTACCCCAAATCAACATGCAGTGGCAGCCATATTGAAAAATAAATTCACATAACTTTTAGGAGTCACTGTGGGGAACAAGCATTTGAAGTCTCAGTTTCACTGGTCTTGCAGATTTTGGGGAGAAGGTTATGATGGACAACCCAAGACTTATAAACAGGTCATAACATGAGCTCATTTGATTTAAAAATTATTTTTGAATATTTTGACACAAATACACAATGGTTTTACAGTCTTGACAGTTGTTTCTGATGTTGTGGTGCGTGATTGGTGGGTATTGATACATCCTCGATGGGTAGCCAACAAGCAGGTCAATTCTCACAGATACATCAGAGCTAGCCAGTGTCAACAGCTTGACGCGCAGTAGCAAAGGTTTGAAATACATTCTGATTATCTGAAACTTTACAAAACATGTAAAAGAACTCCTTCCACATCTTCAGCTTAGATAATAAAATACCACTTCAGATTAGCCAGGCAACATACCTTGCATCCAGGGGTATAGTGCAGAGTGATCTCACTGGAGATATCGAGGATGGTCAAGATACAATGAAATTGAGACTAGCCCTACCTTGCTTGTCACTCACTGCGTGGGGTATTTGAGACTGTAGTACAGTCTTCAGTGAGTCTATGGGGCATGACAGAGGCAGTTGAACAGCACCTGCAACACAACCTGCAGCTAAGATTGTCAAATAGTAGGTGGCGCTGCGTTGTGAGGACTCCCCTGGTGACCAAAGAGAGAGACAGCTGTCCCATACACACCAAAGAAGATGGAATTGAGGCAGACATTGGACAGCAGGGGCCATGACAAACCACGGAAGAAACCCTTTGACTGAAATAAAGTTTGCACTTCATATATAATCATTCTTTTAAAATTGTGATGACACGTTTAACAATATTCCAGCAACATCAAGACAGGGAATCAAACTCAGATTAGATGTGTGACATCCTAAACCACTGGCCTTCTCCAACTACCTTAGTCAGGAAATAATGATTGTATATAAATATCATTCTATAGCAAAGGTTTTAGACATGACTTATCATAGAAATATTATCAGTATATCTACCACAATGTCAAACATGTGTTTTGATAGGTATCATGTTTTATTGAGTTCTTATTACCAATGATTGTGTGTGGACACTCCTGACACAGTCCAGGATATTCTTGTAGCGATCCCTGCCTCCCTCGATCTGCAGCAGCACCTACAGACATAGAACACAATACAGCAATGGGCAGCACCTACAGACATAGAACACAATACAACAGTGGGCAGGACCTACAGACATAGAACACAATACAACAGTGGGCAGGACCTACAGACATAGAACACAATACAACAATGGGCAGGACCTACAGACATAGAACACAATACAGCAATGGGCAGCACCTACAGACATAGAACACACAATACAACAATGGGCAGCACCTACAGACATAGAACACAATACAGCAATGGGCAGGACCTACAGACATAGAACACACAACACAGCAATGGGCAGGAACCAGCACACAGACATAGAACACAATACAACAATGGGCAGGACCTACAGACATAGAACACAATACAGCAATGGGCAGGACCTACAGACATAGAACACAATACAACAAATGGGCAGGACCTACAGACATAGAACACAATACAGACATGGGCAGCACCTACAGACATAGAACACAATACAAATGGGCAGCACCTACAGACATAGAACACAATACAACAATGGGCAGGACCTACAGACATAGAACACAATACAACAATGGGCAGCACCTACAGACATAGAACACAATACAGCAATGGGCAGCACCAGACATAGAACACAGACATACAGACACACAATAATACAACAATGGGCAGCACCTACAGACATAGAACACAATACAACAATGGGCAGGACACCTACAGACATAGAACACAATACAACAATGGGCAGCACCTACAGACATAGAACACAATACAACAGTGGGCAGGACCTACAGACATAGAACACAATACAACAATGGGCAGGACCTACAGACATAGAACACAATACAGCAATGGGCAGGACCTACAGACATAGAACACAATACAACAATGGGCAGCACCTACAGACATAGAACACAATACAGCAATGGGCAGCACCTACAGACATAGAACACAATACAACAATGGGCAGCACCTACAGACATAGAACACAATACAACAATGGGCAGCACCTACAGACATAGAACACAATACAACAATGGGCAGCAGCTACAGACATAGAACACAATACAACAATGGGCAGCAGCTACAGACATATAACACAATACAGCAATGGGCAGCAGCTACAGACATAGAACACAATATAACAATGGGCAGCACCTACAGACATAGAACACAATACAGCAGTGGGCAGCACCTACAGACAGAGAACACAATACAACAATGGGCAGCACCTACAGACACAGAACACAATACAGCAATGGGCAGCACCTACAGACAGAGAACACAATACAGCAATGGGCAGCACCTACAGACATAGAACACAATACAGCAATGGGCAGCACCTACAGACAGAGAACACAATACAGCAATGGGCAGCACCTACAGACATAGAACACAATACAGCAATGGGCAGGACCTACAGACACAGAACACAATACAGCAGTGGGCAGCACCTACAGACATAGAACACAATACAACAATGGGCAGGACCTACAGACATAGAACACAATACAGCAGTGGGCAGCACCTACAGACATAGAACACAATACAGCAATGGGCAGCACCTACAGACATAGAACACAATACAGCAATGGGCAGCACCTACAGACATAGAACACAATACAGCAATGGGCAGCACCTACAGACACACAATATAACAATGGGCAGAACACACAATACAGCAGTGGGCAGCACCTACAGACAGAGAACACAATACAGCAATGGGCAGCACCTACAGACAGAACACAATACAGCAGTGGGCAGCACCTACAGACATAGAACACAATACAACAATGGGCAGGACCTACAGACAGAGAACACAATACAAAATATTCTTGGAGATATGGCTGAAGCCTTAATGTCGTACCTTCACTGTGTCAAAGGGATGACCAACTACCATTCCAGCGCCACCTAGGAACACAATGCAAACACTTCAGTGAGATTGCTTATGACTATATTCTTTCACAAAGACTTTTAACAGCAATTATGCACACTTGCCCATCAAATGGAGGGCTAAATTTGTAATTGCTGTTTTGCATTTGTACATATTTAGGATGTTGATGTACTCAAGTCATTGATTAGTAAAACAATCTATGAACCATGGAACACAAGTGCCAAATATGTTTTTGGCTTTTCTGTCCCTTCACCTAAATACATACAACTGAAATACCTAATTATTTTGTGGTGTTCCTAACATTCTGATGACGGTAACTACTTTTAATGGCAAAGAAAATTCAGAAGGAAATGTGCCTTCTTCCTCACATTGTTTATCGTTGCATACTCCTGTGAAGATATGCTGGTAGTGGTTCTATTTGTTTTTGCATTTGATTAGGAAAACACCACATGTAATGAAGACATCCAAATATTGTATTGGTGCAGGAACAATCTATTCTCTAATCCTTTCAGGGAATGACATAATATTTAGAGCTGCAGTTTTAAAATCATTTTGAACTTGTTCTATTTGATGTGAAAACAAATACATTACTCTGAGAGATACAGCCTAAAAATATTCTTAAACATTTGTTGACAACTTGCAGTGGTAAAATATTTCATACTAAGAAGATCTATTTCTACTTTTTCAGTCAGGATAATCAAAAGTAAACCCCAGGCCATGAGAAAGTATATACCTTGCATATCTCTAAGTTTCTACCATGCATTATGTCTGTATATACCTAGGATTGTCAGTAATTTAGTGTTCAAAGAGATGATCATCAAATCCTGGCACAACCAAGGGACAAAACTCAAAAAGCAAGCAAGTGGTGACACCTTAGACCCTTAAGCAACCAGTGCCCCCTGTTGGTAGAGAACAGTGAGTACCTCCAATGGCTCCTGCTATGTAGTCATGGAGGACTGTCCGGTCCTTCAACACGGCCTTCCCCTCCAGCCATTGGTCATCTCCTAACTGACAGTCCGCCATTAGATCATCCAGGACAGCATATCCTCAGAATATCCTGCAGAAAAAATGATCAAGATGATTGGGTATGAAATCCGAGCAATGATCCACACAGGTTCAGGAGAGTCTGTTGCTGGTCTCCAGTGTAGTTCTCAAACACTGATTGCACCCCGGATGAACCCACACATTGTCTGCATTTTCAGATCCAGATTTTTCACCTCCCGTTTGGTGCCTCTGGACATTGACACAGTGTATCTAAGAATATGACCTGACACCTACAGTGTGATTGTAGGAAGAGGTGACTACCAATGAAGGTTTGGGTTGTCTGACCCAGAGACACGATGCATGTGATTGTATAAAAAACGAAATTAGCTACACACGCCACTTGTCACACACACTTTAATTCAGCCCTTGTCTCACACCAAAGCAGTATGTGTATACATGGATAAGTGGATACTTCTGGATATCTGCTTCAGATCGGCTAACAGAAATGGTAACATTGTATTTAACTGTAAATCAATTTGTTTTTTCAGTTGTTTTCAGCCACTCTCAACAATATTCCAACTGTATGGAAATAATCAAGTCTGGACCAGACAAATCAGTGACATTGCAATTTATCATAAGGATTTATCTATGAAAATGGGATATGACATCTCAACCAAATCGGTGAGCCTGACCACCTGATCCCCTTACTTGCCTCATACGACTTGACAAAACTTATCTCTGAATATATGTTACAGGGAATGTGTGAAACCAGGGATTTCATGTATTCCCTAAAATTTCCAGGGATTTCATGAAATTACTGAAATATTAGCTCAGTGATTTCATGATATCCCTGTAAGCCCTTATTGAAATAGAGAAAAACAAATTTATAATGCGAGTACAGAGTATTTCCTGATAAAATTCATTTGTTGGGACAAGATAGAGTGTTATCACATAAGCTATTACACTTCAGTAGCACTTTAAAACATTTACAACGTATTGATTTACACTGGTTAGGACAACAGTTACATTTCTGGAAACCCTGACCACCACAATTCGACTCGAAAATCACAGCTGTGTGGAGAAACAGTTCTTTGTCCATTGTCACATCATTCAGAGAAAGAAGACGCTGAGGACAAATAATTGTAATTTCTGCCAGAGATGTTGCTATGCTGTCAGGATATAAGACCTTTTCTGTAATGCTATGCTCTGGTCGCACTTGGTGAAAAAATCACTGTAACGACCTCAATCTTTTGGAACATGTAGTTTTATGACTTTTGTACAACAGACAAGATGATTCATTTTTTAAGTAGAACATCAGCGGCAGTTGGGTTTTGATGCAGTTGTTACCCTTGCTGTTTGTATGGCTCCCTCTCAGAAAAGGATCATTCACTACATCTTCAAGTACCCTGGAGACAGTTGTCAGAGTTTTTTTCAGTTCCATTAAAAAGTTTTCTGTTGTAAAGAGGTTTATGTCCTCTTGACTTACAGAAATAAATACTTGTAAATTTGGAAAAAGATAAAATTCCTACATCTTACATCTAAGAAAATACCATATGGGAAATTATGGGAGGGCAGGACTATGGTACATGAGGTCATGACAGCAGCACTCGGAAGAGACTCCCATGGAGAAAATAGAGAGCTTGGCAAGAGAAATGACATTTGCAGGTAATGTAATTTATCTGGGGCACCATTTCAATTTAAATGGAGTTATTTGTTTTTATCAGAATAACATCTTCAGGGACTAAACATTAGCCTAGCTTCTCCACACCAGATAATTCTAAGTCTGAAATAAGAGAAATTTGAAGAACCTGATACATTCTGAGTATGACAGAATTTCATGTTTTTGTATTACTTAGCTTCTTCACATAATTGCCAAAACAACCTTTTTCCATATGTTCCAGAAACATATTGTCGTGGTTATTGTTTTGGTAATTTTCATTGGTTTTTAAATGCAGAACTGTAAAAAAAAAAAAAAATGAATACACAGTGTACAAAAACGCCAAATATGTATCTGACACAACCCAAATTGGGCCTCTTGGTATCTTAACCACCTCGGAATATTCTGCAATGGAAAATTTGAGGGCACCTAACAGCTGTCAGCCAGTCATCGTCTACACTGAAAGGCGCGGGAATATAACCACGCCATGGGTCCAGTAACACAAATCACCTTCCTGCTATCCCATTGTGTCTGAGTTCTTCATAATTCTTATTGCCCACGAATCGAGGATCTTGGTTCAAGGGGTGACAAAGGGAACGAACTCTTGGCGTAATAAGAATATGGATTTTTTTCAAGGCCTGGCGAAGCGATACCCAGTTCGTTTCGCCGTTATGTAAACCCACCCGAGACAGGTGGACACTCAGTGATTATCATCTTTCGTCCAGAATTTTTGTTGAAGTGACCTTGAAAAAATTAATTACAGCGTGGTCATTCTCAGTTGAAATAAATCAAAAGCCCTCGATCATCTTAAAACAAATCATTATCCCAAGATCAACGCGCAACAGAAATGAATTTATGAATTTCGCAAGAGGAAAATATGACCATTGAATTCTGGTAGTGCATTGGTGGATCCTATGTAAACATGATTTAGTTCCAAGTAGTAAAATGTTCCGGTTCGGAATAAATGCCGTGAAATTGAGAATGGATGACACGAATAAAAATTCCGCACATACGGCAAATATTCCATCGAACAGGAACAAATACCGTAGGCCTAACCTATTCCAGTCATTATTGAATGCAAAATGGACTCATCCAACTTGTCAACATCCGTAACTTGGGTTACATGCTGACTGTAACTTGGCTACTGACTAACTGTAACTTGGTTACATGTTGACTGTAACCTGGCTACTGACTGTAACTTGGTTACATGTCGACTGTAACCTGGCTACTGACTGTAACTTGGTTACATGTCGACTGTAACCTGGCTACTGACTGTAACTTGGTTACATGTCGACTGTAACCTGGCTACTGACTAACTGTAACTTGGTTACATGTTGACTGTAACCTGGCTACTGACTGTAACCTGATTAATGAAGGTAACTTGGTTACATAATAACTGAACTCTTTTTAACACAAGATCCATTTAGAATCATCAGTTCGCACTCTGGGGAATCTACAAATGTATTTTCATAAAAAGAAATTAAGTAACTGTGTGTGCGGAGTTCTGCATGCACTATTACAGGAACAAATGGGAGGTTCCGCCGGAAACCCAAATCTTTTTTGAAAATGACTGAAGACCACATTGAAGTTAATGTTTTGCATTGGCGGAGTTCGAACACCCCTGAACACCCCACCCCCACCCCCGTTGAAAATTCCTGGATCCGCCTCTGTGGTGCCAGTCGTAACGTGGATTGATTTGGAAATATTGTAAATTTTATGACAAGTTGGCCAGTAGTGTATATGTGCAATAGCAATATTTTAGCAATATTCCAGTCACGGCGGGGACACCAGAAATAGGCTTGACCCATTTTCGAACCCGGTCTTCAGCGTGTCGAGCCAACGCTTTAACCATTAGGCTACCCACCGCCCGTAGACTCTTTGAGTTGGTAACGAACGATTATTGTAACAGAAACGCAAAATATGGCAGGACCTTAATTTGTAACTTTTTATCTGGTGTAATTAAGATGTTTGACACAGATATACATATTATCCATCGATTCTTTGTTTGTTGTTTAACGCCACGCTCAGCAATATTTCAGCTATATATGGCGGCGGTATGTAAATTTTCGAGACTGGTACAGACAGCCTACTGTAGTAGTGATCAACATCACGAGCCTCGAACTACGATGACATGTGTCAACCAAATCAACCAAGTCAGCGAGCCTGACCACCCCATCCCGTTAGTCGCCTCTTACGACAAAGATGGGTTGTTGAAGATCAATATTCTAACCGGGATCTTCATGGGTCTATTCTCATTGGAGAAGACTTCAGTGCTATCCATGGTGTGAACAAATAGAAGACTACATAGCCTAGATAATAGGCCTAAAGATATTAGATTTAGCGGATAGTAGGCTACTAACATTGACAGCGGCATATGAAATTCCAGTCACACAACCGGGCTACCGCTTTGCAAAGTCATAAGGCCAGATAAACTGTTGCCAGTTCAGAAATTTCAAGGCTTACGAACAAAAGGGTCAACAGAGGAATATATAATGTTCAATATTTGTTACATATTTTATATTTGGGATTTCTCTTTCTCAGTACAGAAATCAAGTACTTTTGTTTAACTGAGTCCCATCTGGGAATCGGAGTGTTGAAATGATATGAAAACCTTATATTAAACAGATAACGAATTATGTCGAAAGACTATATTCCTCCCGCCCCAATACCACATTGTAACATCCCCAAAGCATGTCCTTCTATGTGTGTAATCAGCTAATTATAGCGACAGAGACAAATTATATATTTACACTAAACAAAAACAAATTTTTATGCCCGTGAAAACTATTTTCTGCGATTATTGGCACGAAAGTAGTCGCTACACAGCTGGCCACATTCGTCACCACTCGCCCCTTTCCGTAACCTTCAAGAACGGTATTCGGCTTGTCCCGGAATAACACGAGTTGGTCACGAATGATTCGGCTTGTCCCGGAATAACACGAGTTGGTCACGAATGAGTTGGCCAAAGCCCCTTTCCAGAAAGTCTGAGCACAATTCAAGTGCACAGATTAAACGTGCGATATGAAGAGATACAGATCATACTATTACGAAGACATAACTCGTAAAATGTGTCGTGTTTAAACCGAACCACGAGAAACACGACTTTCTGTACGAACGCTTGACACGCACGCACGCACGGCACGCACTCTCTCATAGCCTTAGGGACATTTTTCTTAACTGATACTGGCAGGTGCCCCACCTTTTTATCCTTGCGTCCTCACTTTGATATTGCTGTAAGTGGCTTACAACCATACTCACTATAGTCCATGTGTGCTGCGTAAAACATCATCCGACCCATCACTTACAAAAAAAGTGTGCGTTGTTTTTTTACATATATATCACAAATGTACATCACAATATGAGTACTATTAACATATTTAAACAGGCATGAGACACGGTCTTCTGAATACTTTGTAATGGCCGTCGTTGTTCCAGTTCCGCCTTGGATAATTGTAATATGTTTGCATTGTCAACCTAATTTGGCAACTTACGCTTGAGTGACTGGGGAAAAACACAGGATCTGTTGGTAAACACGTGTTAATTGTTATCCTTATATAGCGTGTTAATCCAATCTAAAACCAACGATCTTCATACTAATGGTTTATTATTTCATTTTGATTGTAAAGACACTGTGCAGAACAGGTATCAACAGTTCCATATAAATGGCGACATATGTTGTAATTTGGGAACTGTTTAATCATAAGCCTGTCATACAGATTCTGACACAAATATACCCAATGTAGCCCATGCAAGTCTAAAATGGGTGGGAAGTCTAGATTACTACAGTTTCAGGATCTGAAAATGAACAAAAGTAATTTATTAAGTGAATTCAGTTTAATCACGTTAATAAAATAATACCTATGTTCTTTTCTTTTATTAAATGACAAGTAGACAAACAGTGAAATTCATCATCTGGGTCACAATTGGTATTTTTCTTCAGTCTTTTGTATCATCTGTGTTAAGTAAATAGTTTAAGAAAAATAAATAAGAATAATTATTTGTTTAAAATTCTCTCCAGGGCGACTTTGTGAGATCTCTCTTGCAGATTGAACACCAGATGCCATGTAGTTTATCTCTATTACTATATTTTAGACAGCCTAGACTCTTGTTTCATTGCTATTATTATTATTACAAGTAATTTATACATACTGAAAGATAGTATTAATGTTTTCAGAATTCCAGCACAAGTTGATACCATATAAAATTTGACGAGGTAACAGAAATGAACGTTTTCTGTACATCAAAACATTTGCAATACTCGTTCTAAGTCACGCAAAGAGTTTAAGATAAACGCACACACACACGCAGACAGACACACCGAGATAGACAGACGGAGAGACAGACAGACGGAGAGAGACACACACGCGGACGGACAGACAACTACACACACAGACACACAGACGTATTTTAGGTATATAAAAATAATCGCGACGTTAAACCCCATTCCACAATACCTCAGAATTGATACGCCAAACACGTTTGTGTTTTACGGGGGGCGGTCGGGTAGCCTAGTGGTTAAAGCATCCGCTCGTGACTCCAAAGACACGGGGTAATGCCCCACATGGGTGCGATTTGTAAATCCCTTTTCTGGTCTCCCTCACCATTATACTGACACATGGCTTAAAGCGGCATAAAACAATATTCATTCCCTTAGGTTTTACGACGCACTTACCATTATACCAAAGACAGTACGGTGATATGATACCCATGCCGAGAATCGAACCTGGATCTCCGGCTAAAAAGCGAATGTTTTAACCTCATCAGTTCACGCAAAATACCAGTGGTTCCTTAGCTTGTATGTGTTGACTATATGGTGACCTCACCGAATGTGCATGTTTGCGTGTAATGCTGTTATCTTCAGATCAGCAGCTGTGTTAATGGGGTATGTATATCAATATCAGCTGCAGCCAACAGGTTATAAATGCTGTCCATACATTTAAATTCGGTTTTATACCTGAATGGCCGTGAACGTTTGTGGTACTGAAAATTTGTGAGTATTTTTTGTTTCACATAATGGTGTCGTATCTCCTTGCGTCCATTAAAGGCACACGGAAACGCTTAAGTGATGGCTACTATATGTGTCTGCATTTATTATCGCATTTACAGTGTAGCGTCTGCAGAATTATTCTTAAAACATTCAGTGATGTTTATGTATAAAAGGGTCCTAATCTGCGAGATATTTAAACGAATCTTAGCCACCGAGGCCAAGAAATTCAAAACATTGCCATCACAAGACATGTGTCGAACGTTTATGCATGCAGGGAAAGGCTTGTGCCGCTTTTATGGAAGTTAAATTTAAATACAATACATATTTACGTTAACAAGTAACGCGTTTTAAGATGGTACAATATTTTCTGTGTCATATATATATCACAATTAATCCATCTTATGCCCCGTGGGACCAAGATAAATTGGAAGGAACGTATTTCCTTTGATTTACACAGTACCGGGCGTGTTGTTTTAACAGAAGCACGTTTGTACACATACACACGCATGCACGACGACATATGAGCCATGTTCAATGCTAAGTCTTTTAAAGCACCATATTTGTATATAGCAGGTTGCTTTATATCACTTTACAAATTCATGAACAGACAATTTGCCAGAAGTAGCAATGTTTCAGATTGGTAAAGTTTCTATTTGTCCACACCCTGAAAACAGAAACATAATAGATATTGAGAATAATGACCTTGTTTATTTATAAAACATTCAATAAAGATTCAGTATTTTGACCGAATCATGTAAGTCACATTTTCGATAACTGGTACAGCGCAAATACAACCGTAATAAAGTTTTATAATTTTAACAGCAATTTTGGTGAGACTGCACGCAAATGCAATAGAGAGGAAATGAAAAACAGAATGCACGTGTAAGTTGTGACAATCACGTGCATTGTCAATGTGCGTGAAAAATCAAACGTCAGTCAACACGGTACACTGTCAAATTGAACGGATTACACCATAAGGTAATGGTCACACGTGCTCACGGTAAGAGAAAGTCTCATAGTTCTTGTGAAGAATTTGCAGAATATACCAACTTACATGTGCTCGCAAGATACATGTATGCGTAATGTACCACACACCACAATATGTACAAAGTCGACTGGTAATACCTACAATTCATTGTGTTGAATAATTCTATCAATATAACAGTTCTGGTTTTTTGACATTGTCCTTATCAAATTACATTTGACGATATATATTTCAGGCAATACCATATACATGTATGTGTAGTACATGACTAAAACAATATCACATTTTATATATAGTACATGATTCAGACAATATCACAAATGCACTATACATGATTCAGACAATATCACACGTGAAGTACATGATTCAGACAATATCACACATGTACAGTACATGATTCAGACAATATCACATATGTATAGTACACTATTCTGACAATATCACATATGTATAGTACATGATTCAGACAATATCACATATGTATAGTACACTGATTCAGACAATATCACATATGTATAGTACACTATTCTGACAATATCACATATGTATAGTACACTATTCTGACAATATCACATATGTATAGTACATGATTCAGATAATATCACATATGTATAGTACATGATTCAGACAATATCACATATGTATAGTACATGATTCAGACAATATCACATATGTATAGTACATGATTCAGACAATATCACATATGTATAGTACATGATTCAGACAATATCACATATGTATAGTACATGATTCAGACAATATCACACATGTATAGTACATGATTCAGACAATATCACATATGTATAGTACATGATTCAGACAATATCACATATGTATAGTACATGATTCAGACAATATCACATATGTATAGTACCCTATTCTGACAATATCACATATGTATAGTACATGATTCAGACAATATCACATATGTATAGTACATGATTCAGACAATATCACATATGTATAGTACACTTGATTCAGACAATATCACATATGTATAGTACATGATTCAGACAATATCACATATGTATAGTACATGATTCAGACAATATCACATATGTATAGTACATGATTCAGACAATATCACATATGTATAGTACATGATTCAGACAATATCACATATGTATAGTACATGATTCAGACAATATCACACATGTATAGTACCCTATTCTGACAATATCACTTATATGTAGTACATGATTCAGACAATATCACTCATGTATAGTACCTTATTCTGACAATATCACATATATGTAGTACCCTATTCAGACAATATCACACATGTATAGTACATGATGTAGACAATATCACATATGTATAGTACATGATTCAGATAATATCACATATGTATAGTACATGATTCAGACAATATCACACACATGAAGTACATGATTCAGACAATATCACACATGTATAGTACCCTATTCTGACAATATCACACATGTATAGTACCCTATTCTGACAATATCACATATGTATAGTACATGATTCAGACAATATCACATATGTATAGTACATGATATCAGACAATATCACATATGTATAGTACATGATTCAGACAATATCACATATGTATAGTACATGATTCAGAATAGTGTTGGGAATTGGTTAAAATCTCATAATTGATGATTGGTTCATTACCACCGATCAATCATCGAAAATTATTGGTTAGCGTCATTTTTATGAAATTTGTTAATGCACACAAAAAATAAGGAAAAAACATGTGAAAAATATTGTTAATGCAAAAAGTGTTCCCGAATTGTTTGTGTTCGATTATGAGAAAACATGATCGATTGCTAGATCGTTTAGTCACTGCGACCAATCTTCGATTATTTCAATCGGATCACCACAGATTCAGATAATGTCACACGTGTGTAGTACATGATCAGACAATATCACTCATGTATAGTACCCTATTCTGACAATATCACATATATGTAGTACCCTATTCAGACAATATCACACATGTATAGTACATGATTCAGACAATATCACACATGTGTAGTACATGATTCAGATAATATCACACACATGAAGTACAGGATTCAGACAATGTCACACATGTATAGTACCCTATTCTGACAATATCACACATGTATAGTACATGATTCAGACAATATCACACATGTATAGTACCCTATTCTGACAATATCACACATGTATAGTACCCTATTCTGACAATATCACATATGTATAGTACATGATTCAGACAATATCACACATGTATAGTACATGATTCAGACAATATCACACATGTATAGTACCCTATTCTGACAATATCACATATGTATAGTACATGATTCAGACAATATCACATATGTATAGTACATGATTCAGACAATATCACATATGTATAGTACATGATTCAGACAATATCACATATGTATAGTACATGATTCAGAATAGTGTTGGGAATTGGTTAAAATCTCATAATTGATGATTGGTTCATTACCACCGACCAATCATCGAAAATAATTGGTTAGCGTCATTTTTATGAAATTTGTTAATGCACACAAAAAATAAGGAAAAAACATGTGAAAAATATTGTTAATGCAAAAAGTGTTCCAGAATTGTTTGTGTTCGATTATGAGAAAACATGATCGATTGCTTGGTCGTTTAGTCACTGCGACCAATCTTCGATTATTTCAATCGGATCACCACAAATTCAGATAATGTCACACGTGTGTAGTACATGATTCAGACAATATCACATATGTATGGAACTGTATACAAAACCATTAGTCAGACAATATCCCAGTATAGTACAGTATTTCGATGGTCTCAGTTACTGACCACTCATCTTTGATTTTTTCTGCAGGATATTCTGAGGATATGCTGTCCTGGATGATCTAATGGCGGACTGTCAGTTAGGAGATGACCAATGGCTGGAGAGGAAGGCCGTGTTGAAGGACCAGACAGTCCTCCATGACTACATAGCAGGAGCCATTGGAGGTACTCACTGTTCTCTACCAACAGGGGGCACTGGTGGCGTAAGAGTAAAAGGGGCGTGCTTGATTAAGGGTATACATAGCCACAATTTGCTGAACTGAGTTTTGTCCCTTGGTGATGTCAGGATTCAATTATCAATATTTTGAATACTAAAGTGAGCGAGTGAGTTTAGTTTTACGTCGCACTCAGCAATATTCCAGCTATATGGCGGCGGTCTGTAAATAATCGAGTCAATCAGACAATCCAGTGGTCAACAGCATGAGCATCGATCTACACAATTTGGAACCACGTAAAGGAGCCTGACCACCCGATCCCATTAGTCGCCTCTTACGACAAGCATTGGTTATCTAATCAATTGAAAGCAAACAGGTAATGCACTACTATCAGTGTAGTTTGATTGGATAAGGCCACACCAATAAACAAATTGTAAGATTTTCATCCAAATATTTAAGAGAAGTGAGTAGTTTTTTCTTTTACGTTTTCTTTCCTAACAAACTGCAACTTCCATCTGATTTGATTCACATGATTGGTAGTAAATGAAAGTGACAAATCCTTAAAACCATATATATGATTTTCCTTCCTGTTGAAGCTTTAATGAGACCTAGAATGTTGTAACCTTGATTGTACATCTTTTGATCAAGTCATTTGATGCTCTTTGAAATCTTGACAAAAAGTGTGCCCGACTCTACCTCAGGAGGTTCGACGTAAACATGAAAGTCACGAAAACTGCTCGACATCAGGAGTGAGTGAGTGAGTGAGTTTAGTTTTACGCCGCACTCAGCAATATTCCAGCTATATGGCGGCGGTCTGTAAATAATCGAGTCTGGACTAGACAATCCAGGGATCAACAGCATCTGCTGAGCATCGATCTGCGTAATTGGGAACCGATGACAACCAAGTCAGCGAGTCTGACCACCCGATCCCGTTAGTCGCCCCTTACGACAAGCATTGGTTACTGAAGACCAATATTCTAACCCGGATCTTCACGGGTCTCGACATCAGGAGAAAGTTGAAATCAGTCCTCTTGTCATACAGACTTGTTCAGTGTTTTTGCCGCTCTCAGCCCACATGTATATGTTATAATATGAAATCAACGTGGCGGTCTCACTATTCTAAATCAGTGGAAGGAATGTGTCTTTTAACAATTATTGAACGATATCATATCATTGATATACCTGAAGCATACATGTTAAGCGCCTGGACCAAATTACCTTGTTTTTACTTCTAGTTGCCCTGCCAATCCGAACAGAAATTGCGATTTGTATGAATAATAATCTGAGTAACATGACTCGCCTCTAAATTTACATATATTGTACTGTCCAGCATTTAACATATTATGTTCTCAGCAAACTTCAAACGGGATAAACTGCCCTGAATCCGAATGTTAGCTCTACATATGGTTGTACGTTGTGCATAACTGCTGTTTATAGTCTTTTGTAAAGCATCCTGGTAAAAGTAATTCTTGTTTAATATTGCATTGTGTTCTCAGGTGGTGCTGGAATGGTAGTTGGCTATCCCTTCGACACAGTTAAGGTAATTCTCATATAATGAGTGAGTGAGTTTAGGTTTAGGCCACTTTTAGCAATATTCCAGCAATATCTCGCCGGGGGACACCAGAAATAGGACGAGCGGACGCGTTGACTACGAGGCTACCCCACATCCCCTATTAAAGGAGTGACATTGGTACAGTGAAAGATATCACAAAAGTTATAATACAATTTATCTAAAACCAGTACATTAACTGAATGAATATAATTAATGAAGATTCAAAATGTGATTCGGAAATAGTGAGGTTTGTAAACAATAATGTTTTCTAAAGTTTTTATTTACAAAATTATTTTGGAAGAAAAGTACATACATTTAATATAACTAGATGACGTTTTCGAGACCAGCAATTACCATTGCAGGGGATATCGATGACTTTGTTCTCTTGTATTTTGTTCAATGTCTGCAGACCGCCTCCGTGGTGTAGTGGTTAGACCGTCTGCCCGGAGAGCGGAAGGTCGCGGGTTCCATTCCCGACCGCGCCATATCAAAAGACGTTAAAATATGGTACTTGTTGGTCCCTGCCTGGCGCTCGGCATTAATGAGTACAGCAAGGACTGGTCGGCTCGGAGTCAGTATAATGTGTCTGAGTGGGGTATTCATGCTTCACTGCGGCATGGTATCTCAGTGGGCTAGCACTATAAAACCAGCTTCAGTCTGGGCTAGTACAAGCAATCGACCATACACATACACACGCATATTCTCAAATATTCTAAAGCACGACGTTAAACCCAATTCCTCCTCACCTCTATGTCTGCACGTACTAACCATATTTGTATTGTGTTCTGAGTTTATACATCCCATTGTATTATGTTCTATCTGTAGGCGCTTTCCATTGTTGTATTGTGTTCCTGTCTGTTTATGCATCCCATTGTATTATGTTCTCTCTGTAGGTACTTTTCATTGTTGTATTGTGATCGGTCTGTTTATGCATCCCATTGTATTATGTTCTATCTGTAGGCGCTTTCCATTGTTCTATTGTGTCTGAAGGCGCTTTCCATTGTTGGTACATTGAGAGAAGGAAATATGACTGGCATAAATACTTGTTAGTCAGTACTTTGGTCACACATAAGCATTATGATGGCAGAGAGAGGTGAAATTTTAGATGGAAGTAGGTGGGGATTTGATTCTGGATGGTTACAGATATACACGCAGGAAGGAAATCAAGAATGGTTCAGTTCCCTGGATCAGGGATTGAGTCAACCGAATTAATTAGCCTACTCAAGTCCAATTAGCAATTTATTACCTATCAGTTAAGCGGTGTGAACAGCATACTGCCAGAAATGGGACTTACGGAAACCGCACCGCCAGAAATGGGACAACGCGCTAGACCAATTAAAAGGTATGATAATCTCACTGTCAGAAATGGGACTGCCAGAAATGGGACTAAATGGGACTATATGTTCTGTATTTAGGTGCTGCTGCAGATACAGGGAGGCGGGAACCGCTACAACAACATCCTGGACTGTGTCAAGAATCTCCACACACAAACAACACTGGTAATAAGAACAACCTATGACATGATACTTACATCACAACATAGATATCGGTTGGTGCCAGAAATACTGGTTTGTTTCTTTGATAAAATAGCCAGGGCTATGTCCAAATTCTTCTGTTATATTATGATCTGAGTTTCTGATTTACATCAATATGCATAAGATTGATATCATTACACAGTCATTATATCATCACTGTTCGCGTTTCCTGTTTAAAAGGGCGATGGGATAGCTTTGCGGTTAAAGCGTTTCTCGCCACACCGAAGACCCGGGTTCGATTCCCAACATGGGCACAATGTGTCAAGCCCATTTCTGGTGTCCCCGCCCCGATATTGCTGGAATATTGCTGAAAGCGGCGTAAAACTAAAGTTACTCACTCTCTCCCGGTTTAAGGGGAGTAGGGGAAGGCAAGAGGTTGACGTGTTAACACATGAAAGCTGAGTTTGATTCCCCACACACATACGATGTTGGAGTCCATTGATTGAGTTCACATGGTGGAAAATGGTTAAACTCACCCCTCACTTTGGTCAGTAGGGACTACCCTTTATCATACCATATATTAATTATAAACACTTCATTTCAGTCAAATGGTTTTTTCCGTGGTTTGTCATGGCCCCTGATGTCAAGTGTCGCCCTCACGTCCATCTTCTTTGGCGCATATGGGACAACTCTGTCTCTTCTTGGTCACCAGAGGGAGTCTTCACAGCGCAGCGCCACCTACTATTCGACAGTCTTAGCTGCAGGTTGTGTTGCTGGTGCTGCTCAACTGCCCTTGTCATGCCCGGTAGACACACTGAAGATCGTCCTGCAGTCTCAGATACCCCAGGGTGACAAGCTAGGTGGGGCTACTTAGGTGGTATATATAGTAAAAAGAATCAAAGACCAACCCAGACCTGGACGTCCAAGAAAAAACTAGTGCTCGTGACGACAGGGCCTTAATTCGCTTAGCCAGACGCAATCCAATGACCCATGCTGAAGACCTCCGTAGACAATGGCGAGTGGGCGTCAGACTGTCCACGAATACCGTCCGAAAGAGGTTAAGAGCTGCAGGATTGCGTGCACGTAGACCAGTCAGACGTCCATTTCTCACTGACAGACACATGCAAGAACGCCTGGCGTGGTGCAGGTTAAGGCAAAACCACAATCTCCGATACTGGCGCAGAGTCCACTGGTCGGACGAAAGTCGTTACCTTTTGCACGTCACTGACGGCCGCAGCCGTGTCTGGCGCCGCCGCAATGAAGCTTATAACCTGGAAATGATTGAACCACCGGTCCCCTTTGGCGGTGGCTCAGTGATGGTGTGGGTTGTGTGTCCTACGACGACCAAGCTGGACCTAATCACAGTACCGGAAACGTTAATCGGACAACGTTTAGATTAAAAGAATCAAAGCTGAAAAAATCAAATCTGGATGATGTATTTTTTACATATTTTATTGCGTGGAATGAGTTAATGAGTAAAGTTTTACGTGGCTTTTAGCGATATTCCAGCAATACCATGGCTGTGGACACAGGAAATGTGCTTCACACATTGTATCAATGTTGGGAATCGAACCCAGGTCTTCGGAGCGAACGCTTTAACCGCTAGGCTATCCCACTGCCCCTTTATTGAATGGATCTTGTCTGTTGACGCGCAGACACATGCCTCAGAAATTTGATTTTAATAAAATGAGACCTGTTAAAATTGTAAAACCCCACTCGCCGACCATAATGCATATATATATATGGCAACATATATGTTTAGAAAAACACCAACTGAATGTCAAATGAGTGTACCTCCTCTCTGGAATACCTTTGACTAATGCTTGGTCCCAGAAATACGATTTTCAATATGGCCACCGTGACAGCCATTTTGAAAAACATATGTATGGCTACATGGCACGTTTATCAAAATTGTAGCGGCCATAAAATTTCCTAGTCCGTGCTGGGATTCGAACCACGAACCTTCTGATCAGAAGTCGTCCACATGACCAAAAAGGTTAACCTCTTCGGCAAGCTGACAAGGTAAGGATGTCATCTGTGGGATGACTCCACGCCCTGCTACAAAATGTTAAGAATGTTTGTATTTGTGTAATCATATTTAACATTTCAAGTACTTCCACCTTGATTGCACCTTTTTACTTCAACCATATTGCAAGCTGAAACATATTTAGGGACATATGTGCCCAAAGTCTATTGGGATTTCGTATGAGTACTGAACAGATCATCTTAGATATTGGCCTTTAGACAACGAATATGCTCCTGAATTCTTATAAACTGCATTTACTGGCACTTGGCACATCATCTTGGCCACAAAATGTTAATGTCTAAGCTGATGTGTCACATGCTTATTCACACAAATGATTTCTTCTTAACCATGCTCCTGAATCTAAAAAGCACATCAGATTTGTTGCTCTAAATACGTCACTCGCCCACGTCACGAATGTAACTGTTCTCGTTTTAGTAATATCAGTTTAGGGACCGTTCATAATTTATGGCTAGGGGGAGGTGATGATGATTTTAAGGGGGGTGACCCATTTTGTTCTGGGGAGCTAGGGGGTCAGCAGTTTTGTACACACGTACTAGGGGGGTGGGGTTCAGCAATTTAAAATTATGCTTAGAAATTATGGGAAGGGGCGGGGGGGTCATTGATTTTGTACATGACATGCAAGGGGGTCACTTATTATATGTGTAATTTTCAGATGCACACAAAAAATTCAACCGTGGCCCCACTACAGCAGCTATGGATATTATCCGTCTTCGAGGGATACAAGGCTTATACAGAGGATTAAGTGCACAGGCCTTGAGAGACATCCCAGTCAGTGGTATTTTCATGATGACTTATGAACTACTGACACACACAACCACCAGTGTGATGCCCACAGTTCCATCTCAGGTCATCAACTTTTTCTCTGGAGGACTCAGTGGTATAATCAGCTGGTCCTGTATTCTACCTGTTGATGTAGTCAAGAGCCGGATACAAGCAGACCCAGAGAGGCGCCTGTACAGTGGATTGTGGGATTGTGCCACAAAAAGTTATAAAACAGATGGAGGGAAGATATTTTTTAAAGGTGCTGTGGTAATATATCTACGGTCCTTCACGTTGAATGCAGTCATCTTGATGGTGTATTCTGAATGTCTTAAATTGTTCAAGCAGTACCTGTGAGCTATGATGCTGTAGCTTGCCCGAAGCACCGAATTCAATCGCTGCCCTGAGAACACTGAATTTACCCACAAGCCTGTATGAAAATTGTATTTTCTGAAACGATCAAATCTCAATAAAACCAGACCTTCGATTCATTATCGTAGTAGTGCTTGTAGGAAACATATTTTCGTTTATCGTGCCTATGTGTTCTTATTGAACATGGATTCAATAAAATCTCATAATATCTTGTGCTATCTTTTATGTGCTTTGGGCGGAAGAGCGGAAGGTCGCGGGTTCGATCCCCGGCCGCGTCAAACCAAAAGACGTTAAAATATGGTACTTGTTGGTCCCTGCCTGGCGCTCGGCATTAATGGGTACAACAAGGACTGGTCGGCTCGGAGTCAGTACACTGTGTCTGAGTGGGGTATTCATGCTTAACTGTGGCATGGTATCTCAGTGGGCTAGCACTATAAAACCAGCTTCAGTTTGGGCTAGTACAAGCAGCCGCACATACACATACACACGCATGCACGTTGTCATATGAGCGAAATATTCTCAAGTATACGACGTTAAACCCCATTTCACCTCACCTCCTTCAGATATTGAACATAGTTTAACACATTACTGATGATACTGATGTTACTTGAAAGGTTCTTGTTGGCCATAACCCGTGAAGATCCGGGTTAGAATTGATCTTCAGTAACCCATGCTTGTCGTAAGAGGCGACTAACGGATCGGGGGGTCAGGTTCGCCGACTTGGTTGACACATGTCATCTGTTCCCAATTGTGTAGATCGATGCTCATGCTGTTGGTCACTGGATTGTCTGGTCCAGACTCGATTATTTACAGACCGCCGCCATATAGCTGTAATATTGCTGAGTGCGGCGTAAAACTAAACTCACTCACTTGTTGGTCATATACATTTCCTGATAAAAAGTCGATCACAATATTCTGGGTGTTGATCATTATGTTCTGTATGATAATTGGATCTTGAAGATGCTGATCAGAAGCGGGTGAAAGTAGTCGGGGAGAAAAGTTGAAATCGCTCACTAAAGTAAACGTTCATATTGGGCAATAATTACATTAACAAACACTGTTAAAAATCATCTTTTTAAAGTGTTTTACATAAACGTAACACACAAGTGTTACAATACTTTTAACTAAATTACAGATTTCCACGTGGTTAACAAACAATGTTTTATCAAATATCATACATACTAGAGATGCACGGAGCATATATTTCACTACTTCGTTCTGTTCAAAACAGTTCTTTGGTGAAAGTAAATTACATCATTTAAGGAACGTATATATTCAAGTGAAGATCCCTTTCAGCAATCGACGATATTCCATGGGGTTTTACAATGAACTGAAAATGAAAATATACTACTCAAAGTTAGCTAAGGATAACAATTTCCGAATATGACAATGAACATCTCACTGACAAATACAAATAACCATGGACAAAAACATGCAAATAAATGTTTAACTCAAAAGAAATTGTTGTCGTGTGTTGATGAAGACGCCAAACTAACACGTAATGGACCGGTGAGGTGAGACTGCCATAACACAGGTGATCATGACAGCAACCAACAAATCTCCAAATCACAGAACAAGCCATTGACCATGACACAACAACTGTCAGTAGCGTGGGATCCATGAGATGCGATAACAGTCTGGCACCGTCGTCTCATGCTTCCAGTAAGAGTCTGGATGGACGCCAAGGGAAGATTGTTCCACCCATGACGCAACAACTGTCAGTAGCGTGGGATCCATGAGATGCGATAACAGTCTGGCACCGTCGTCTCATGCTTCCAGTAAGAGTCTGGATGGACGCCAAGGGAAGATTGTTCCACTCATGACGCAACAACTGTCAGTAGCGTGGGATCCATGAGATGCGATAACAATCTGGCACCGTCGTGTCATGCTTCCAGTAAGAGTCTGGATGGACGCCAAGGGAAGATTGTTCCACCCATGGCGGAGATCAATTCCGAGTTCCTAGAGAACCTGGATACACTGGACGACGTGAGATGGAAACCTGAAGCATGTTCCAAATGTGTTCTATCGGGGTGGCCACTCCATGCGGACGATTGTCTCTTGCTCAAGGTAAGCACCAACCAACCTGACACGATAGGGTCGGTATTATCGTCCATGAAGATGAAGTCAGGACCAACTGCACCAGCAAACGGTCTCACGTACACGTCTACGATCTCATCCCTTAACGTACACCTGCCTTCGTGCCTCTCACTAGCACATAGACTAACGCTTAGCCCCTGAATATATATAATTTTGATAGTAACAAATAAACCCATTTAAATTGAAAAGTATCCCAGTGAGTTGGGAGATTCTAGGGAAATCTAGACTTGCTTCATTTAGGGCTTTAGCATTGCAGGGAGGGCCAGGCATTAGGGACTATAATGTGGTTCAGGAACTGTGAGACAGTCTACCTAGCACATGGAGATTAGTGCTCCAGCTCTGCTGATACCTCCCCAAACCATTAATGAGCCGGCTCCCATCTGTCATGTTCGGCTACATTAACATCATGAAAGTGCTCTCCTGCTCTTCGGGACACCCGTGCCCACCGATCGGTGAAGTCCACGCAGTGCCTTGAGTCGTCTGTGAAAGGACGGATGCCCAGTCATTGACTCTCCAATTGGCATGATCTCTCACCCACTCCACACATGCTTGCCGTTGACGCTGGGTAAGAGGGTAGACTAACGCTTAGTCTCTGAATATATATAATTTTGAGTGTAGCAAATAAACACATTTAAATTGAAAAGGAGCCCCAGGGAGACCAGAGATTGTGAACCTGGACAAATCTAGACTTGCTTCATTTAGAGCTTTAGCTTTGCAGGAGGGCTAGGTTGTAGGGAAAATAATATGGTTCAGGGACTGTGAGACGGCTAGGTAATGCGAATGCATGCTCTCCTTGGCCGAAGACCAGTCTACCGACGACGATTACGGACTGCCTGAGTGGAAACGTTCACTTCAATGGCATTAAAATTCCGCAGTTCATTTCTTAGCGTGGTTGCCATCTCAAAGTGATGACGTCTTTGCTGAAAGCAGGAGAAACCGGTCATCACGCTGGCTGGTTGAACGTGCTCGACCACCCGCATGTCGCTGGGTAGCTGAACCATGAGTTTGATACCGATTCCAAGCCCTGCAGACCACGCTTTGACTCAAGGACGTTGAACGTGACGCTGTGTTGTCCCACTACGCATCAGGGTCCCGTTCCACAAAGCGAGTGTAGCGTTAAGGTGATCGTAACTCCCATACTTTAACATAGACTTACGACAGTCGTAGCGCTACGATCGCTTTGAGGAACAGGGCCCTGGCTAATTCTTCGACTGTCAGACGACGTTGTTGCCGTTGATGGGCATTTCTCTTTTCAGTAATTGCAATGGACGTTTGTCAGGTTCTTAAAAACAGGGTGCAGTTTTGCAATGCCAGAGAATCAGAACGGGGGAAACTGTTTTTATCATGCATCACGGGGGTGTGCGCAACTCTGCACCCACCCTCTGGATCCGCCTATGCACGTGCATATCGTGTCCGTCACAGCATGCTTTTCCCTGCTGTGTGTGGTAGTGTGACTCCAGTTTGGTTACCCAATCATTGTGGACCGGGTTTTAATCCAGTATGACTTCATAGTATAATTTCATGTTTCATGTCTTGAAAATGTGATCCTTAGCAAACTTTGAGTAGTGTACATCGTACATCAAATAACCATTAGTTAACATATCCTTGTTAAAAAACAAACGGTTTCGTAACTGATATCCAGTTTAAGGTGACAAAATGCCTTAAACAACGAAGACGTAGTGTAAACTCCAAATTTTAGAAACATGTCTTCCTGATTTTATATTAGTTATAAACACACTGATCGCCTCCGAGAATTAGTGGTTTACTCCACAATAAAATTGGTTACACTACTGCCTACCCCCTAGCCTTGCTCCATTAAGGCTGTACTGAATGGTGAGCCCATAGATGTATAGTAACTCTATCCCTCGAAAAGGCAAGTCTAAGCGAACCCCTGTATGTTATTTATTATTTCTTAGAAATCATCCATTTAAACTATTAATGTTTACCTTAGAGACTTGTAAAGTCTTTCTTCTCCCCGACGAAGCGCGTTTACACGAACCCAGTCAATTAGCGGCTGTCGCTTACAAAGAAACGAGAGTTATGTCCCTTATGGACACAAGCATGACCTGAGAGAGGGGGGACCCAGTCAGGTTGTCAACAAGGCTTGTTATGTCGGTTTTGCGACAAACATGACGACGATAAGACCGTTTACTTGTGACGACCTGTTCAGGTTTAATAACGTGTAAGTAAACTGTTTTGTGGATTAGCGTAAACAGCTTTCCTGTTTTGTTGTAAGACATGCGTCGAAAATTGCAAGACTCCTCGACTCGTGCAACCATTCACCTCACACCCATAATTTGGTCCCACAGACCTCAGTAGAGTCCCATCATGCATGGTCATCTTCTGAATTTCTAAACCCAGCAATATTCGGACTTCATGGAAAAATATAACATAATGGTAGTTCAAAGGAAAGGCTCATAACAAAACCAAGGTTTGAAAAGCATTGTGTTATTAAATAGCAACAAACCAAAGGTAAAATAATTATTTTATTTTCAGGAATTTGGATCCACTCACAGAAACGGTATCCTTACATTTTATGAAGATTGGTTTCTTCGGTGAGGTGAGGTGAAAATTGGGTTTAACGTCGTGCTTGAGAATATTTCGCTCATACGACGACGTGCGTGCGTGTGTATGTGTATGTGCGGCTGCTTGTACTAGCCCAGACTTATGCTGGTTTTATAGTGCTAGCCCACTGAGATACCATGCCGCAGTGAAGCAAGAATACCCCACTCAGACACATTATACTGACTCCGAGCCGACCAGTCCTTGTCGTACCCATTATGCCGAACGCCAGACAGGGACCAACAAGTACCATATTTTAACATCTTTTGGTATGACGCGGTCGGGGATCGAACCCGCGACCTTCCGCTCTCCGGGTTGACGCTCTAACCACTACACCACGGAGGCGGTCTGGTTTTTTCGGATCCAAAAATGTTCCATATAGTGTTTCAAACGTCACATGGAAGCAATATCAGCGCTTTGAGCACTGCCCTTGTGTGGTGGAAGTCAGCACTATATAGATACTCTTTAGTCTTGTTATTTATTATTATCAAACCTTTTATACAATTACAATTACAAGGGAACCAGCACTGCAACTCTTACTTATCTTGCGGGAACTATTTTATTTATTCCACTTAATCACCCAAAAATCTGGGTTTTTGAGCTGTAAGCAATGGTAAGGGAGGACCTCAACAACAAGGGAATCCCCTTGAATATTCACATATGATGCTTCGTAAAATCTCTCACCCTGCAAATTTCATGGGTGTTAATGTGTTTGTTCAATTATGTATGGCAGTGTACAGCAATTATGTGTACATATTCTTGCAGCAGCAAAGTTCAGTCAATAAACTAAAAACGAATTGCATTCAATACAAACCCTACTCCCTCTTTGTCATCCATGTTTTATTATATATACCCTACATTACTTGTTCTCATTCACTTGATGCTCAGAAAATAATATTATTTCAAGTATCAATTAGTGGTGGCAAAACACAGAATACCTAATAAAGACTTTAGAAAATCACTCAAAAACTTTCATCCATGCCTCTAAGGGTAATCATTATGTATAACTGTCAGTATGTGGTTGATGATGGTTCACTTTTTTTTTATTTCTTGTGTCTGGGCTAATTATTCAAATTAAGATTGGGTTATTAATCCACATCTGATGTGTTGATTGCTGTGTAATATGCACATGGCAGCGCAACAAGAGAGGATTTTCAAAATGGCTGTCACAGATGAAGAAAGTATTCCATGTTGGTTTCCTTATATTGTCCCAGTATGGCTTGCCCTTCTACATGCAGTACCTGGCTCACTGGCCGGAGTACTTCCAGATTGCGGAGTCTCCAAGTGGCGAGATCATGGGATACAGTAAGTATTTGCTAAACAAATCATATGACAGTGGAACAAAATATAGACAAGTATACTGTGATCATGGATATAAGGGTTGTGTTACAACTTGAGAAAAATTATGTTCGTTAGTTTGCTTGCTTGTTTGTTATGATTATATCTGTGTGACAATTAATCTAGTCTGTACCAGACAATCCAGTGATAGACATTATATGCATTGATCAATTGAGAATCAGTGACACGTATCAACCAGGAAACCTGAACATACAATCACTTTTTATGACGAGAAAAAGAAGCGTAAAAAGGGCTGATGTTTTTTGGGTCTCTAGAATGGGTGTGTTTGGGACACATTATATCACATATTTGGTCTCACTGGTGTTGCAATTGCTATGATCTTAATGCAGTGAATTTACTTCAATCAAACACATACTATAAAGCTGTTCCATTCTAAATTGATTCACCCGTGAAGGTCCGGGTTAGAATTGAACTTCAGTGACCCATGCTTGTTGTGAGAAGCGACTAACGGGATTGGATGGTCAGGCTTGCTGACTGGGTTGACACATGTAATCGATGTTCATGCTGTTGATCACTGGATTGTCTGGTCCAGACTCGATCATTTACAGACTGCCGCCATATATCTGGAATATTGCTGAGTGCGGCGTAAAACTAAACTCACTCACTCTAACTTAGCGTCTAAGTTGATTCTTTATTCAAGTATATTGGCAAATGACATAAATAGAAAATGTACAGTGGAAGTTCATGGATCACATTTATATATTTAAGAAAGAATGTTGATACATGGATTTATCAGCTCTTCCATTCATTTTTGCTGCTGATTGCATATGAACATGGTTGCAGTAATTCAGAAAGTTTTTGCCCAAAGATAAGTGATAACAGCGCGCCACCATCCTTAATCTGTGTGTACACTTTCAGTTATGGGGAAGTCAGAAGGAACTGGTGACCTTTGGCATGGTCATGTGACAGCGTTGACTGTTGCCCCAGTGTTTCGGAGACTTGGCCTTGCAGCAAAACTCATGAACATACTAGAAGAAATCTCAGAGAAGTAAGCTCTATCAGAAGCAGATTGATCATTTTTGGTTAATAGTTATACCTGGTTTATAGATCAGAAGCAGTGAGATGCTCAGGTTGTGCAGTTATAGATGTGCAGTCCATATATGATTGATAGTATATCTGGACCAGGCACTGAATTATGTCATGTTAAAGAATATGTGAATTTGGTTATGTTGCAGAAAACATTGTTTTTTCGTGGACCTGTTTGTGAGGGTATCGAACAAGGTTGCCGTGGCGATGTATGAGAAGTTAGGGTACAGTGTGTACCGGAGAGTGTTAGAGTACTACTCAGGGGAAGTGGACGAAGATGCATTTGGTGAGTAGTATTACTTTTAAGGAATGCTCTTTGACATGAGTCTTTGATAAGTGGAACACCCTCAAGGTTACACAACACCAAATGTTTTCCCATAGACATCTATAGTAACCTTATGTTTTTTTTAAAATTATCCAGGCTATCAACAGTCATTCCACATACACATGGGTACAGTCAGGCCTTTAAACTACAATAAAAGACAATTTCTGGCCAAATTGTCCGGCTCATTTTCCGAGCACAGGAAGCGGAACACATCAACCTCAGTTCCGCACCAAATGTCACCTACTGGAAAATATCTGTACACACAATAAGTATAACTCATGGTGACAAAAATGACAGCACAGTTAAAATTGTGGTCAGTTTTAATTACTGGATGGATGTGCTTTTAAAAAGCATAAACATCTTACACTATTTCATCCAATCACAGCTGTCACAAGTCTCTATCTCTTCAGTTGTTTACATACGATGCTCGCTCAGGGCACGTGATTATGATTTAGTGTAGTGGAACCTCAAGGACCATCCTGGAAAGCAGGAAGTTTTGGTTTAAGGGAGGTAACTCTTCAAACCTCCATCCCAAGTATAGTCTTCTTAGGGAGTTACAAGCACCAGAACCAAGATGGTAGGTTTGGGAACAGGAACCTGTATTTTCTGATTAATGTTAGAAAAGTGTTTGTCTTTTTTTATAATCAAACACACCTCAAGATGTGTACAAACGCTTGGAGTCAAATCCCTGATATGATGATGTCCCCAACATTAATGAAGGTCATCGGCATTAACGTATTCAGTGTTGTTAAGATGTTTTCAGGTCTTTCTGTGCATTTGTCTGTGAACAAGACTGTTACTTATGGTTTTATGTGATGTTGTTATTGGAGTAATGTCTATGCTGTGGGGTATATTGTCACTTTGTGAAAAAATAGCTCCGAAAATGAACCACCTCAAAGTTTAACGCACATTAGGTTATCTGTGTTCTGCCATGACAAAATGCATGTTAAGCCCATTTTCTTGCAACCATTTGAGTCCAGTGATGCTTCCAGGAGGCAATTTTGCTCACTAACGAAATTTAATAATTATTAAGGAAAGTGTACCAATCAAATTGGATCATCCTACAAGGTCATGGTAGAAACACCATTTCACAATGTTAACTAACTTTTAGTGAGAAAATATCGCTGATATCACTGAGATTTATGTGCACTTCTTAGGTTTTGACTGGGACTTTAAGCAAGTGGTGCTTTAACGGAGCATTTTGATCTGTGTATCCGATGGGTCATGTATCTGCTGCTTATGGCAACTGTTTGCATGAAACTAACTATGTTACTTAATGTTGCTGATCTGTTCACACAAATAGAATAATATACATAGGCTACAAGCACATGATGTATACAGTCATTAAACGTGATATCAAACAATACCGAACATGTTGAATTGCATTCCTTTATATTTTTGTGCCACTTCGACTTGAGTGTCAACTACGTCACATAAATTGAGTATTTAGCGTAATTTTGACCCTGGGTGAGAGATGTACTATGAGCACCACTGTCACTGACCTTTCATGTCATTGTTCCACTTTGTGTGTGTGAGGGGGTGGGTGGGGGTGTGGACGGTGAAGTATCCTGATGGATAAAGCATTTGATCGTCATGTCAAAGGTACAGGTTTGATTCCCCACATGGGTACAATGTGTGAAGCCTATTTCTGGTGTCCCCGACCCGTGAAGGTCCGGGTTAGAATTGGTCTTCAGCAACCCATGCTTGTCATAGGAGGCGACTTAGGGGATCGGGTGGTCAGACTCGCTTACTGGGTTGACACATGTCATCGTATCCCAATTGCGTAGATGGATGTTCATGCTGTTGATCCCTGGATTGTCTGGTCCACATCCGATTATTTACAGAGGCCGCCATATATCTGGAATATTGCTGAGTGTGGCGTAAAAAATAAACTCGCTCACTCTGGTGTCCCACGACGTGTTATTGCTGGAATATTACTAAAAGTGGTGCAAAACCATACCCATTCACTCTTCCCGTGTTGAATATTGGTGGGAACTGATCTGGAGCAATGGATGTTGATGGTGTGTCGTTGTTCCCTGGCGTGGACGTAGTTCTTCATCATATCAATATCTGGGCCACTATACATATAGCAGGAATTTGCTGAGTGAGGCATTAAACTACAACCACATCCTTCTTACTGTTTTTCTCATAAAAATATTTCAGTTGTGCTGCGTTGTCACCTAAAATCATATCTCCTACATAATGGAGGCGTTTTACAATATCTTTGTATTGGGCCTCTTGAGAAGTGCTGATGTTTTTAAAGATTGGTCAGTCTGATGCAATGATTGCTAAGTGACCAGTAGCAATACTTTATCTGTTGGACCCATGTTTACTCTTTGATTACCTGTCAAGATCTTAGAATCGGTCTTCCGCAACCCATGATTGTTGTGAGATGAGGTTATTGATTCTTGTGCTGTTAATCACTGGATTATGTTATCCTAACTTTTTTTCTTGTTGACCACCATCATATGCTAGTAGCTTGAAAATTGCGAAGTTCCTTTTAAAAATTACAAGCGAATGAAATTCTTCTCAGGTAAAAATACCTATATGTAGGCGTAGGCATCCTGATTTTCTACTCAGCGACAGAAACCCCAGGTCTGTCTCACAGTCCTTGAACCACATTATTGTCCCTACTTCCTAGTCCCCCATGCAATGCTAAAGCCCTAAATGAAGCAAGTCTAGATTTACTCAGGTTCTGAATCTCCCATCTCACTGGGGCTCCTTTTCAATTTAAATGTGATGATTTGTTACTATCAAAAGTGTATATACTCAGCAGCAAAAAGCCCGTCAGTACGAATTCAAAATTAGATAGGCACTGTAATCAAATCATTACAGAAATTGACATAATAAGCGGATCAAAAACGTTTTTTTGTGTACAATATCTTGACACATCAATGAATAACTCAGCACAATTTCAAGACATTACTCGAACGTTTGCAGTCCATTCAGACCCTTGACTTCAGTATCTAGTGTGACCACCACGAGCGGCAATAACTGCAGCACAGCGTCTATGCATGGAGTACATCAATCGATTGATGAAGGCCATTGGCACCTGGAACCACACTCTGAGAAAAGCCTGGCGCAATAAATCGGCTGTTTTCGGCCTTGGTATGACATTATTAAGTCTCCTCTGAATTTCATCCCAAAGATGTTGAATTGGGTTTAAATCAGGACCTCAGGGCTGACCACTGCATAATGTTGACACTGTTCTTGTTGGAGCATTATTACTACAGTTTTGAATATCATAGATATGTGACCAAGTGAGGAACCTTAATCAACATCAGTGATATTTCACCATTAATACTTTATCACTGTCATCACTGAGGAATTATTATAATATTTAGATAGAAAATATTGGGATTTGTCAATCTTTTGGATATGAAGTGTACACGACAAGGGAGACAACTTGTACTGCCATCAAAGCATTGGGTGCCATTTTAAAAACTAACCCAGAAGTGCTCTGCTGCTGTATACCAGACAAAGAAACACTTGTTGGAATAAGTTGTTATTGCTTTGGTATTGTATAATGTAACAAAATACCTCATTTTTTGTATGTTGTTGTTGTTTTGCATTTCAGGTATTTTCCAAAACCAGAAATAATATTTTTTCAACTGAAATGCATGAAACTTACTTATTAGTTTATCTATATACATTGTACTATCTGTTTGAAGTGGCAGTAATGGTTATGAAACCAGCAGTAGATATTTTAGAGTATTGCATAGGCACAGCACTGAGTTGTTCTGGCATCCCAAAGGATCTAATGAATATTGATCCTTACTGCTGAAGACCTGTTGGACACTTTTCTGGTTATATTTCTAGTTTGTCAGAACCATACCTGTGCTGTTAGGCATTTAGGCAGTGGTTGCTGTCATCAGTTTTGGCTCACCTTCCATCCACATTAAGCTGATACACTGTAATATACCGGTAAACGAAATATTGTTGAGACTAGGATTAAACCAAACCCATTCTCTATTGATGTCTGAATTGATGCAGAACTAAAGATATTTCTTTACTATAACAATTATAGCTTTGGTTTCCCTTACACTTGGGTTCTTGGTAGTGGTAGAGTTGTGTTGCCACTGTATTTCACCCCGATATTGAAGTGTGCAGGATCACTTAAAAAGTACATTGGGGGTAGGCAAGATGTATCTGCAGTTGTCTGAGGCCATGGTGTACACCCACAGTCTGTATCATAGTGTATGGTAACCCCATCTTTTGTGCCTCCTCTCCAGATGAGGCTGCTGAATCAATACTAGTGGTGTAAAACTCATCTCATTTCTTTTAAAACTCGTGATTTATGTACTCTGTACCCCTGATTGCTTTCATGAATGTGTGGAATAAGTCGTAGTTACAGACAAAAACTATGATGTAACGGACTGAATTTGTGTTCATATTGGGGTGATTACTCATTACCAGGATTGTATATGTGATATGATCCAATGAAAATTTATGCTTCAATGGCCACACTATTTACATGCTTTATGGATCTGCCAACTAAATGTTTTTGAAATGAAAAAAATATATTCTGAATTTTTTTCTTTTTTTATCCTGTTTGCATATTTCACAAACATTTTTTTTTCTCAACAAGGATTCACTAGTAATTTGTCATCAGTGAAGCAGGTTTTCATTAGAAAGGTAAAGAATTTCCCCGTGTGCTACACTACTACAGCTAATGCATCCTGGGAAGGATGACATGATGTCAGTTGTCACCGAGCCAAGGCTGATCATTTTATGTCGGCTCTTAAGACAAGGCGACTGTTTTTTAACTTAGGTATTGTTTTTGACAAATGTTTGTTATGATTTGGAAACAAAGGTAATAAACTCTTATATAATATCACAGTTGTAGGTATATTTTCAGTCATTAACATATATTAAGAAGAGTTTACCCATACAAAGTTCAATTAATTATATTTTGGTAAATGTTTGTTAGACATATTTGTTTACAGAAGCAGTCCCATATT